CAGAGAGAGGTTAAAGCTTAACATGGTCTTTTTTAGGGTATATTTTGTGTTCAGTCTATAATTTTTTTATTATTCAGGGGATTTTGAAATTACTAGGCACAAATGTTCTCAATAATGGGACCATGTGCCATATGGAACAGCCAGACTCCAACCTTCATTGTCAAGATCACACTTGAGTGCCAAAGCTTATCATGATCTGTTCAAGGGTATGTTTTGCTTGTGGTATATAACTTGTTCATCAAGGTCACTCTAGGAGGTCAGAGCCTAAAATATGTTATAGTGTATGATGCCAAGTCAGGCCCATGCAAATAAAATGTCATTGGTGAATTGCCCACATACCTTGATTGATGACTTGACATGAAATATACCCTGTAACATAACATATCCTGTATTGATTTTGTATTTGTCACAATTACTGGCTTTGAAATAGTGATATCAAGTAAAGACATATGAGCCGTGTCAATACAAAACCAACATAATGGGTTTGCGACCAGCATGGATCCAGACCAGCCTGCGCATCTGCGCAGTCTGATCAGGATCCGTGCTGTTCGCTATCAGTTTGTATACTGGTTATAGAGTTTGTAAGCGAACAGCATGGATCCTGATCAGACTGCGCGGATGCCCAGGCTGGTCTGGATCCATGCTGGTCGCAAACCCATTATGTTGGTTTTGTCATGACACGGCTCATATGTTTCTGTTGACACATACACAGGAGTTATTTCATTATATTTCTTAAATGAATTTGTTGTTACTGGCATGTGGAAATTTAGTATTGATTAAAACTCTGCACTGAAAGTCCAGATATATACCTCATTTGTTTTTTTGTTGCATAATTTTTTGCTTCATGTAAATCTTCCCTTAGGCACGGGACGTTGGTCACAACTCTGTTTAAAATTTTTGTTAAAAAACAGTTTTTGGGCTGAAAAGGGCCATATTTTCGCAGAGCCAAATTGTATCGCTTTCTTTCACAAATGTAATATTTAATGAAAATTCACAATTGTCAAATTGTAGTTACAGACAAAGTTATAATTGTCTTAAAAGAAACAGACATTAATCTACGAGATATTGTTAATTAAGTTGTTTATCATGAATCAAGGCACTTTCCAATATAGTCTTATTAATTCTTTTTTTTCTACAGTCATTATCATTCAAACTATTTTTTTCATTAGCTAAATTGTAACAGTAAACTACAATGTAAATTATAGGAATATATTCACAAAATAATTGCATTATTATGCTAATTTTCACAATTCAATGGGCCCAGGACCCAGTCATAATTTAAAGACTTGAAAAAACAGTGAAAGTTCAAAATAAGTCAAAACAGGGCAGTTCTTTTTTAAGGTGAAACTTTTTATGCCTCCACAAAGTGGGGAGCATATAGCGTTGCACTTGTCCGTTCGTCCATACGTCTGTCCGTCTGTATGTCCCGAAATCTTGTGAATGCAACTTCTCTTAAACCGGATGGCAGATTTTACTTAAACTTCCAGGGAGGAACAGCCTTAATGTGTACATGGTAGTAAAAGGAAAGAATTTTCGCTGCGACCAAATTTAACAGAATTATGGCCCTTTGTTGATTTTTTTCCACTTTTATAAACTAATGTAGAAATTTTGTGAACGCAACTCCTCTTAAACCGGATGGCAGATTTTGCTTAAACTTCCAGGGGAATGAACAACCTCAATATTTAGATGGTAGTAAAGGGAAGAAATTTGTTGCGACCAAAATTTAACAGAATTATGGCCTTTTGTTTGATTTTTTCACTGTATACCATATAGAAATTTTGTTGAACGCAACTCCTCTTAAACCGGATGGCAACGATTTTTGCTTAAACTTCCAGGGATGAAACAACCTGAATGTGTAGATGGAAGTAAAGGAAGGAATTTTTGCTGCGACCAAATTTAACAGAATTATGGCCCTCTGTTGATTTTTTCACTATATACCATATATATGTTGTCAGTGGGTACATCCGTGATCTGGCTTACGGCTCTTTTTTTTTTTAAATAATAAAGCTGTCTTACAGACTGACAAGGTTATGCAGTGGTATAGCAGCTATATCAGATTTTTCATTCAACTTGTTTTTTTTTTATTAACCACTTTTAAAGATATTTATTTTAAATTTCACACATTTCGTTTTATCATACTTATATATCAATGATCAAGACACATAACTCTAGTATTGAATTTTATGTATTAATTTATGCTTCTTTGTTAAGCTACAAGAATAACTTAATAGGTCAGGAAATGAAATTATTATAAAGTGTGCTGTCTATGTTACAGGTCTTCATGTAGTAAACTAGGGGTAAAATCTGATGATGACATGATGGCGGAGTATTAATATATTGTCACTTTTTATATGCAGTTTATTTTGATACTTACAATTTTAACCATGAGCTACTTTTTTACACAGGTACACCAGGGTCTTTCAAATAGAAAGACCCTGGGTACACTGAGACAACAGTCTCTTTGTTAAAAACTTGATAAAAATTACACTGGTTTTAACTTTATTTTAATATTACAATATAATCATGTATGCAAAACTAATCACTGAGGCTGGTATAGCGCTTAGAATTAAACCTGTTCAGTTACTGTTAGTTGTTTTTAGTTGTAAATTTAAAAAATGTGTATATAGTGATAAAAAAAAATTCATGAAGCATATATTGTTTATCTTTTCAGTTGAAGAAATTTTGATCAATCCGAAAGAGATAGCTGAAATCAGTATTGGAGATGTTGTTGAAATTTATCATCCTGAGGAAGAATATAGGTAACAATTCTAATGCAGCTAATCTTTATATACAGGGTTCTATGAAAATAAATAAGCTAACTGACTATTTTATCACAGTACTAAAAGTAATAAATAGAAAGACCATCAAAACAGGAGGCTATCTGATTTGTAAGAGGGGGCATAGCACCTTCCTCCCAGTAAAATAAAGCTAAAATTTAAACAATTTCAGAATCAGACATTATTATTTTTCATTGTGTACATGGCTTTTTCATGGTGTTTAATGGCCAATGTTTTATGTTGTTCACTTTTTACCTTGTAAAGTTTTGGCTACAAGTTATTAATCAGTTTCTACAGATTGGATTGTCTTAAAAAAAGATATACTGGAAATAAAATTAATTGAATTATATGTTTATTATTTTAAGCCGGCCTGTTTTAACACATACATTTTTTCAGATGAGGTCCAAGACCTAAAGGTTTGTTTGTTGTGAAGAGTTCGTTATTAATCCAAGTGAAAAATAAGTGGAAACTATTGGTCATGAATTAACAAGAACATTCTCTCAGTTCAAACTCAGGATCTAGGTATTTGTTTATAAGAATTGTTCACAGATCAAATGAAAACCAGAGATCAATGGGTTTAAGCCTAATCTGGTCACAACCATGTTTCTTCATATGAACAGTATCGCTGTTGTTTAAGAAAGCGAACTTGAAAGTGATTAATAATAAGTTGCAAAGAACTTGTTGTAAAAAATCAAGCTCAGTTAAAGTACATGTATATTAAAACCATACCGATGAAAATCTGAAATTTGATGGCAGAACTTTATGCTCTGTTAATTAATCTGTTTATGTTGGGTCCAAATTCTTCAGCTTTTGGTATTTACTTGAAACCTTAATTCAATGCCACTTTTGGACCTTTCCTTTAAATTTCGCTATATTCCTATCTTTCTTCGTAATATATCTCAAAAATGTTTAGTTCATCTCTTTTTTTATTTTGTGGAATTTCGTAAGGTTACCACTGTTCTTTAAGTCGAGATAAGATGATTGCAAAGGGTACTCGAATACCTCACACTGTACATTTACTCCTGACTTGCATCACAGCCCTATTTCATTTTATGCTTAATAACTGTTTACTATTTATTCAGAACACTGTAATACCATTTCATAATGTTAATTCCTTATACATCTATAAATTACATCTTAGCTCATCTTTTTCAACAGAAAAAAATGGCTATTAGATAGTGCATTGTGTGGTTGTATGGGTTGTTTCTTTTGGTCATTGTGCACAAAAAACTAATATAATATTAAATATTTTAAAGTATCAACTGAAACTTGAATACTTGCATATCATGCAAGTTCGCAGCTTGCTAAGACAAGAAGCATAATTCTGAATAGCAATATTCATTGGAGTTATGCCCACTTTCTTTGACTTAGAATTTGTTCACAGCAACAGGGCGTTCATGACGCGCATGAGGTGCCAATGATCCTTTTTTGGTTGTTTTACAGAAAGCACTGTTCGTAGACAGCTCTAATAGCTAGCTGGCTTTCCAGCTGGAAAACATTATCAGAATCGTTATTGTTAATCAAGGTGGCGATAAAAGGTAAAAAAAAGACAACAACTTATCTTTGGTTATTCAACAGATATATTAACACTGAAATGTTCATAATGCATTTATTATTTGTAATTTTTTTTGACAGATACATGAAATCTTAAAACAACCTCACCACGCTCAGAGCTTCTTCTCTTCAAGTGATGAGCAATAAAATCCTTAAAATCCATTATTTAACTCTTCATACCTAATCTGTCTCTGCTTTTCACAAAGAATAAAAAAAAATGATTAATTTCTGAGGCCATAATGTCCTTTAACGGTCTTTACTTGAATCAGTTATGATTGGCAAACGGTGATCATTACGAATATTATATATCAATTATAATTTTGTTTGTGACATTAGTCATGTTATCCAAATGTAACATTGTTCAGTTCCACATAATATACTATAATTACTGCGGGTCACGACAAAACCAACATTACGTGCGTTTTGCGACAAGCGTGATCGAACGCAGCCTGCACATGCACGCAGTCGATCAGGATCCATGCTGTTCGCTATTAGTTTCTCTACTTGTAATAGGGTTTGTAAGCGACCAGCATGGATCCTGATCAGACTGCGCAGATGTGCAGGCTGGTCTGGATCCATGCTGGTCGCAAACCCATTATGTTGGTTTTGTCATGGCACGGCTCATATATATTGTCACCTTAGTGCAGTAATGTGTTAACTCCTATTGAATTTCAACAGCAAGTGTCCCTGGATCTGGTGGAGATACTGTTTAGAGATCAGTATTACAGCAGAAGTGATATGCACAGACTACGCACTAGCATGGTATGTGATAATGTTGATACTGACACCCCCCCCCCCCCCCCTTAAAATAAAGAAAAAAAACCAAAAAAACAAAAAACAACACAGGGTGGCAACCCACATACCTTTCGGGCAAAGATAATGGTGGAAAATAGCCCTGATTCTAATAGATATTTAGTGAACAAGTTTTTTTTTTTTAAAATAACAAATAGATTTTCTTCAAATGAAGTGCATAAAATGAACTTGGAAGCTTTATGGATTTATATTTTATTTCCACTTTTTATACAAATACTGATATTGTATAAGTGTCTTCAGCTCATTTTCAGGGCTGTGTTTCATAGAAATTCCAAAGTGTATCCTAAGTCCTGGACATACAAGCAACTTTAGGACTTACTCAAGACCGTTGCAATAATTATTTTGAGCGTCAGTCAAATACTGTAGACAATAAATAAATTCATTCTTCTGAGAAAAGTTAAGAAATACAATGACAGACCCCTTTATTCATAATGTGTAAATGCCAATCAGCATTGCTATTCTGAAACTAAAGAGTCATGAAGTAGGAGTCAAAGGACATTTTCTTTGAAATGCAAAATTGTCTCAGTTTTGGTCTTAAGACTGATTTCAGACTTAGGACTTTTTTTTGAAACACAGCCCAGATTAATCATGTAGCATTATGCATTAAAACATTTCTTAAGTTGTACAACAGCCTTATACAGGAATGAATTCAAGAGTGTGTCTATAAGCTTTTATCTTCCTGCAAAATCAAACTTAAATGAATTTGGTCCTGATGAAGGTCAAGTATTGACAGAAACTAGTAGACATGGATAAAATGAGCCGCATCGCGACAAAACCAACATAGTGGGTTTGCGACCAGCATGGATCCATGCTGTTCGCTATCAGTTTCTCTACTTAATATAGACTTTGTAAGCGAACAGCATGGATCCTGATCAGACTGCGCGGATGCGCAGGCTGGTCTGGATCCATGCTGGTCGCAAACGCACTATGTTGGTTTTGTCATGATGCGGCTCAAATATTGTAAACCTGTCCTTGTGTTTGATGTGTATTACACTTTTATCTTGAACTTATATAAAGTGAATTTTGTTTAAACTAATATGTGAGGTATAAACAGTTTGAAGTGATAAATGCAATCCTGTATTTTATGTTTTTGCAATATTATTTGTCAAGTCTAAGACTGATAAATACAATTATATGCATGAGCTGTACTTTGACTGTTTTGTTTATTTTATTTTTGTAATAGCCATGTTAACAGTATGAAATGGTTTTACATTGTTTCCTTTATTTGCAGATAGGATCATGTGTTTACCTGAATAAGAAGATAAAATTCAGTGAGATGAGGTTATTATTATAAAGATGATAGATTACATTGTTAAAACATAACTATAATTATGTACATGTAGTTTATTAAGATTTTTATATGGCGCATCATTTCTTAGTTATATGTTCATCACTTCATGAAGGACTAATTTTGATCTTGTTAAATTTTGATTTTGATTGTTAAAATTTTTCTGTTTCACGTAAAATGATCCTCATAATTATAACCAGATTTAAAGTTCTTCATATGAACCCTTCAGTCTCTAAAATTATGGGAGACAACAAATGCAGAACCAAGTTTACTAGTTTGTTTTGAGTTACTTCCCTTGCATTTGTAAATTGCATCAATATTGTATCAATAAAGATTAAAAACATCATATAAATTACTCATGTTTGAATAGTTTAGTGCCTTTTTATTCTAAGCAAAAATTATGACACAGTAATTGTAACAACTTTTTGATATATTTTATTCCATTGAAAATTTAGTACCTTGTAACAATAGGACAGTAACTATTTGTTTCATTGCAGGGCACAAGTAAATGAGCTATGGTGTAGAGGTGAGAAAGTGACCTGTGGTGTGATCTCTGATGATACAAGGGTAATAAGTGTTATACTTTAATAGTAAACAAACCATATTTCATTCCCTATTTCAAATTTATGACAGAAGTTTGAATACAAACGACAATGATATTTAAATTTTATGCCGCTAGTATAGAGCTAGGCCTGTGTGCTCAAGGATTTAGTAAAAACAGACACTTAATGTTTGACTGCTCACTGTTGAAATTCCCTGAATTACTTACTATATCAAATTCAAAATAGAGCAAATCATTTACACATAATTTAGTGGTGTAGGAGTTATAGTTTCCCATTTCTTTGGAAACCTGTTTATATAAAAAAGTATATGTACATGTATATGTAAAATTGTTAAATTCAGTGTATGTCGATTTTTTAAACCATGATTTGACTTTACATCTGTTATATCAAATGACTTTTTTCAATACATGAAACTGCCTTTTTACACCCTTGTATGATTTGTATAATATACAAAGAAATATACAAGCATTTGATTAAGATTCATTTGTTTTATTTCCAGATTGTATACAGAAGTTCCACTGCTGTTGTTCAGATATTCATTCAAATGAGTTCAGAAATGTGGGATTTTGACATAAATGGCGACCTGTACTTTGAGAAGGCAGTCAACGGATTTTTAACAGATTTATATGCTAAATGGAAGGTACTTGATTTTCAAACCTTTTATACATAGCCCAAGATGCAGACTTTATAGATGATTTTTAATAACTTAAATGAAAATATAGTCTCACAAGTAAAAGCAAAATGTGGTAAACTATGATACATTACATTGTAAAAACAAAAATATATTCACATCTTTTTCAGTAAAAGCAAGATAATTGACAGTAGTTGAGTGTCTTTTGGTAAATAATGCATTTCATATTGAACTTTTACATTTCTCAGTTAATTTCAGCCAAACCTACTTAGAACAATTTCACCAAAATGCACTGGTGCAAATACATGTTGTTGGATATTGTAATAGGATCATTTTTTGCAGAGTTATGGCCCATTGTGTATTTTTTTATGCCCCCGAAGGGAGGCATATTAAAATCGCATTGTCCATCCGTCCGTCTTGTCTGTCTGCACTACTGAATAGGGATAGGGGGCCATCTATCTTAAAGAGAACAAAAGTGTTCATTCCGTAACAATAGAATAAGGGGCCATGGCCCTCTATTAAACAATAGAAAATAACAATAGAAATGGCCCTTCGGATATCTGTGCGTCCCCTCTTCATTTGTGTCCGGACTGTAACTTTGTCATACATTGAGGGATTTTGAAATAACTTGGCATAAATGTCTACCACATCAAGACGATGTGTTATGTCCAATTATCATGTCCCTACCTCAAAGGTCAAGGTCATACTACCATTTTGAAGTTTCACTTTATCATAATTAGAGTTTATAGGTACACACATTCGTGTCCGGATTGTAACTTTGTCATGCAGGGAAGGATTTTAGAATAACTTGGCACAAATGTCTACCACATCAAGACGATGTGTCATGTCCAAGAATTATGTCCCTACCTCAAAGGTCAAGGTCACACTACCATTTTGAAGTTTCACTTTATCACAATAAGAGTTTATAGGTACACACATTCGTGTCCGGATTGTAACTTTGTCATGCATCGGAGAATTTTAAAATAACTAGAAATAAATGTCTACCACATTAAGACGACATGTCACGATGAAGACCCATGTCCCTACCTTCAAGGTCAAAGTCACACTTATAGTTTGAAGGTACTCATTATCTCGAGAAGAGTTTGAAGATACTCATTAATGTCCGGACTGTAACTTTGTCATGCATGGAAGGATTTAAAAATATCTTGGCACAAATGTCTACCACATCAAGACAATGTGTCGTGGCTAAGGCTCATGTCTGTCTGTCCGTGTGTCCCAACTTACACAACAATCATGTCCAGACTGTAACTTTGTCATGCATTGAGTGATTTTGAAATAACTCGACACAAATGTCTATCTCATAACAACATTCTGTCTTGTCCAGGAACCACCTTCCTTCTTCAAAGGTCAAGGTCACAATTATATTTTGAAGGTTCATGCTATCTTAAGAGGTTACAGGTACAATAATACAAAGAACAATATTCAGCAATTAGTTACTTTCATTCTCTTTTCTTTTCATAATACCTGCATGCTTAAGAAAACATTTCGGGGGCATTCGTCACTTGGGGGACAGCTCTTGTTCACAATTGCAATATTAGCAGAAAACCTTGTTATGTGACATAATCTTGATATTTGTTTGTTTTTAATAATTTTAGGAACAGTGTTGTCTTCATGATGTAACAATTGTAATGTTTTCAAGGACATTTTATGAGGCCCACTCCAGAGGTTTGTAACTAGCATGTTTTTACTTAATAAAACTTTGAGCAATCTTCTGCTTGATTAAATAACAAAACGTACCATTTATATATTTAGTGAAACTTAATATGTAACATCAGCATAAATTTAAATAAAGTAATCTTGTCATTTTATTTTAGAGAGGCTAAAGCAGGACACCTCCATATTTATGCTAATTTTCATGAAAATCGGTCATAAATGACACATAGCATGGAAATTACTGCTTGTATCTTGAATCTTTTTACGTTGCCTAAAATCTCAGTAATTTTTCTCAAGTTTGATGTTCTTGTAATTGTTTGGCTCATCTGGAGGCATGCAGCTTTAATGTCACTGACAATGTCTAACTGTGAGTATAAATTACACCAGGGACTTGGTGCGTGTTTAAAACATTCCTTCATCACACCTACCAAAGAAAATAACACTTTTTTTTTCAAATTTACAGCCTTGTTTTCATTGAAATATGTTTAAATTAAGTTATATAGTTTAACACATTAGAAATGTTATTATTTTAGATGAGTTTCCTCAGTACATGCAGGAATGTTTACAACAAGATTACTTGGGGAGATTTTATGAGGACTTTTACAGGTACTGGCTGATTTAGGTCTCCTTATGTCATTCACAGAAAATTATTAATATGCTGTTTTTTTTTAAAATTTTATTTCAAAATATAAATGATTATTTCTATCAAAATATTTATGGGTAAATTGCCTGAATGGCAAATTGTGTAGTTTTCTACCAATCGAAAGTGTTCAGTAAATTTTGAAAAGGAACCATGTTTAAGAACATTTTTGTGAATAAAACGTCAAAAAATATCATAATTTTAATACTAATTATATGTATATTTAAAAAATGACAAGGCAATCAGTAATAAGTTAATTCAATGAATAGTGAACAAAAATAGCATTTTGGATACTGAATAACCTTTCTCCACTAGAAATTCCATTGACCTATTCTTATCAGTAGATCAACTTAAAAACAAAATATCTTTTTTATAACATCTGGTAGGATACTCTTATTCACAGATTGCTTTTCTTTGCGTCTTGAAAATCTGCCTTGGTTTTGTGTGTTTGTTTTTGAATGTGTGTACTGTATGTTGTAGAGTTGTGGTTCAGAATGAGAGATATGAGGAGTGGACGGAAACAATCAAACAACTGAGAAAGATTTTCAACGAGTATTCTAAATGGGTCCTTAATTATCACACACTGCGAGGGTACAAAGTTCCCAAGGCCTTTAACTCGGCAGCTGCACAAGGGAATTTTCTAGAGACCCTTAACATGTCTCTTAATTGTAAATATATATTATAAACTATTAAATAAACTCAGAATTTCACAAAGTTTTGATAAATTTCACATGAGTATAACAAGATTTTTAACTTGCACGTTAGTTAACAATCTTATATGTATGATCGGGAAAGGTAAAAGAAGAGAGATAGATAACTACACTTTGGTTAAAATAGTTAACACAATTAACTTTTGTAAAATAACTATGCATATGACGAAAAACTGACTCAGTGGGTATGTTCTGCTAAATCTTTCTAAGTGAAAGGCATGGAAAATTACCAATATTTTAACATGCAGGAATAGATAAAGATTTAACTTTCAAATGGTGTATACTATAAAAGAATCAAATCTACATTCATTGAGTTATAATTGCTACAAAAGACCTAATTTTTCACTTTTTGTAAGGCATGAGTGATATTTCTACGGGGTATATAAAAGCTGCTTATCTCTATTATCTACATCTCTTATTAAAGTAGTTAACACATTGAACAAATAAATGTTATGCTATTCTAAACCTGAACACACTATATATCTTAGATCAGTCAGTCTGGACAAAACCATTTATCATTTTTAGGTTAATTTTCAATGTAAGTACTGACTGAAAAGTGAACAGTGGATACCATGATCAGATGGCACGAATGTGCTGGTTGATCTTGGTCCGAACTGGTCGCATTGGTTTAATAAGTTGCCACCGGGAGGTTAAAGGTTAAGGTGTTGCTATTTTTAGTACTGTCTTTTCCTTTACCTGACTCATCCTTGTTTTGTATTTTTCATGTGCCAACATGACCATGTTTCATAATATATATGTACGAGTCTCAAAGAAAATGTTTGTTTTCTTCTGTTCTGCTAAATTTGATTTTGTTTTGAGTAATTGTCTGTATAAATGTTTGTTTGAATACCTTGAAGAAATTATAATTCTGTCTATTGATTACTTCTGAGAGAAAGAAAATTTCACTAGTCAGCCAGCACCGCATTGATTATGAGTACAATTTAAGAGAACTTGATGCAGGACAAGTAGAAAAATGTTGCTTGCACATTGGATTTAGAAGCTACTGATCTAAGATATTTAGTGTGTTCAGGTTTAGAATAGAATAACATTTATTTGTTCAATGTGTTAACTACTTTAACCAGACACTGAAAATATTTTCAAGGCCTGCTTCTATTACAAAAGAATGTTGATTTCTTTCTGCTTTATTTCAGTATTTGAACGTTATTACATGGACCGGAACTTTGACCGAACCGGAAAGGTTGCAGTGGTAATAACGCCTGGGGCGGGAGTATTTGAGGTGGACCGGGAGCTTACCAACATTACAAAGCAGAGAACAATAGACTGTGGTTTGTATATTTGATTTATACATTTACAGGTCCAGGGCTTTTTTCCTTCTATAGCAGGGGCCGTTTAAGGGCTGCTTACCCAAAGAAAAAAATTCTTTAAAAAAAATGCAGTTTTCCCCAAAAATTGAATTTACATCAAGTTTTTTCTTCCTCTTTTGCAAATATACTGTATAATTTTCCCCAAAAATTAAGAGCTGGGCTGCTTCCCAAACCTATGAAAAAAAGCCCTGAGGTTTTATTTTAACTTGTCTGACTCCTTACCTAGATATGTTAACCCCTTAAGCCTGCTGAATTCATGTAATGAACTTGTCCTGCTTTGAATTTGGAATAGTCCATTCAAAGTTTAAGGGATTTCAATATTTACATACAAAAATTTAGCTACCAACAGTATAGAGCCTAGCCAGACTGCACAGATGTCTTTACTGGTGGCACAGGCTAATCAGTTTTGATTCCAGCAGATTATTGATTAAATACTCCTTATACTATTGTGAGATTTTTGTCCGTCTGTCTGATCAGTTTTTACTGTAACCAAGTTACGTTCACAAATTGCTCTTTGAAATCCTAAAACATTAATAATACAAACAGATTATTACCACATGCATTCCTTAGATTCAGCTGGGAAACAGTTGTGTAACCACGAAGTTGTCAAGTCTTAGGGTGGACAAAATCTTTTTATATTAAATGTTTGAAAATTGCGTAATCAAAAAAATTGTTTCAGAATAACAGACCCTAATTAGCACCAGTATGAATCAGCTTTTAATTACTTTTTTACTTTTATTCTTTTCTAGATATGCATTATTGGAACTTATTTACATTCTTGTTTTCATTTTGAGCCTATGTAAACATTCATTAGAATGATTTCATGCAGTGATCATTGCTTTCAACAATGTTTGTCATCTCACTGAAATAAATGAATGCCCATTAAAATAAACTCCCCAGTTAAAAGAATTAAAAATAATACATTGTCTATTTTCTAAAACCAGTACCCATTGTATGTGGCATGTAATAAGACCTTTGTTAAAAATGTCTTCAAAGGTATATTGCAAGTTGAAAAAATATATAACTCTTTTACCATCTTGATTTTTGGCAATAACAATGTTCATGTCACTGAATAAGACACTAAATTTTATTATTTGCTTGGAATCGGATTTGAACCTTGGATTTCTCACATCTTAAGCAAACATCTTACTCTTTTATTACAATACATGTTAAGTTCGAATTTGGCTTTAGACCACTAATTTTTCAGATCGAGATGGTTATGGCCCCTTTTTGTAATTTTTTTATTGTATAATAAACTATACTGGATGTACATCTTGACAGTAACCAGTATATCTGTCATTGAAAATAGAAGATAGAACTAGCTAAAGTGAAAAAAGACACAGGGGAAATGAATGCTATTTTTACTAACAAATTTACTTGAATATCAGGAACATATTTGCAGAATGCAACACATAGAATAATAAGTTATACTTTCATTTTAGAAAATTATAATTGTAAGAAGTTTCTCTATTTGTTTGGCAGTTAACACCAACATAAAAACAAACAGTCATTCAAATATTCAATGTATTTTCTGATATACAGTCAAACATGTATTAAGCGACCACACAAAGGAAATATCAAAAATGGACTGTACATTTAAATGACACAGCTTATGATTCACCTGTCTGAAAAAAGGATTTAGAATTACATCAAAATTTAATTGTCTTGCTTGTACTGGGAAAGGAAATTGATGAATAATCCATTTATGTAGTACAGGTCAAGGTGAAAACAAAACTGCCTAAGGCCAGAAATATTCTTTACATTCTAGGTACATGTATTATCCTTAATTATGTTTTAGTATTAATTGCTGTTAAAATATGTTCATTACAGGTGTTGGAAGTGACCTTGTGTGTATGGGAGAACAACCATTACATGCTGCACCTTTATTTAAGGTACATTGAAATGTATTAGCTAGAATATATGAAAAACAAAATATGGGGTATTCCACTCATCCCCGCTTTGTTGCCACACTGGGTTATGGTTCTCCATGTAAATGGTATCTCATCAGTCACGAAAGATATTAGAATACTTGACACTTGACACATTTGAGATCATAATTTTAGGTCATTTTTCATGGCCTATAACTCTTTGTATACAAGATCAACCTACATAACTTTCTATGAAACTTCACGCATGGGTCAAAATTTTAGATCTGTATCTAAAACAAAAAAAAAGACCATGTCTTAATGACAGCTTTTTATATGCTGTTTGAAAAATGGGTTGTATTATAGTTTCCCCCCTGGCGGGCTGTGGCCAAATTTGTTCAGAACATATCTCCTACATGCATGAAGGAATTTTAATGAAACTTCATAGAAATGTACACCACTATAAGAAGCTGCATTGCACAAATAACCAGGTCTCTAGGTCAAAGGTCAAGGTCACACACATCATTGAACAACGCTTGTCCGGTACAAAACTTCAACATGCATTAAGGGATTTCAATTTAGCATGGCACAAATGTTCACCATTGTAAGGTGGAGTGTCACATGCAAAATTTAGTATCTTGTGGCCAAGTTCAAGGTCACACATTGGGGCCAAAGTTCAGATAAAAATATGAAAATGTGTAATTGGACCATTTAGTCATCATTTATTGAGGGATTGAAACACAGATGGTCATCAACATAACTACTGGTGTGAAACATGTATTTTACGTTAATATATGCAAGGTCAAGGTCACTAAAGATGATAAAATATAGAGATTTTGTCCAGAGCATAATCCTCCACGCATGGTGGGATTCATTAAATTAATCATATTATGACTCTATGTGTTTGGAATTTGTTCTTCATGTTCATATTATGAATCTATGTGTTTGTCATTTGTTCTTCATGTTCACATTATGACTCTATGTGTTTGGAATTTGTTCTTCATGTTCACATTATGACTCTATGTGTTTGGAATTTGTTCTTCATGTTCACATTATGAATCTGTGTGTTTGTCATTTGTTCTTCATGTTCACATTATGACTCTATGTGTTTGGAATTTGTTCTTAATGTTCATATTATGAATCTATGTGTTTGTCATTTGTTCTTCATGTTCACATTATGACTCTATGTGTTTGGAATTTGTTCTTCATGTTCACATTATGAATCTGTGTGTTTGTCATTTGTTCTTCATGTTCATATTATGACTCTATGTGTTTGGAATTTGTTCTTCATGTTCATATTATGAATCTATGTGTTTGTCATTTGTTCTTCATGTTCACATTATGACTCTATGTGTTTGGAATTTGTTCTTCATGTTCACATTATGAATCTGTGTGTTTGTCATTTGTTCTTCGTGTTCACATTATGACTCTATGTGTTTGGAATTTGTTCTTAATGTTCACATTATGAATCTGTGTGTTTGTCATTTGTTCTTCGTGTTCACATTATGAATCTATGTGTTTGTCATGTGTTCTTCATGTTCACATTATGAATCTGTGTGTTTAGAGTTTGTTCTTCATGTTGACATTATGAACCTATGTGTTTGGAATTTGTCTTCTTTTGCAGTTCCATAGCAAGAATCATAAAATAGCTTTTGAAGTTGGTGATGATTACAACATCCCTCACTGGATGAATCACAGGTATTGAAATAATAAAACAAAACAAGAGTAATATGTGATATCTGTGCTAAATGCCATCTTTAAATAAGATAGCCTTGTTATATCCTGTTTGTTTGTACTATTAGTTTATAAATAGTACATTTCTACACGAAGTGAAAAATAAGCCTCTTCTTCTATAGTATGTTTATACAAATTAAAGGCCATGCTGGTAAAAGGTTAATTGCTTGTTAAAGATATTCTGTGTTCATCCTAGAGTAAAATATTTGAAACAAATTTATGAAATTCTCACTGAATATATCTAATTTGAATAAATGAATGAAGAAACTGTGTATGGGAACCTGCATTCCCTATAACAGGTCAAGAAAAGTTAGTCTTTTTAAAAACAAAAAAAAGACTGCCATTTTTTTTAATGATACTCAATATTCATATTGTGACCACCTATACATAGTGTGTAAAATTTTAAACATAACATATCTACTTTGTGTGAAGTCAAAACATGTTTATTTCATATTTACAAAGGGACTGTATAGCAATTATCAATATTTTCTTATATCATATTTGAGCATAATTATATCTTTAATGTATGGATCTCATGTCACATATATTTTGGTTAGTATTTGTATTTTCTCTCTTTGTACAGCTTTTATACATCGAAAAACCAGATTCAGTTTTATTCTAACAAGACATTTGTTCCGAGGATCAAAATTCCCCCAGAAATAGTGAGTAAACACTAAAGATTATACAGACTATAATTTAAGAATGCATGTGTTTTTTTTTTTAAATGCTTGTAACTTTATATTTCGTTATAAATAGTCCATCAGTATGGAATTTCACTTCAAAAACAAATTGACTTATAGTTGATCCATCTACTTTCCAAAATGTCATTATTAAGAATTTAAGGTGCAGATAGATGGACTGTTTTTCTGTATATACATGTGTATTATGACTTTCTTTATCACATACCGGTACCTGTGCCATTTTTGTAACTGTAAAAATGGCACTGTCCTGCTTATATTTTAATGTGACGTCATTTGCGCTGTACAAACAAAGCATAGAGACATGCAAAATGTTAGTGTTACACTATATAAGCATCAGTGAAAAACTTGAATCATATTCTTTTTACTGCAACCAGTTCTTATTTTGGATATTAAATAGAATACATGTATTTTATTCCTGCAGCTTCATTACTAAATTTATTGAACTCATTGAATAAAATAATATTTTATTCAATTCAGTAATTCAGTATTTAACCTACACTCATTCAATATCCTTTTTATTATGTTACTTTAAACATAAAATCTATATCATGTGTAAATATACAATATTTTGGAGGTTTAATCAAAGTGTTTGTGCATGCCTTGTTTCAATAAATGACTAAACAGAGGGAAAGGTAGACAACATTGTGAGTCAGTGTGATTATAAATTTTTATATAGAAGCATTTTCTCACTTTTTTTTCATACTAATGTGTGCCACATACCAGAGGAAATGACTTTCTAAATCTGTGGAAATGTCATCAGGGATGAATATTTCATCCTGAAGATAATACTGTTGCCATGGTAATATAGAATTACTCATCATCATGTAATATATATTTCAGTTTGATAAGAAGAAGCAGAAAGAAGCCGTTGTAGAACAAGGTAGGAATTCATATGATGCTATTTTTAGTTCCAATAACCTTGAAGTATCCTCATTAAATTTTGATGGTCATTTAAAGATGAGAAAGAAGTTTTGTTTACTAAATCATCAAAATGAGATGAGATATTTATTGAAATTGATATTTCTGCATTTGGTTTCTCACTTATATATGACAGACACTTTAAAACTAGCACTTTGTGAAAGGTACACCCCCCTCCCCCACCCCCCAAAAAAGAAAGAAAAACAACAACAAAAAACAACACAAAATAAAAAAAAAGCACAAAACACAAAAAACACACTTTCTCTAGAATCCAAGGTTGAATGCAGGATATATGCTTGTTTATAAATGGTTGATTACTTTATAAAAAACTGTTTCAGTGTCTAAGGTCATATAAGTTTACAAAGTATATATGTTTCAACTGGGTCATATAATGTTTTTTATATTAAAGATATATACTCATGTTGATAATTTACACATTAAAGCAGACAGGAATAGGACTGAGAGCTGCAATAGCTCATGGTAGTCATCTCCTTTAACAAAAGCTTTACATACATATAATTTGTGGTTTAATAGTTATCATAATAACTATAATATTCTATAAAGTGAAAAAGTAAAAAAAAATCCTAAAATATTTACAAATACATGTATGTAAGCAAAGGTCATATTTTTATTGTCAAGTTGAGTTAAATTAACATAAAATTTCAAAAGAATGACTGTTATAATAGTGATTGACCAACAGTTGATATTGAAATATGTTAAGGAAATATAATATAAATAAAAAAAGACTGCCCCACTCTGTATGAAATTGAACATCACAAGTAAATTCACATGGCTATTTATAGAAATTTCCTTGGGCCACATAAGTTGATTATCATTCATAGAAAGTAAATTATAAGATTGAAAGGAATTTTGGTAAAATGGGAACTTATTTTGACTTTCACTTGTTCTTTTACTTTATACCTTTGGATGGGCATAATGTCACTTAAACAGGGAATAAGTCCCCCTTGTGGCTTAGGGGTTGCCTTTAAAGGTCAGGCATCAGAATAGCAGCCCCCGATTACCTCTGCCTGTCATAAGAGGTGACTAAATTACTTGAGTGTATGCATCTGTTAGTTCTAGCAGGAGAGGTGGTTTTGACCCCTGGTGTTGCTTTAAGTTATAAAATCCCAGGTTAACCTATATCATCTTTCCTGTTCCGGCGCCAAATGAACCTAATTGTGTTGGTAACCCTTAAAACCAAACAGACAGAGAATAACAGAGAGAGAGATAGAGAAAAGAGGAGTATTCAGATGTTTCAATATTAAAATAATGTATCATTATTTATTCAAAAATCTTTGTAGCTAATATAATATCTGGGCTCTGGGGATAATATTTTCAACTGTACATGATTGTATTCTATATTGATTCTGTGTTCTATTTTTAGAATTGTCTTATGGTTCGGATGATGATAATTTCCCATTTGTAGACTATGATGAATATGATGCTCAGGTGTTTAAGTTACCAAGCCGTAATATTTCTAGGTAAGTTACCAAGAAGAAATATATCTAGGTAAATTACCAAGCAGTAATATTTCTAGGTAAGTTACTTAGCAGAAATATTTCTAGGTAAGTTACCAAGCAGAAATATTTCTAGATAAGTTACCAAGCTGAAATATTTCTAGGTGAAATATTTCTAGATAAGTTATTCAACAGAAAATTTTGAAGGAAAATATTTCTAGGTAAGTTAGTATTAATTTTATGTACTTGTCAAGGACTTGTGAAACTTTGAATTTCCAACTGGTAACACCTTCTGCTATTTGCAGACAGTTTGTTTTTATTCCATTTAATATAGCATATAGTCAATCAAATTTACAAGCTAATTAGCCAGATTTTTCAGTTATCCAATTTTATTAGCAAAAATGATTAATTTTGTATATTATAAGGCCCTTTTAGACTTAAAAAATATATTTTTATTTTAAAACACTTTTTATTTTTGTGTCTTGTTTAATTTCCAAAGTATTAGTCATTTGCAATAAAGCTGATTCATCTTTTGCTTCTTTTTGCGTTTTGACAATTAGTACACTTATTGTAATTAATTGTTTTGTATGGAAGTAAAAAGAAACCCACTTTGTTTACATTCATCTATGTTTATAACAAATAATTCCACATTTGGCATTACCTTCTCCAGGTGATATACATTTATTTAAATCCATTATTAAAGCATTATAAAAAATGTGTATGCCCTTTCTACAGAAAGGAAATCTTATTCATTTCTAAGGCTTAGTGTGCCTTTAATTAATCGTTTTATCAACACATCAATTAATATCGTAACTTTATCAATTTTGTCATCAAATTCATAATTATTGTCAGTCTGAGGAAAGCCAGCAGCACAAAAGGTCCCAAGTCTGACATCAGGAAACAAAATCCACAGACTTTTCTAGAGGCTAAATTATTCCACATCCCTCGTACACGTCACACCTCCGATGATGTTTCATTGCTTCCAGTGGAGAAACCTGACCTGAAGCTCGGCACTTCACCCGAAATGTCGATACCTTCGGTGTCAAGTAGTGGAGATGACTTATCCTCTTCTTTAGGATGTTACCCAATATTTCGTAAGTACGATAAGAAAACGTTTATTCATTTTAGTTAGCTTTATTTTAAAACATTTTAGCCATATTCATAACATACAATGCAAAGTTATAAAAATATACACTGTTATACCTTATAGTATATCATCTTGGTTAAAGAAGCCTTCAGATTATCTTAAATATGTAATTTTTAGCTTGACTATGCGAAGTATAAAATTATGAAGAGCTGTCCTATTGGCGTCCGTGTCCAGATTTCAGATTAAAGTTTTGGTGCAGTAAAATATTTTTCACTATAACTTTTTCATTTCTTAAAATATCAACTTCAAATATATGTTCCTGATCATCAACCACATCTCATGTGACAAGGTTCATAACTCTATTACCAATATTTTCAGATTTTTCCATAAAAAGTACTATTTTTAGCTCACCTGTCACAAAGTGACAGGGTGAGCTTTTGTGATCGCTTTTCGTCCGGCGTCCGGCCGTCCGTCCGTCGTCCGTCCGTCGTCCGTCCGTCGTCCGTCCGTCCGTAAACTTTTACTTTAAATGACATCTCCTAATAAACCACTAAGCCAATTTCATCCAAACTTCACAAGAATGTTCCTTTGGTGGTCACCTTTAAAAATTGTTCAAAGAATTTAATTCCATGCAGAACTCTGGTTGCCATGGCAACCGAAAGAAAAAACTTTAAATATCTTCTTTTAAAAAACCATAAGAGCTAGAGCTTAGATATTTAGCATGAAACATCTTCTAGTGAGTGTCTACCAAGTTTGTTCAAATAAAAGCCCTGGGGTCAAAATTGGCCCCGCCCCGGGGGGTCATTGATTTTCCCTATATGCATATAGTAAAAACTTAAAAAAATCTTCTTTTAAAGAACCCAAAGAGCTAGAGCTAAGATATTTAGCATGAAACATGTTCTAATGGGTGTTTACCAAGTTTGTTCAAATAAAAGCCTGGGGTCAAAATTGGCCCCGCCCCGGGGGGGTCATTGATTTTCCCTATATGCATATAGTAAAAACTTAAAAAATCTTCTTTTAAAGAACTCAAAGAGCTATGGCTAAGATATTGAGCATCAAACATGTTCTAATAGGTGTCTACCAAGTTTGTTCAAATAAAAGCCCTGGGGTCAAAATTAGCCCCGCCCCAGGGGGTCATTGATTTTCCCTATATGCATATAGTAAAAACTTAAAAAATCTTCTTTTAAAGAACCAAAAGAGTTAGAGCTAAGATATTTAGCATGAGACATGTTCTAATAAGTGTCTACCAAGTTTGTTCAAATAAAAGCCCTGGGGTCAAAATTGGCCCCGCCCCAGGGGGTCATTGATTTTCCCTATATGCATATAGTAAAAACTTAAAAAATCTTCTGCTCACCTGTCACAAAGTGACAGGGTGAGCTTTTGTGATCGCTTTTCGTCCGGCGTCCGTCCGTCCGTCGTCCGTCCGTCGTCCGTAAACTTTTACTTTAAATGACATCTCCTCATAAACCACTAAGCCAATTTCATCCAAACTTCACAAGAATGTTCCTTTGGTGGTCACCTTTAAAAATTGTTCAAAGAATTTAATTCCATGCAGAACTCTGGTTGCCATGGCAACCGAAAGAAAAAACTTTAAATATCTTCTTTTAAAAAACCATAAGAGCTAGAGCTTAGATATTTAGCATGAAACATCTTCTAGTGAGTGTCTACCAAGTTTGTTCAAATAAAAGCCCTGGGGTCAAAATTGGCCCCGCCCCGGGGGGTCATTGATTTTCCCTATATGCATATAGTAAAAACTTAAAAAATCTTCTTTTAAAGAACCCAAAGAGCTAGAGCTAAGATATTTAGCATGAAACATGTTCTAATGGGTGTTTACCAAGTTTGTTCAAATAAAAGCCCTGGGGTCAAAATTGGCCCCGCCCCGGGGGGGTCATTGATTTTCCCTATATGCATATAGTAAAAACTTAAAAAATCTTCTTTTAAAGAACTCAAAGAGCTATGGCTAAGATATTGAGCATCAAACATGTTCTAATAGGTGTCTACCAAGTTTGTTCAAATAAAAGCCCTGGGGTCAAAATTAGCCCCGCCCCAGGGGGTCATTGATTTTCCCTATATGCATATAGTAAAAACTTAAAAAATCTTCTTTTAAAGAACCAAAAGAGTTAGAGCTAAGATATTTAGCATGAGACATGTTCTAATAAGTGTCTACCAAGTTTGTTCAAATAAAAGCCCTGGGGTCAAAATTGGCCCCGCCCCAGGGGGTCATTGATTTTCCCTATATGCATATAGTAAAAACTTAAAAAATCTTCTTTTAAAGAACTCAAAGAGCTATAGCTAAGATATTTAGCATCAAACATGTTCTAATAGGTGTCTACCAAGTTTGGTCAAATAAAAGCCCTGGGGTCAAAATTGGCACCGCCCTGGGGGTCATTGATTTTCCTTATATGTGTATAGCAAAAACTTAAAAAATCTTCTTTGAAAAAACCCAAATACCTAGAGTTAAGATATTAGGCATGAAATTTCTTTTAGTGAGTGTCTACAAAGTTTGTTCAAATAAAATACCTGGGGTCAAAATTGGCCCCGCCCCGGGGGTCATTGATTTTCTTTATATGTGTATAGCAAAAACTTAAAATCTTCTTTGAAAAAACCCAAATAGCTAGAGTTTAGATATTAAGCATGAAACATCTTCTAGTAAGTGTCTACAAAGTTTGTTCAAATAAAAGCACTGGGGTCAAAACTGGCCCGGCCCCAGGGGTGTCATTGTTTTTAACTATATGTGTATAGTAAAAACTTAAAAAAAATCTTCTTTTAAAAAGCCCAATGAGCTAGAGCTTAGATGTTTAGCATGAAAAATCTTCTTATGGGTGTCTCTACCAAGTTTGTGCAAATAAAAGCCCTTGGGTTAAATTGGCCCTGCAACGTTGGGGGGGGGGGGGGTTGGGGGGGCCTATATACAGGTGAGCGACCTCAGGGCCATCATGGCCCTCTTGTTAGCTCACCTGTCACAAAGTGACAGGGTGAGCTTTTGTGATCGCTTTTCGTCCGGCGTCCGTCTGTCCGTCCGTAAACTTTTGCTTTAAATGACATCTCCTCATAAACCACTGAGCCAATTTCATCCAAACTTCACAGGAATGTTCCTTTGGTGGTCACCTTTAAAAATTGTTCAAAGAATTTAATTCCATGCAGAACTCTGGTTGCCATGGCAACCGAAAGAAAAATCTTTTAATATCTTCTTTTAAACAACCCTAAGAGCTAGAGCTTAGATATTTGGCATGAAACATCTTCTCATGAGTGTCTACCAAGTTTGTTCAAATAAAAGCCCTGGGGTCAAAATTGGCCCCGCCCCAGGGGGTCATTGATTTTCCCTATATGCATATAGTAAAAACTTAAAAAATCTTCTTTTAAAGAACCGTAAGAGCTAGAGCTTAGATATTTTGCATGAAACATCTTCTAGTGAATGTCTACCAAGTTTGTTCAAATAAAAGCCCTGGGGTCAAAATTGGCCCCGCCCCAGGGGGTCATTGGTTTTCCCTATATGCATATAGTAAAAACTTAAAAAATCTTATTTTAAAGAACCCAAAGAGCTAGAGCTAAGATATTTGGCATGAAAAATTTTCTAATGAGTGTCTACCATGTTTGTTCAAATAAAAGCCCTGGGGTTAAAATTGGCCCTGCCCCGGGGGTCATTGATTTTCCCTATATGCATATAGTAAAAACTTAAAAAATCTTCTTTTAAAGAACCGTAAGAACTAGAGCTTAGATATTTGGCATGAAACATCTTCTAGTGAGTGTCTACCATGTTTGTTCAAATAAAAGCCCTGGGGTCAAAATTGGCCCTGCCCCGGGGGTCATTGATTTTCCCTATATGCATATAGTAAAAACTTAAAAAATCTTCTTTTAAAGAACCGTAAGAACTAGAGCTTAGATATTTGGCATGAAACATCTTCTAGTGAATGTCTACCAAGTTTGTTCAAATAAAAGCCCTGTGGACAAAATTGGCCTGCCCCAGGGGGTCATTGATTTTCCCTATATGCATATAGTAAAAACTTAAAAAATCTTCTTTTAAAGAACTCAAAGAGCTAGAGCTAAGATATTTAGCATGAAACATGTTCAAATGGGTGTCTACCAAGTTTGTGCAAATAAAAGCCCTGGGGTCAAAACTGGCCCCGCCCCGGGGGGTCATTGATTTTCCTTATATGTGTAAAGCAAAAACTTCTTTGAAAAAACCCAAATAGCTAGAGTTTAGATATTAAGCATGAAACATCTTTAAGTAAATATCTACAAAGTTTGTTCAAATAAAAGCCCGGGGGTCAAAACTGGCCCTGCCCCAGGGGTGTCATTGTTTTTAACTATATGTGTATAGTAAAAACTTAAAAAAATCTTCTTTTAAAAAACCCAATGAGCTAGAACTTAGATGTTTAGCATGAAACATCTTCTTATGGGTGCCAGTACCAAGTCTGTTCAAATAAACAAATAAAAGCCCTTGGGTAAAAATTGGCCCGGGGGTGGGGGGGGGGAGGGGGCTATATACAGGTGAGCGACCTCAGGGCCATCATGGCCCTCTTGTTTACTGTTACTCCTTTATTTCTTAAGTGATCAACTTCATACTTCAAATATATGTTCCTAATCATCAGCCACATCTTATGTGACAAAAAGTCTTAACAGTGATATGATGCTACTTTTTCAAGATAAAATTGCTGAAATACTTAGATTTAGAATTGTTTTTCCAACAGAAAATAATAACTGAAGGCCACTTTAAGGTTGTTGAAATTTAAATAAATTTTATATCACATGCATGTACTAACTAAGATACTTACTTGAATCAACCAATTGGGCAATTGCAAACTTGTAGCAGAGTACCATCATCTTTTTGAGGGTTATGATTAACTTTCCCTTCAAAAAATTAATACATTTGGCAGTAGTAGTTAAAGTTAATAGTTAAAGTCTTTATTACTGTTTACATTCAAATTTTGTTATAACAAAAATTAGAAAAAAATTAAATACATTACCACTCATTTCTATATGTATTCTTCAGCGAAAAAACCTTTTGGTGCGTGTGACTCGGATAATGATTTACACCTTGGTTTGAGACCTATTGTTGGCAGTGCAGGTTCACCAGTGGGGCACAGAAACTTTCTTAACCATTACACGCGACATCGTGCCCTCATAAACCCATTTGCACCGTCAAGAATGCAGTTTAAAATGACATCTAACAGGAGAAGATGGATTCATGCTTTCCCAACTGGTATGTTAAATACAGTTCTCCATTCCATTTTTATGCTCCCCAAAAAAATTTCGGGGGAGCATATAGTCGCCGCCTTGTCCGTCCATCCGTCTGTCGGGCCCCTTTTCTTGTCCGGGAATAACTTTGAAACAACAAGAGGTATCAACATGAAACTTTGTAGGTAGATAGATCTCATTGAGTAGGTGTGCAGTGCACAAGAACCGTAACTCTGCCTTGCCTATTTTTTGAATTATTCCCCTTTGTTTATTTTTACACTTTGAACTTTGTCTGGGACATAACTCTAAAACTATAAGAGGTATCAACATGAAACTTTGTAGGTAGATAGATCTCATTTAGTAGGTTTGCAGTGCACAAGAACTGTAACACTGTCTTGCCTACTTTTGGAGTTATTGCCCTTTGTTCATTTTGACACTTTGAACTTTGTCTGGGACATTACTCTAAAATTATATAATAGATATCTGAACATGAAACTTTGTAGATAAATAGGTCTCATTGGATGGAAATACAGTGCTTAAGAATCATTACTCTGCCTTGCCTTATTTTGAATTAATTGCCCTTTGTTTATTTTTACTTTTTGACTTTTGTCCGGGACATAACTTTAAAACTATTAGAGATATCAACATGAAACTTTGTAGGTAGCTAGATATAATTGGATAGAACTGCAATGCTTAAAGAACCTAAAGAAAGCCTGGTCTAATTTTGGAGTTATTGCTTTGTTCATTTTTACACTTTGAATTTTACCAGGGACATAACTCTGATATCATCAGGAAACGTTATAGATAGATAGATCTCATTGAATAGAAGTGCAGTGCAAAAACACATAACTCCTCCTTGCCTAATTTTGGAGTTTTTGCCCTTTGTTCATTTTTTTTATACTTTCCTGTGTCCAGAACCTTCTCGGGGAGCATCACCCGGTTCAACCGGTTCTTGTTTTTTTCAGGTATATTTGGATAGTAACAAAATGTATGTGTCATGTCTGGGCAGCTGAAATTTTGAAAATTTTCAAAGGTTTTTATGCGCCCTCTTGGCGAGGTGAGTTGGCAGTGGGACTGACTGTCCCAGACTCACAAACCAGCGGAATGTGAGGGCATCTATGTCCCCTAGAAACTTTTTTGGTTTCTTGATGCTTTGATATAAGGTTGATTAAAACCACAGAATATTAATTGCATTAAATCTCAGGTTTTAAATGAAAAAAAACAAAAATCAATAAAATGTAAGAATAGAAGATGTGCTCTAAATGTGGATTTTATCATACTGTTTCTTTTGAAGTTATATATTCTGTGCAGAGTTTTATAATAAACTTCTGAATTATTACCATCTTTAACCAGTTAATAACATCATGCCCGCTTCAATCCTGGCAGGGTTGTACCAAAAAATATTACTATTGCTTCCTGCCTCGGATGACAAGGCAGGATATTATGTTAGTATGTATATAGAAACATTTCTGTTAAGTTTTTCATTGTCCTTTGTTGCCTCAAGAATAATACTGTCATCATCCATGTAATAAAAGTGTTGTTGAAACTGATATAGACATGGGTTTTCTTGTTTGAGGTCCTGACCGCCACCTCAACGTAGTACACGCTTTAAAAAAAATAAAGTAAATATTTTTTGTTTATTTTTATCTAAATGTTAATCATAAAAACCATTAAATATGTATTTGAGCTAGTTTTAAAATAGGTTCAGCCTATTTGATTAATATTTGGTTTAGGATTTTTAAGACCATGCAGTCAGTTAGAATAGAATTCAGGAGCTTGTACACCACAGGTACCTGCTGAATCAACACTCACTCATCTATACCCCTCTCATATAGTTTTCTCATTGTCTTTTATTATAAATTATTCTTATTATGTTTAAGACCCTCGTGGAGTGGCTGTACAGACACATCATGTCCATACATACAGTTATAATGACAACAACGATCAGGAAGATGTTGACCTTTGTGAACTCACCCCCGAAGTCATAGAGGTAATCATTTAGGTTTTTTTTCATAATCTTGCTTTTGAATGCTGTGGTGATATTGAAAAGCCTATGTCACCAGATATAGATCCAGGCTGTGGTGATATTGAAAAGCCTATGTCATCAGATATAGATCCAGGCTGTGGTGATATTGCCTATGTCACCAGATATAGATCCAGGCTGTGGTGATATTGAAAAGCCTATGTCACCAGATATAGATCCAGGCTGTGGTGATATTGAAAAGCCTATGTCACCAGATATAGATCCAGGCTGTGGTGATATTGAAAAGCCTATGTCACCAGATATAGATCCAGGCTGTGGTGATATTGAAAAGCCTATGTCACCAGATATAGATCCAGGCTGTGGTGATATTGAAAAAGCCTATGTCACCAGATATAGATCCAGGCTGTGGTGATATTGAAAAGCCTATGTCATCAGATATAGATCCAGGCTGTGGTGATATTGAAAAGCCTTTGTCACCAGATATAGATCCAGGCTGTGGTGATATAGAAAAGCCTATGTCACCAGATATAGATCCAGGCTGTGGTGATATTGAAAAGCCTATGTCATCAGATATAGATCCAGGCTGTGGTGATATTGCAAAGCCTATGTCACCAGATATAGAGCCAGGCTGTGGTGATATTGAAAAGCCTATGTCACCAGAGATAGATCCAGGCTGTGGTGATATTGAAAAGCGTATGTCACCAGATATAGATCCAGGCTGTGGTGATATTGAAAAGCCTATGTCACCAGAAATAGATCCAGGCTGTGGTGATATTGAAAAGCCTATGTCACCAGATATAGATCCAGGCTGTGGTGATATTGAAAAGCCTATGTCACCAGATATAGATCCAGGCTGTGGTGATATTGAAAAGCCTATGTCACCAGATATAGATCCAGGCTGTGGTGATATTGAAAAGCCTATGTCACCAGATATAGATCCAGGCTGTGGTGATATTGAAAAGCCTATGTCACCAGATATAGATCCAGGCTGTGGTGATATTGCCTATGTCACCAGATATAGATCCAGGCTGTGGTGATATTGAAAAGCCTATGTCACCAGAAATAGATCCAGGCTGTGGTGATATTGCCTATGTCACCAGATATAGATCCAGGCTGTGGTGATATTGCCTATGTCACCAGATATAGATCCAGGCTGTGGTGATATTAAAAAGCCTATGTCACCAGATATAGATCCAGGCTGTGGTGATATTGCAAAGCCTATGTCACCAGATATAGATCCAGGCTGTGGTGATATTGCAAAGCCTATGTCACCAGAAATAGATCCAGGCTAGCCTGCACATCCATGTTTTCTGACAAGATGCTTTTAAACCTTTGGTTACCTTAGTTATTTGTTGAAGGAGAAGATTGCTAGAACACCGGTCTTCCAGTTTAGCTGTTTAACAAATACAATATGTACACATTGATATCTGGATTTTATTAAACTTATAGAAAAAGATTTTATGAAACATTTCTGTTTTAATATTTCCTCAGGCTGCAGAGTTAGCTGTCAGGGCAAGGAAAGAATTAGGAAATAGTAAAAGTAGTGATAAACTTTCAGAGTCTAGCACGTAAGTTTCACAAATCATATTCATATCATTGTTATAGTAGTTATAAGCTTATGTACAAGGCCTTACTAATATATCTACAAACTCCTCACAGTGATTACGTCCCTTGGCAGAATTGTAATCACTGCCTTCAAAGACGTCACATGATGATGAAAGTCACATGACGTAACGTCGAAATTCAAATGTAAATATCGACCGTTACATAGAAAATCTAACGTCATTTTTCTCTTTCTGTTTTATTTTTAACTTTTAGTGCCTATGTTCGATATAGTTTATCTAAAAATTATCAAAGGTATACAAAATAACGAAAAATAAATTCGAAAGCTAAAAAATATAAAATATCAAAATATTGTCTCGTAGAAAATATTCTCATAATTTTTAAAATTATTTCTAAATATTCATATTATTTATTTATTTATTCATAAACATTGTTAAATAAATGAGAAAGAACTTATCTAATAGATAAAAGCAGTAGATAAAACAATTTTTATAAAAATATAGTATATCAGAAATTCTGATATATCGGGACCTTGGTGGCAGAGATCTACGCCGAAGAATTAAGGGGAGATCACTGTTTGGAGATTGATATATCTAGTGTCTGTTCTCAGCCACAGTTGCATTAGGTGTCTGAACTTATACAATATAATTCTGTCCATATTATATAAAATGACTGTGCTTTGTTATGGTGACATAAAGTGCCTGAACTCCGTGGTAGTTATTTAATATGAAATACTTGGACATAGCCATAGTTTATATGCCTTCTTTGGTGTAGGTAGAAGGCCATATAAACTGATAAATATGACTTTTAGCATAATAATGTACATTAAGTCTTATACTATTATACTTAAACTTAATAAACGTATAAAGTTTTACATCCAATTCAACTTATAAATGTTATATTTTTAACAGAATTGATGTTTTTATTTTAGGCTAGATGACTTGACCAGTATGTCAGGGGCTTCTCCGTTACGGAAAGTAGGGTTACATGATCATGGTATGTGTAGTATGTGTTGTTTTAAAGCAACATGCCTTCATATTTTGTAAATTTTTATGAAAATATGTTTGGTTTGTGAATGTGATAAACTCCAAAAGTTAAATTTAAATAAGTTACAGGTATCAAAACTCTTACGTTATTCTCAGCAGACTAAATTTAATAGGGAGGGCATAGGTCTCAGGTTAGGCGAAATTTCCATGTGACTTATGAGCATGGACATTTAGTGAAATGGTCATTTATCTCTGACCACTGATTCAGAAATCATGTGAAATTAGTAGTCAGTCACTTGTGGAAAACTTGGTAATTACTGATAAGTTAGGTGGACAAATCGCCAAAATAAAACCAAAAATGTGTTGAAATTGTTTTAAAATTTCAATCAAGTTTATATGTAGAAATAAAAAGTATTAAACTTGCTCAAATTAGAAGTCAAAACCTGAAACTGTAGAACAGAATGTATATAGATTCATTCAGCATATATTTATAGAACATCTTTATGAATGTAGAAATATCTATTTATAGAACGTTTTTCATCTGCAGGTCGAAGCTTTCACAGGGACTTTAAAGGTCAAAAGTCATTCATGTGGGGTCCGACAGGTGAACAGGAATGGTCACCAGAACTTACAACAGGTAGATTTACTAAATTTATCATTTTGTTGAAACAGATATTAAAGTGTTCATATTAATACTTTTTACATTACATATTTTTTGAATGACATGTGTTGAATGACATGTGTTGAGTGACATGTGTTGAATGCTCCTGTTTATTATAGCAGAATCAGCAGCATATTATATTAGTTTGATGCAAAAATGGATCTGATAATTAACAAAAAAAATTTCTGGATGTATATTTTATGCATTAAAAATAATTTATTCACACACAAGAGTGGACAGCATGCTTTTTTGGAAAAGTTTATTTTACTCCAGGTTCTAAACTGAATATAGTGGCTAAGTCTCAAGATTTAATTGTTTGAGATATTTTGAGCATTGAAAACTCCTGTAATTAAAGTGACATTATGCTAATTTTTTCATTGTCGAGTTGAACTGAATTGATTATTTATTTTAAAGAATTGACTATGTGTGATTGACCAGTAGTTTATAGTCGAAAATCTTAAGGATAAAATATAATCTGTCTAAAATATAAAGTGACTGCCCCTCTCTTTTAAAAAATTTGCCCCTCAAAAAAATTTGCCCCTCTCTTTTAAAAAAATTGCCCCTCTCTTTTAAAAAAATTGCCCCTCTCTTTTAAAAAAATTGCCCCTCTCTTTTAAAAAAATTGCCCCTCTCTTTTAAAAAAATTGAATGTTACCAATACATTTTAAATATTTTTGAAGTACTGTAACCCAATTTATATTCGCGAATACAAATTTTCGCGTTTTGCCGAGGTCGGACATATTCGCGAATATTAATTTCCGCGTTTTCTTGATTTCCGAAAAAAAAATTCGCGGATTGGAAAGTCCGATGCCTTATATTGTATTGGTAAGTGAATCGTGATCACAATTCAGCTTAACATTTTCTCTATATAATTATGTACATGTACGCATCGTTCGTCTTCATTTTATAGGTTTATACCACCTTTTTCTTAACAATTCACTCAAACAATTATTTTATAGGATCCATAAAACAATAGCCTTTTGTGATGCTCGATAGTTTTCCCACTTTTGTCAAACGATTTATTGATAGTTTTCACACTTTTGTCAAACGATTTATTCAAACATTTATTTTAAAATAAGTGCGAGTACTTTGTATGCATATACTTAGTATAGAAGTGTAAATATGAAGAAATTTAAAACTGACACATGCTCCGTATAGTACCCTATACGGATCGTGATTGACAATAGGCCTACTAGTATTTCATAAACTGTATTAAAATGTGGATGTTTATTTTGATTGCTATATTGACATAGAGTTCTTTTGATATTTATAAAATAATAGTAGTTTACTTAGCTTGTGTTTTTATTGCTTTATGGCAATATTCATAACAACTCATTATATCCGGTCAAGTAGCTTTGCATTACCACGTCTAAAATAAAAATTTCTCTCCAATATATTCGCGAAATCGTGCGGACTTATTCGCGCAAACAAATATTCGCGCTTCGTGGCCATCCGCGAATAAAGCGAATATTAATTGGTCGCGAATATTTTTTGGGTTACAGTATATAAGGCAAAAGAAAAAGAAAATATTTCCAATTTTCACAAGTTCATGATAACATTGATTGTCTTATTTTGTCTAAGGTGTTGTTGTTACTTTAATATTGACAGATGATGTATTTTTTTGTCAAAGCTTGGCCATCTATATCAGTCTTGTAACCATGGAATCAGTCAAGCATGAAATTTGATAAATATTGCTTATTAGCTCACCTTGCACAAAGTGCAGGTGAGCTTTTAGGATGGCCAACCAAATGGCGTCCGTCGTCTGTCGTCCGTCCACATTTTAAATATTCTAAGGACATCTTCTATGATACCGCAAGGCCAATGTTAATGAAACTTGGCAGGAATACTCTTTGTATGAAGCTCTATCAAGATTGTTCAAAGAATTCCATTTCATGCAGAACTCTGGTTGCCATGGCAACCGAAAGAAAAATCTTTAGATATCTTCTTTTAAAGAACCGTAAGAGCTAGAGCTTAGATATTTGGCATGAAACATCTTCTAATGAGTGTCTACCAAGTTTGTTCAAATAAAAGCCCTAGGGTCAAAATTGGCCCCGCCCCAGGGGGTCATTGATTTTCCCTATATGCATATAGTAAAAACTTAAAAAATCTTCTTTTAAAGAACCCAAAGAGCTAGAGCTAAGATATTTGGCATGAAACATCTTCTAGTGAGTGTCTACCAAGTTTGTTCAAATAAAAGCTCTGGGGTCAAAATTGGCCCTGGCCCGGGGGGTCATTGATTTTCCCTATATGCATATAGTAAATACTTAAAAAATCTTCTTTTAAAGAACTGTAAAAGCTAGAGCTTAGATATTTGGCTTGAAACATCTTCTAGTGAATGTCTACCAAGTTTGTTCAAATAAAAGCACTGGGGTCAAAATTGGCCCCGCCCCAGGGGGTCATTGATTTTCCCTATATGCATATAGTAAAAACTTAAAAAATCTTCTTTTAAAGAACCCAAAAAGCTAGAGCTAAGATATTTGGCATGAGATATCTTCTAATGAGTGTCTACCAAGTTTGTTCAAATAAAAGCCCTGAGGTCAAAATTGGCCCTGCCCCAGGGGGGTCATAGATTTTCCCTATATGCTTATAGTAAAAACTTAAAAAATCTTCTTTTAAAGAACCCAAAGAGCTAGAGCAAGATTGTTCAAAGAATTCCATTTCATGCAGAACTCTGGTTGCCATGGCAACCGAAAGAAAAATCTTTAAATATCTTCTTTTAAAGAACCCAAAGAGCTAGAGCTAAGATATTTGACATGAAATATCTTCTAGTGAGTGTCTACTTAGTTTGTTCAAATAAAAGCCCTGGGGTCAAAATTGGCCCCGCCCCGGGGGGTCATTGATTTTCCCTATATGCATATAGTAAAAACTTAAAAAATCTTCTTTTAAAGAACCGTAAGAGCTAGAGCTTAGATATTTGGCATGAAACGTCTTCTAGTGAATGTCTACCAAGTTTGTTCAAATAAAAGCCCTGGGGTCAATATTGGCTCCGTCCCAGGGGGTCATAGATTTTCCCTATATGCATATAGTGAAAACTTAAAAAATCTTCTTTTAAAGAACCCAAAGAGCTAGAGCTAAGATATTTAGCATGAAACATCTTCTAATGAGTGTCTACCAAGTTTGTTCAAATAAAAGCCCTGGGGTCAAAATTGCCCCCCCCCCAGGGGGTCATTGATTTTCCCTATATGCATATAGTAAAAACTTAAAAAATCTTCTTTTAAAGAACTGAAAGAGCTAGAGCTAAGATATTTAGCATGAAACATGTTCTAATTTGTGTCTACCAAGTATGTTCAAATAAAAGCCCAGGGGTCAAAACTGGCCCCGCCCCGGGGGTCATTGATTTTCCTTATATGTGTATAGCAAAAACTTAAAAATCTTCTTTGAAAAAACCCAAATAGCTTGAGTTTAGATATTATACATGAAACATCTTTAAGTAAATATCTACAAAGTTTGTTCAAATAAAAGCCCGGGGGTCAAAACTGGCCCTGCCCCAGGGGTGTCATTGTTTTTAACTATATGTGTATAGTAAAAACTTAAAAAATCTTCTTTTAAAAAACCCAATGAGCTAGAACTTAGATGTTTAGCATGAAACATCTTCTTATGGGTGTCTACCAAGTCTGTTTAAATAAAAGCCCTTGGGTAAAAATTGGCCCGGGGGGGGGGGGGGGGCTAGATACAGGTGAGCGACCTCAGGGCCATCATGGCCCTCTTGTATCTGTTTTGTGATATGATAATTGTGTAAGTGTAGAGCATATTGTCCGTTACTGAATTCACGTCACTGATTTCACATTAAGAACACATTAAAATAAAGAATCTTCTAAAGTAGAATAAAGAATCTTCTAGAAAGAATAAGGAATCTTCTAGAATACAATAAAGAATCTTCTAGAATAGAATTAAGAATCTTCTAGAAAGAATAAAGAATCTTCTAGAATAGAATAAAGAATCTTCTAGAAAGAATGAGTCTTTGATGCTAGTGTATAATATCCTTAGTTTCTAGAAATGTTTATTCCCTAATGGAAATAGATAGTGTTAAGTTTAACTACATGTATATTGAAATGATGGACAAATCTTTTAAACATTAGCTTATCCACAGCCTTAGAACTACCTTTTAAGTTATTATAATTATATCCTTTACAGTTCATCCTAGTTTAAACATATTTGTTTTAGTTTAATTGTGAAAGAAGCTTAAATTTGAGTTCTTGTCTTGAGGTTATTAAACCTTTTTTAGAGTTCTGGCTCAAATCTCAGGAATTTCATTGGTCAATACATGTTCTGTGCTAGTCTCTAAATCAAATACCTGGGATCTGAGTTAAAGCTCAGGAATATACTTTATAACCTTTGACCCAGTTCCTGGGTGTAATCAGCTCTGATGTTATATTAGGAAACTCGGTCATGACTCAATTAGGGCTCAAACTCATGATCCCTGGGTTGAGAGACAGACACCTTAGCCACTAGGCCTATGACTATCTGTGGTTCATCTGAGACATTGATATTTATGTCATTCCATTGATTACTGTTGATAAAGTGCATGCTTGATAAAGTTAGCTGTATCAGTCACCCTCAGCTTTATCAAGATATTGAAGTAAAATAAAAAGAATGAAATATTTTTAAGTTTTACTAGATCTAGTTTGAAAATATTAAACTGATAAACTTTGAAACAAATAGAATTTTTGACTTTTAAAGTCTCTCTTACATTTGACTTAAATGTTTGAGACTATTTTATATACCGGAACTGAATCTACTGATGAGCCTTGGCATATTACTTTGCTCAATATGAACTCAAGAGGTTCTTGACAGGTTTTGTTTCATTTGAAATTTAAAGAAAGAAACACATACTCAAATCGAATGCATGATAAATAGAATACCAAACATGTGTCTGATATAAAGTTTATCAGACTCGGCACGAAAAAAAAAATCCTCGGCTGATAAATTTTGTAATATCAGACACTAGCATAAAGCTGCCATTGTTAGTCTATGTCAAGATCAATGTAACTATTTTTACCCTATCATTTCCAGATTCATGATTCTAATTTTAGCTGTTCGTTGATATTTATGTCAAGTAGAATGTTAATATTTTTAGCATAGTGATTGGTACTGTTCCAAGATGCATGTTTTACAGCCGTACATTGAACAGTGTTATCACTTTAAGCTTTGTATCAAGATTACTTGTTCAATATTTATTTATTTATTTCAACTATCCATTGAGCCACATGTCTCTTCAACCCTACATAATTCAATAACCTTAAACATGATACAAATTCTCCCGAACAGCCACCTCTCTACAACAGTTAATTTTGGACTGTCTGATTACTGGCTGTTGTAGGGAGGTTGCACTGTACAGATATGTAAGTATAATCAGGCTTTGATATTGTATTATATTAAGCAAAGTTTAGGAATTTCCAGTTATTTTTCAGAAATCCGGTTATTTTTAAGCTTATGAGTTTTGGAATTTCCAGGACAAGATTGGCGCCCTCTAGATGATGCAGAAATCAATCAAGCGGAATCGCGCCTAATAAAGCCGATTCTGACAGCCGATATTGAAAATACACAAAACTTTTGTGCCGGCATAAGTAAGCATGACTGTGGCCAATTAGTACAGAGTGCAACTAACGTAGCATGCATTAGTGTTGGTGTTGTTATGATTTATATGCATGGTCTTTGTATAATTGGGGAGTTAACGCAAAAATAGTCTATCTGTTTAATAAAAAGGCTTATAGTCTACTTTGGCGTTAATTACCATTAAAAATGCATTCCTTTGAAATCATTACTCATCTTGGTAGGTCTGTGATGGTTTTTTTTTCTTTGTTTGTATGTTTGTTATTTTTCCATTATTGTTTTTTGGGGTGGAGTGGGGGGGGGGGGGTTAGGGGTGGAATGGTGAATTTTATCGGACACAAAACTTTTGCTGTTAAACAAAACAGCTGATTTGATCCAAACAATAGACAATTTCCATTAGATAGCCTTGGGGTAAAATTTTAAAACATTTTAATCATTTTGCAAGTTATTATAGAATGTTTGGGTCATTAAAAAACATCTGTACAAACCTACAAAGATAAATGACTTCAAAGGGCACTGGATATAAAGCTTCAATTTTTATACTGTCACAATTCATTTATCAAAAAGAATCGGGACAAAAATTTTCACAAAAAATACACAAAATATGAAAAAAATCATCAAGGGAAAGCTATGTACTAGTACTGGTAAACTGCTTGACAGCCTGCCCTAGAATGATGCGGTGGCTGAACTGTGCTTTCTGGTAAATTCAGGGTGGCTTACTGCCATGATCTGGAGTGAAAACTACCAATACCACCACTGTTAGATATGCATGTTATAGAAAAATTATTTAAAAAAAAAATAAAGCAAAAAAAAGAAAATTGAAGCTTTTTTCCATATGATATTGGTAGTCCTTTCTTTTCTTTTTTTATAGCTTTTTTTCTTTTCAGTCTTTACTTGTGTTTAATTTCTTTTCACTTTTTCATTTGACACCCTTTCACAAAATTGATATCCCTGATTGTTTTGTTTACTACTATTATTGTAACACATAATTTCATTTGTAGTCTTAATTAAAGTATTATTTTCATTTTTTTCTTTATTTTCTTTACTGGATATATTTTACTATTCAAGTTCAATTACTTATGTCTGTTTTTTTCATAATTTGTTATAATCCTTTTAACCCTAATGCTATTGTATCTTATTTCACCTTATATACCATTATTTGACAATAACTTTAGTCAACCTAATAACATTTCCCTTACATTGAATGTATTTATATCTATTAACTTTATAAATATCCTTCATAACAATAGATGACATTTAAAGGGACTCCACTGAGGTTTTTTGGCGTGATGGACTTGAAATGAATTTTTGATATTAATGTCCCATTTCATGTAGGTCAAGATCAGTAAGTTGTGTGTAAAATTTCTGATCATTCGCTCTTTCTGTTTTTTCCAGAATAATTATTTTAATTGTAAAAAATAACCAAAAATTTAAAAGTGTTGTAATGCTTTTTACTCAAATTGTTATTTGAATAGCATAAAGATATAACTTTCAATTAATTTCTTTTTATATATCTTCATTACATTTTGCATAACTTTCTCATTTAAGTGCCCAAGCTAATCTATGTAAGAAATTAAATTTTATGTTTTAGGCTTATGGACCTCAGTGAAGTTCCTTTAATAACATTGTACACCCTTCAATGTTCAAAAATTTTAATATCAGTTAAAGTGGCATGCCTCCGGATGAGTCAAAATTTACTGCAAATTTGAGAAAAATATTTATATATTAAAGGCACATAATGATTCAGAAACAATTTACTATGTACAAAGAGCAAACATAAATTTTATACCATTTAAATAATGGTTTAGAGCATATTAGTAGCGTGCTACCTGTAGAAAGTAGCTCTAAATATAAAATAATTTGTCATAATTAGATAACGCAATGTAAACAAAGTAGTATTTTTTAACTTCCATATAAAATACTAAAGTACTGTAAACATACTTATGGCCAAAAAGACCGCCTCCGTGGTCGAGGGGTTAGAGTCAATGACTTCTAATCCAGTTACCTCTCTGGCGTGGGTTTGATCCCCGGGAGATGCTTTGGTAGTTTAGCGCGGAGGAAGGTAGTCTAGTACTGGTGTAACTCTCCAGGAATGATGGTTAGGAAACTACCCGCCTATATGACTGAAATACTGTTGGGAAAGGCGTAAAATGAAACAAACAAAACAAACAAACAATGGCCAAAAAGCAACAGAAGAAAAAGGTAATTTGCCAATGAGTATTTTTTTGGAAACTATACACCCATGCTAAAAAAATTAAATTTTTTATTTGTTTACTCTACAATACCAGTCATTTAGAAATAAATCTGACAATTTATCAAAGTTTGTTGTAAAATTTCATTACACTAAAAACTTAGTTAATGGTTATAAATTTGTTATCAAATGGAGATAGTTCATGACAAAAAAACCAACTTAGTACTCAACTACATGTTTATTATATAAATGTTATCACATTAAATTGTGTAAGTTCATAATAGAATTCTTATGCCCTCTTTGTCTTATCTTTGATTATAAAATTTATGTTAATGTTATCAAATTGGGTTAGTTTGGTTGATAATATTCAATTATTCTTATTTCTATATAAGTCACATAATGTTATAATGGATAGTAATATTTTCTAGTAGAGTTAGTTCAAATAAAAAAAAAACCCCAACATTTTCGTTACATAGTAGCACACTGTTATTGTACATGTTACTGGTAGATAAAACTGCACAAATCAACTTAGACTTGGACATACATCATATTGCACTCACATCACAACCATTTTGTACATCTTTCTACTTTATGAAATGCAATTTCTTCTTAAAGCGGCCTTCACCATATGTTGGATATGTTATTTTTAGATAAGTCATTTCATCAGATCAAAAGAATAAGATAAAAATGAATTTTGACGAAGATTTAATACATAAACAATAAGGAAAACCCCCGATTCCTCTAACCTTTTGGTCCACTCTCTGTATATATAAATTAGTAAAGCGGACTGTATATATAAATTAGTAAAGCGGACTTTTCGTTTCCAGAGTCTAGAAACAAGTGTCATTGACGCGTTATAAATAGCTCTGCTGTGACGCTGTTTTGAAAAAGGCTTAACAGTGATATGATGTAAATTTCCAAACTAAAATTACCGGGTACTGAGATAGATCTACTTAGGTTGAAAGTTTTTCCAATAGAAAATAAAAACTTAGGGCCTCTTTAATAGTATTTTTATAAGTAATGAGTATGTTCCAAAATTAAAACAAGGTAATTTAAATGGATCACTGATTTATATTCATAGCTAAATAGCTAAAATCTAAGCTTACAAGTTTGCACAGCAAATGGGTTTTATTCTAAACATGGTAAAAATTGTACATAATATGTAAGACTTATACTACTTTGAATTTGGAACTTTACATTATTGCGAGTGATTTTAACACTGAAATGCTAATATATACTGTGAACAATCTAATTATCTTAAATGGACCTGTCATCTTTAAATCTAGACAAATTCATTATTTTAGCAAAATTGTTAAAACTTATTACTAAATGAATAGCAAACAGTGCAGACCATGATCAGACAGCATGGAAGTGCTGGATGATCTAGGTCTGGACTGGTTGGATGGGTAAAATCAGTTGCTGCCTGTCCAGCAGGCCTTAGAGTCAAGGAGTAATTTGTAAATCATCTTTTAGTCTGCAGAAACTGGCCTGACTGCTGATATAAGGAAGCCATATTTGCTGCCAACATCCAAACATTTGAAGTAAAATTATTTTAATTGTCCTGACTTACATGTCATAATATGTGCCTTCAGTAAATTTCTGCTTTTCATCCATTACTCTAGCTATAGCAAAATATCATTACTTTAGCTACAGTGAAATATTATATTCAGTTCAATGGTATATATAAAACATCACTATACACCTGTAAATTAAAGTCTGCAAATGCTTGCCAAGCTTAATTTGATTTAGAGCTTAACTGGCAATGTGGGAAATTGTGGTAGCTTCTCTAGAACTAGTCTGATGCGCTTGACAAATATTCTGCTTTTTTTTTATCTATCTTTCTTTTAAATCTCAACATGAGCATAAAGTAATTACTTAAGGTGACCTGTTAAGGTGAGATGCTGGCCCATTATGGCCTTCTTGTATAATTATACCTTCAACAAAAACTTTTATAAGTATTTGTTGATTTTGCCTGCCTGCTTAAGTGATTAGGCAGATTGTTTTATCAAAGGAACATAAGAAAATCAAAAGAAAATTATTGAGAACAGTTTAATATTAAAGACTTTTATGTTTTATTTGAATTTTTTATATCACAGTTTTCAATTGAGTTTTTTATGCTTCCTCTTTCATATAAGTTTTAGGTCTTAAAGTACACAATGTACAAACATTGACTTGTAAAATATATAGGCCTATAGCATAATAAATATACTGAAATAATATCTGCACTGATATATTCTCTTTTAGCTGCCAATTAATTGTGTATAAACTACATTAGAGTATAGCTTATTATCTCTTACATTTTGGAATTGTCCATTATCAATTTTAGGGATGTCAAGTTTCTAAGTAAGTCAGCCAACAGTATAATGTAATGGCCCTACACTGGTGGCCCTATACTCACTGGTAGCAAAACCTTATCACTTGGTTCTGGCAGGGTTTTTAGGGTCAACTTGTAGATTTATTTTGTGTCATAATATATTATTAAAAGTCCTTAATTATCATTTATTTTTATCATTTAAAAACTTTAAAGAAATTTTTGTGTATCTTTTCAGTATATGTGTATAATTTTTGTATATACATGCAATTTTTTTCTTCATGTAAGGCAAAAAAACCTGGTCTTTTTTGTTTTCCATATCATTGATTAAATACATTCTATACTCCATTATGTTACAAAGTTTTTTTTAAATCTATAAAATTACCTGTTATAGAAATATATGATAAAGTTAGATAACTCTCCTCTTTTAGGGCTGTACAATCTGTCATAGGATGACTCAGTAAGAGCATAAATAATTTTTATAAGATATTTACATTCTCTATCATTTTGAATTTAAGGTGTTGATTGGAAGTCATTGACCATGCCTGCCTCGTTACCGATAACAACGGATTATTTTCCGGACCATATCAGCCTGCAGAATGACTACGTAGTGTCTGACTACAGTTTACTACCGGACGATGTGAACAGTGATTACTACATGAAGTAAGATATCAACTAGCTTTGTACTTTGATGAAATAAATGTATCGTACATGTATAAAGGACCTTGTCCTTTGCCATATGAGGAAACGAAAAATAAAAGCATTATTTTTTCTTGTACTCAAGGTCATACTATGTTATCTTCATAAATTATTATAGTCAGGACTATTCCTTTTAATCTTCATACACGTTTTAGGAATCGTAATGGTTAGACACAATGTCAGGTGCATACCTCTAAAATGGACTCCATGGAATTACTCCCATGTACTTATAAAACCAAGGCTAACATTCTGTTTTGACTTCTTCTGCTAAAATGCAAAATTGGAATCATATATAATTTGTCAGATAGCAGACTGGAAATATGCATTGTGTAGTTAAATAACATTTTTACTAAAATTTGAAATTCTGTATGCAGTGTTGTTTTGCTGACACTGATAAATGAATGGATTGCCTGTATTTGTACACAACAAGCATTACGACAAGAACTTTTTAAGATATATAACTTTAATTTGACCTTTATGTAAACTTAATTTGACCTTTATGTGACATTGACATTTCAAGGTCAAGTTATTGAATTTTGCTAAAATTTGCCATAACTTTGTTATTCATGTACGGATTTGATTCATACTTAGACAAAGTAACACTTATGGCAAAACCTACATGTACAGTTATGACTTAGTCTTTAAAATGGCCCTGACTGTCAACATATTTTATTATTCAAATATGACCTTCATCTGTACAACTCATAAGGTCATTCATAAAAATTTGATTAAATTCCGTACAAAAGACATGATGTTTCTTCCAAACTCTTCACAACAATGATCTTTCTTTGATGTGTGTGCTTTTGAAATAAGGAGCGAAGTGTTGCTGTCAACCTGCAAAAGCTCTTGTCTTATAAGTTCAGTATATACAGTAGAACTTCGGTAAGTTGAAGTTAAGGGACTTGCGTAAAAACTTTGACACATCAGGACTTCGACTCATGAATTGCTCTCAATTCCAGGACAAAATTTCGACCCGTGACTAGTCTTAATTATAACGAAACCTATTTCATATTTTTCCATCATTAATCTGATATTTTACATTTTACAATGATAAATATAGTGTGTTAAATAATTTTTTCACGGCTAATTATTTGGACTACCCGTTGACATATACAATAGAGTAACAAAAGGCGTAACAATACAAAAGGGCGATAACTAAACATGCTTATAGTAAATATTTCGCGTGTTATTCTCACGCAACACCGGGTTTTCCTTACTGTTTACTTTCAAATACCACTACGGCAATTAAAATAGTAAAGATTAAAGCATTTTATCACATATTTTATGGCAAACAAAGGCTGTTTGAACACATGGCTGTGTAATTAACACCTGTCACACAAGTTGATTGTCTTCGCAGCCAGATAAGGTGGGAAAAATGTCTCGAGATCGAAGGTGTCAAAATATTCGAACGACTTCGACTTATTTGTGGTAAATTGCACTAGATTACTTTATATGGACCACGAAAAAACTTCGATACATCTAAAAATTCCACACATAAATTCTCAACTCATAAATAGGTTTTTATAAGGAATATAGAGGGGGAAAAATCGGGACTTTCATTTTTCTTCGACACATCGAGAAAATCGACTAATCGAAGTTCGACTCATAGAAGTTCTACTGTATATAAGTCTAGTTTTAGTTTGATTGCATGATATTTGTTTTGACTTTCTTAGTTTTGTGATCTGGTATTTATGTATGCATATTTCATAATATAAATTACAGGGACAATTTAAACAAAAGTAAAAGGTAAGATCATACAAGTCAGCAAACTTTTGCGGTTCAATTTGAATCACTTAGGTGCTTGTTTTAATGCTGTGTAAATGAAAAGCTTGTTTTTGAATTCATTCAGGCAAATTTAAATGCTTAATAGTGTCTTAGATTTAGGTTTGTGTGGTCATGTTTACTACGACTTGTATAAGATCATGTCTTTTATAATATCATGTCTTGTATAATATCATGTCTTTTATAATATCATGTCTTTTATAATTATTATATCATGTCTTGTATAAGATCATGTCTTTTATAATATCATGTCTTTTATAATATCATGTCTTTTATAATATCATGTCTTGTATAAGATCATGCATTTTATAATATCATGTCTTGTATAATATCATGTCTTTTATAATATCATGTCTTTTATAATATCATGTCTTGTATAATATCATGTCTTTTATAATATTATGTCTTTTATAATATCATGTCTTGCATAAAATCATTTCTTTTATAATATCATGTCTTTTTATGCCCTAAAGGGTGGAATATTAAAATCGCAATGTCTGTCTGTCCATCTGTGCGTCCCCACTTACACATCACTTGTGTCCTGACTGTATGCTTTGAAGGATTTATAATAACTTGGGACACATGTCTACAACATCATGATGTGTCGCAACGTCTTAGACCCATGTCCCTTCCTCAAGGGTCAAGGTCACACATACTGTTTGAAGGTTCATATTCTCACAATGATTGTTTAAAGGTACACACATTTGTATTCGGATTGTAACGTTGTCATGCAGGGAAGGATTTTTAAAATACCTAGCATGTAATGTCTACCACATGAAGATGATATTTTGCCTTCAAGACACATGTCACTACCTTTAAGGTCAAAGTCACACTTATAATTTGAAGGTTCTCATTCTCAAGGGTACACATTCGTGTTCGGACTGTAATTTTGGATTTTTCAATAACTTGGCTCAAAATTGTCTACCACATCAAGACTCATTCTCACAAGGCAGTCACACTATTTAGTCACTTGTTAAAAAGCTCATAGAGGTTAATATAAGACAGTAAAAATACAGAAGATGTCTTCCAGTTAATAACTACATGTATTTCACAGATCAATCTGTTATGTTCAGGCTTTGTACAGGAAACAATAAGCTCTGTAAGAGCTCTTATTTATGAAAAAATTAAGACTGTCCCCAACCTTGAAATGCTTGTGTGGTCTGTTACACAAGAGAAATATATTATGTCCCCTACAAGGTTAAATTTTATGTATGGCCAGACAATATACCACCCTGGAAAAGAATTTTGTTGAGTGCTATGATTAGCACTTCATTTCATAAGAACAATATCAAGCAATTACTTATGTTTATTCTCTTTTCCTTTCATAATACCTTTTTGCTATACTTACGAAACCTTTCTGCTATACTTATGAAACCCCTTTTCAGGGGCATTCGTCACTTTTGCGTGACAGCTGTTTTATAATACTATGTCTTGTATAATCCTTTGTCTTTTATAATGCTTCTTATATAAGCTATGTTATTCACTGTTTTTATTGAATTGTTAATGAGTTAGTTGAACTCTGTCTTAAGTTAAGACACAGGAGATATGAAAAATACTTTTCCAAGCAAAAAGTACAAGAAAAGATAACAGAAGATTGTGGTCACTGTCAAATATGTAATTTGTTTTTTGCATATTAGATATGGAAAAAACAAGCGGGGGACATTATATAAGTTGGCAGCTGATTGATTGATTGATTAAATTGAGTTATTTTGAAAATTTACATTGATTAAAGGGACTCCACTGAGGTATTTTGACATGATTGGACTGAAAATATTTTTTCCAGATAAATGTACCATTTGATGTAGGTTTAGACCACTAATCTTTGTGCAAAATTTCAGATCAATCGCGCATTTCGTTTTTCCAGAATAATTATTCAAATTGTAAAATTATGACCCAAAATGAGAACTAAAATCGTGCTAAGAAAAGCATAAAAATACGATTTTCAATTTATTTCAAAGTATATTTCTTAACTATCTTTGCATATATTTCTGTATAAGTGTTCCTGCTCATTTATGTAAGAAATTCAAATGTTGTTTTTAGGCTTTTAAACCTCAGTGGAGTCCCTTTAATGTTCACCGCATATATTTCTCTTATATACCCTATCTTACAGATAAAAAAGATACCCATTTACTCCGTTCACACAAAATACCGGCGCAAATGTGCCTGCATGACTTGATGAAAAGATAACAAGGCTTTTTAAATTTCCAAATACTTGTCTCATTATATAATGTCCAGAATAGACATTGATAGTACATGGTATTTTTGAGAGACTAATCTTTGTAGGAGGGATACAAGCCTAAAGTAGTCAAAATCTTTGTAGCATTTCATGTTATGAGCTTTGTTTTTACACTGTTCTAATTCAAATTGTTTGCAATTCAGTTAAAAAGTTTAAAGGCAGAAAACACTAGTAATTATATACATCTTATGAAGATATACTGGTACTTGAGCCAAGATGGGTTGCAGTCAACTTTGCCATAGTGAGAACAATGTTATGTTGGTTTGTGATACAATAAGCGAAGACAGGCCATAATCCTTGTGGGAAATTAGTGAGATTACTGGAATCTGTTTTAGTATTGTTTACTAGCACAGAAACAAGAAAAATTTTTTACAATGAATGGTCAAGGGATGTATTTAATAAACAGAAGTGTGTTGGTTGTTTGGGAGAGAGTTTTGAGAAAGTTGTATGATTGAAATGAAATTAACAGTGTGTGAAGTTTTCAATCTGCGGTGTGGATGTATTTTTATTTTGTAATTTAAATATAATTGAGTCGCGTCACGACAAAACCAACATAATGGGTTTAAAACCAACATAAACCAACATCCACGCAGTCTGATCAGGATCCATGCTGTTCGCTATAGGTTTCTCTACTTATAATATGGTTTGTAAGCAAACAGCATAGATCCTGATCAGACTGCGCGGATGCGCAGGCTAGTCTTGATCAATGCTGGTCGCAAACCCATTATTTTGGTTTTGTCGTGACGCGGCTCAATTGTTTGTGTTTTGATAATGTTTTACAAGTGTGTTTGTTTTATGTAATTTACATTTAATGATTATTATGTACACACCTGGTATAAATTTTACCAGTATACCACCTCGGGTTACATTAAGAAGTCCCCTACCGGGGTCACTTAATTTGTTTCCATAGATACTATAGTATACATGTATTAATTAATAAATCTGTTTTAACAAACTACATGGCATGTAGCATTGCCCTGTAGACATCTACAAAAGTTAAAAGTTATATAACCAATGCCTATGGGGCCAAGAATGATCCCCCAACCTTCCAACAATATCCCCTTCAACTTTTGATTTTAATGGATCAGACTAGGGTCATGAATTGAGTTTTATTTATAAATATGTATGTTTTTATTTTACATTTATATAACTGTTTCATAACAGACAAGCTACTGTTTCATAACAGACAAGCTGTTATTTATACTGGACATTGAAAATGTAACTATAATGAGACATGCCAGAGAAATTAACACATCTTGCACAACGTCAGTAGATATGATAATTGAATTGTCAGTTGCAGTTGTTTGTATCCTATGTGATTGATTTATCATGTACTTCAGCAAAGTTATTGAACTTGTTATTGATATTTCTGTTATGTAAATGTAGAAATACCACAAGGGATTGAACTTGAAATAACATTCAGCATGTGTTTCAATAACACTAGAATTTGAACTTGATCATAGTTTATTAACGTAAACAAGATTTTCAATGCTGTGATCAAAGCGTGATATTTCGATGCCATTTGGCAGACTCAATCAAACCAAGCCTGTCTGAACTTTTCTGTGTTCTTTTGGATTTTTGTTTTTTTTCGATTTTTAAATTTAACAGAAGTTTTGATCAGCAGTTTAACTTGATAATACTTTGATTGCTAAACTTGGCCTTAGAAAATTAAAATCCAAATGGTAATAAGCTAATTAAAAGAATACTGCAGAGGTCAACATTCAGGGTTAAGTTACACATATTAAGCAGCTATGCATTGATTGCAAAGCTTTTAATTTTTTTGCATCATTACATAATATATCTTTATGCCCCCGAAGAAACTTCAGGGCATATTAATGTATGGCATTGGGACTGTCTGTCTGTCTGTCTGTCCACATTACCAAATAGGCAAAGGGGGCCATCTAACTGTAAACAGAGCAATATAGAACAAAAGAGTTCATATCATAACAATAGAGGAAGGGGCCAATGGCAAAGGAAACAAGCAAAAATAACAAAAGAAATGGCCCGTTATTCCAATTCGGTCACATGTCAATCCCTGCAATACTTATTTGGCAAGATTAACAATAGGTAACTGTACTCTCCCTTTGAAGTCATTCATTCCGTAATGCTTTTATGTGGCTAAAAAGAAAAATGAGTCGAACTTTAAAATAGCCACATAAAAATACTTGCTAGAATATCAGTCATTCTGTCTTTCAGTAGGCAGTTGGTCTCTGCAGGATGTTTTGTGAATAATTGTTTTATTTTACCAGTTTTCACTGCAATCATCTTACTGATTGATTTATGCCACTTTTTAACCAAATTTTCTGTGAAATCATTGCTTTCTGCAGGATAACTTCAGAAAGATTTCAATGACTGTGTTAAACTTTATACTTGGTATGCAAGTACATGTTTATTATATCAAAACACAGGTTAAGTTTAATTTTCTCAGCAATCAACTTATTATTCATAACGTTTTGCCCCCTTTTAAGCAAATTTTCTGTGAAATCATAGGTTTTCACAGGATGGTTATTGAAGGATATCAATGATTGTGTTTATATGTGGTATGTAAGTATGTTATATCAAAGCTCAGGTTAAGATTGATTTTGGCTGCAATCAACATATTATTGAAAAAGTTATGCCCCTTAAGAAGCAAATTTTCTGTAAAATGATTGGTTTCTGTATGGTTACTTTTGAAGGATTTATCTGGAAGGCATTTTTTTTACCAGTGATTTCTTCTTTTGAATTTGCCATTGTGGGATATGTTGTCACCCCCAGGGGGGATATGTACCCCCCCCCCCAGCAAAGTCTTTGTTAATTAGAAAAATGGTACCATAGAACATAATTTGTATTATTTTCTGTATTACAGTCCACCTGTCTCCGAAGATGAGAAATATTTCAGAAAACAGCCACTAAGTACAAAGGAGGTGTTTAAAGAGTTGATATCTCAGAGACTTGCGCAGGTATGGTCAAAATTGATTAAGTCAAAATGAATTTCTGAAAAGAAAGCATTATAAATGAGTTATATTTGAGGAATATTTGTAATTTCTGTCTGTCTGTCCAGTTTTCTATTTGATGTCCAGTCTGTATCTTTTGAACCGGTGGAAGGATATTGAAACAACTTGTAAGAAATGTTTACCATAATGAGACGATGTGTAGACCTCAGGTTTGACCTTCCTTAGGTCATGATCACATTAAGTCATTTTGTATGAAATGTGTCAGCTCTGTATCTTTTGAACCGATAGAAAGACATTTTTTGGAAGAAATATTACTTATAATAAGATGATGTGTGAAACCAAGGACTGTTATCATCTTGATATAGACTATGGTAAAAGAACACACATCTTATCTTTTTATGGATAAATAATTTGCCTCTTAAAATTATTTTGCATATAGCATTGCCAAGTAGACCTTTATAAATGTTTTATGAATCATGCATGTACAAAATTGCCTCTACCTTGAAGGTCATATAGTATCATAAAATATAGTTAAGTAAAACATTTTTCAGACAAATTTCTTGATTGCAAGGGTCTCTTCCCTAACTGAAAGATTTTTTTTGATTACTCAAACAAATTTACAAACAGGTGTTTATTGCCCCATCATTGCGGTGCTCTTGTTATACAATGCAGCAATGTTGTACTTTCAGGGTTTCCAGTTAATAACAATGTTGAAACCATCCAGTGGTCCTCAAATTTTTGGGTCTAGTCAGACAAATCAGAGATACTACCTGGGTTCAAGTCCTCAGGTATCCCACATGTCAGGTCTCATGAGAGCAAGACCTAGAGAAGAGCAGGCAGTAAGTATGAACCACAGCCACAGACACAGTAATGCTACTAATAGACTAAGTATAAGAAGAATTCAGATAAAATTGTTTTAGTCCCATGTTACAAAAAGATAAAAAAAAGATGATTGAAGCAGTTTAAACTTATGTTTGATTTGGTAACATTGTAAGTGTATAATATATATTAGTTTATTACACCAACTATAAACATAGAAGGGATGGAACAGACTATAAAGGAATCACTTTGTCATTTGAATCATTTATATTTGACTTAGTAGAAAGAACATTCCTAGCTAGTTCTAGTTTAATAAAAAGTTTATTTTTTATGAACAGGAGGAAGTATATTTGAGTATAGGAAGAATTTTCCACAAGTTAACGTTGACAGGACCCACAATTACTGTCACCAGATACAGGCCAAGGTTGGTATAAAAAAAAATTGAGCCGCGCCATGACAAAACCAACATAATGGGTTTGCGACCAGCATGGATCCAGACCAGCCTGCGCATCAGGATCCATGCTGTTTGCTTACAAACCCTATAACAAGTAGAGAAACTGATAGTTAACAGAATGGATCCTGACCAGACTGCACGGATGCGCAGACTGGTTTGGATCCATGCTGTTCCACAAAACGCACTATGTTGGTTTTGTCGTGACACAGCTCAATTTATGAATCTAAATGAATGAATGAGAGCATTTTATTTAAATGTATTAAAAAATATATTTCAGTGAATAGTTTTAATATTTATATTAAAAAATGCTTGTGAAAATGGGATAAAAAAGGGAAGACAGAAAAATTCTTGAATTTACTGGTTGTTATAATATTATCATTATTTTTGTTTATGCAAAGTATATTATTCTTATGATAAAAGTAATGATCAGGTTATTTACCAGTTTATGCTTTCTAGACGACTTGCAATTAGAGCAGATTGTTCATTGCTAGCTGTTTTATTGTATTGCTTTTGCTTTAAATACATGTACCCTGAAAATTTCAACATGTAGTTCTGTAGTTAAAAGCATAGCAGATGAAGAATGAAATAAAGTGGAAAATGGTTTAATTTCATTTTCATGATAATTAAGTCTTCACTTTAAGAACCTGTCTAAAAATGTTTAAAAACATCTCAACCCTACTGTCCATAATTCAAAATCAAACTAGACACATTATCATATTGTTATGGTTACTTTCCATTATTCAGTCAAACCTGTTTAATGACCACTTCTGACTAAAGATAACTCTGCACATAAAGGTCACTTTTTGATAACTCTTCATTGTTAAAATAGCATAAAATAACCTCCAAATAAAGACCACTTGTCTATAAAGACCATTATTTGTCTGTCCCTTGGGTGTTCTTTGTTATCAGGTTTTACTATATATTACTATAATTTATTGTAGGCATCCAAACTCGCAGATGTGTTACAGTTATAAGTACAGATTCCAAGCACCAGACTCTTTCCACTATGACATATCATGGAGCGAATTCCGCAACGAGAAACTCGAGAGTTACAACTGGAATTACCTCGACCAATATATCTGTACACGTGGCGAGGGCGACTTTGGTCTCATGGATGTATGTATGAAAATGTTGTCAATATGGGATATATATAATAGCACAAGCAACTTGGGATAAGCGTTCAGTTATCTTCTTGTCCAGTCTGGTGAATGCTTTGCTGTTAAGGACGTTTTCGGGAGTTTTCATATAGACATATAGGCAAAATTAAAACTGTTCAATAGAATTTCTTTAAACTTGGCATGTTGTTATTAGAATATGATAACAGAAACATTTTAAGCGAGAAAAAATTTGGGGTCACCATTCTCGTTTTTGAGTTATCTGCCTCTGAATCAGACTTTTCTACTTATTTGAAGTTATTTCAAGGGCAGATAACTTATACATACTTAAATGAATTCTTGTTTTTACTTCTGGATTATGTTTTTCTTTTTATTGTTGAGTACAATACATAATAACATGCAAGTCCTTACATCGTTTCTGTTAATTTTTACAATGACAATAAAGGTACTTTAAAATAGGCCATTTTTTAAGAAAAAATGCACAGGTTAAAAGAAGAAGTGGGAATAAAAACTACCCACTCTAAATTTGTTCTTGAAATTTTGCATATCAACTAAAACAAAGGTAAGCTTCATGAAAATAAGAAAAACAATTGTATTGTTTCCATTCATTGTAAATTATCTGCCCTTGAATTTAACAAAAAAATGTTAAACTTAAAATGTTTCTGTTATCATATTCTATCAACATGCCAAGTTTAAAGAAATTCTATTGAACAGTTTTAATTTTGCCTATATGTCTATATGAAAATTCCCAAAAACATCTTTAAGAAGACTTCTTAAATTAATCGCCAATTTGTCTTGTTGATGGTTGTTAAATTAAATCTTTTTTCTGTCAAAAACAGTATAAGTTTAAAAAATATAAGCCAACTGATGAAAAATTTCTAAAGTCTTTTCAAATTTAAATTTTATGAATATTAATGAATGTAGATCTACCTTTTTATAGTCTTTTAAAGAAAATCCATATACTGACAACATTTTGTCTTGTTTATTGTTGCAAAAGAATATCTTTTTGACCATAAAAAAAGCAGTGCAAATAAGAAAATATAAGCCTACTTGAGTTAGATTTGAACTGTTCTTTTTGTATTTAAATGGGCTTAAAGTCATGTTATGACAATTTATCAATGATATATTTTATATTCTGTGAAAAAAAAAACACAACAACATGGCAATCTGCTTAGGTGATGTACATTTCATCCAGGTATGCTGTGTTATATGCTGTTTAAATTCATTTTATTACATGAAAGCCCATACACAAAATAAACTAACATGAGTAGTGGCATAGCTAGTGATTAACGGATGGCTTCCTTGTGGGTTCAAACCCTGTCGGGGGAAAAGCTTTGTTTCCATGAGCAAGAAATTCAACACTCATTGCCCAGTACTGGTTGGTTCCAGGAACAGATTCGAGAATTGGTCTATAAGCTTTAAGCTTCCTACGTAATCAGACTAAAAATAAATTCTGTGTAAACCAAAGCATCTAACACTGATTTGAGAGAAAGACTACTTAATAAACAGAGCAGTGTTCAACCCTTGCAAGGGCTGGTTTTATAAGTGTGCATTGGATAGAATTTTATCATAATATTTTATTTTGTTTTCAGTCATTGAAGTTTTGGAGAAGTCGGTTTTATATTTTACCTTGTTCAAATCAGTCTACCAAGAAGATTATAGAAGGTGCAGTTAGGTAAAACTTGAGTTATATTCCTAAATGTTAGAATTGCGGTAGCAAAGATACACAGGGCCACTGCATAATTAGTAATATTGTTAGAAAAGCATGATGCATACACATTGAAAAATTTAATTTTCTGCGGAAATTAAATCTAACCAGACTATACAATCTGACCAGACTCTATGCAATCTGACAAGACTATACAATCTGACCAGACTATATACAATCTGACAAGACTATATACAATCTGACAAGACTATACAATCTGACAAGACTATACAATCTGACAAGACTATATACAATCTGACAAGACTATAGAATCTGACCAGACTATACAATCTGACCAAACTATATACAATCTGACAAGACTATATACAATCTGACCAGACTCTATACAATCTGACAAGACTATATACAATCTGACCAGACTATACAATCTGACCAGACTATATACAATCTGACCAGACTATACAATCTGACCAGACTTTATACAATCTGACCAGACTATACAATCTGACCAGACTATATACAATCTGACCAGACTATATACAATCTGACCAGACTATATACAATCTGACCAGACTATACAATCTGACCAGACTCTATACAATCTGACCAGACTTTATACAATCTGACCAGACTATATACAATCTGACCAGACTATACAATCTGACCAGACTATATACAATCTGACCAGACTATATACAATCTGACCAGACTATATACAATCTGACCAGACTATACAATCTGACCAGACTCTATACAATCTGACCAGACTATATACAATCTGACAAGACTATATACAATCTGACAAGACTATAGAATCTGACCAGACTCTATGCAATCTGACAAGACTATACAATCTGACCAGACTATATACAATCTGACAAGACTATATACAATCTGACAAGACTTTAGAATCTGACCAGACTATACAATCTGACAAGACTATATACAATCTGACAAGACTATATACAATCTGACAAGACTATATACAATCTGACAAGACTATATACAATCTGACCAGACTATATACAATCTGACCAGACTATATACAATCTGACAAGACTATATACAATCTGACAAGACTATACAATCTGACAAGACTATACAATCTGACAAGACTATACAATCTGACAAGACTATATACAATCTGACAAGACTATATACAATCTGACAAGACTATATACAATCTGACAAGACTATATACAATCTGACAAGACTATATACAATCTGACAAGACTATACAATCTGACAAGACTATATACAATCTGACAAGACTATACAATCTGACAAGACTATAGAATCTGACAAGACTATAGAATCTGACAAGACTATACAATCTGACAAGACTATATACAATCTGACAAGACTATATACAATCTGACAAGACTATACAATCTGACAAGACTATACAATCTGACAAGACTATACAATCTGACAAGACTATATACAATCTGACAAGACTATATACAATCTGACAAGACTATATACAATCTGACAAGACTATACAATCTGACAAGACTATAGAATCTGACCAGACTATACAATCTGACAAGACTATACAATCTGACAAGACTATATACAATCTGACAAGACTATACAATCTGACAAGACTATACACTATATACAATGTGACAAGACTATATACAATCTGACAAGACTATACAATCTGACAAGACTATATACAATCTGACAAGATTATATACAATCTGACAAGACTATACAATCTGACAAGACTATACAATCTGACCAGACTCTATACAATCTGACCAGACTCTATACAATCTGACCAGACTCTATGCAATCTGACCAGACTATGCAATCTCACCAGACAATTTACAATCTGACCAGACTATATACAATCTGACCAGACTCTATGCAATCTCAACAGACAATTTACAATCTGACCAGACTCTATACAATCTGAACAGACAATATACAATCTGACCAAACTCTATATGATATGACAAGACTATACAATATGACCAGACTCTATACAATCTGAACTGACTCTATACAATCTGAACAGACAATATACAATCTGACCAGACTCTATGCAATCTGGCCAGACTCTATACAATATGACCAGACTATACAATCAGACAAGACCTTACAAATCTGACCAGACTCTATACAATCTGACCAGACTCTTTACAATCTGACCAGACTCTATACAACCTAACCAGACTTATACTATCGAACCAGACTCTATTCAATCTGACAAGACTTTATACAATCTGACCAGACTGTATACAATCTGACCAGACTATATACAATCTGACCAGATTCTATACAACCTAACCAGATTTATACTATTGGACCAGACTCTATACAATCTGACAAGACTCTATGCAATCTGGCCAGACTCTATACAATATGACCAGACTATACAATCAGACAAGACCTTACAAATCTGACCAGACTCTATACAATCTAACCAGACTCTATACAACCTAACCAGACTTATACTATCGGACCAGACTCTATACAATCTGACAAGACTATACAACCTAACCAGACTTATACTATGGGACCAGACTCTGTACAATCTGACCAGACTATATAATCTAACCAGACACTATACAATCTGACCAGACTATATACAATCTGACAAGACTATATAATCTAACCAGACACTATACAATCTGACCAGACTCTATACAATATGACCAGACTATACAATCTAACAAGGCTTTACAAATCTGACAAGACTCTTTACAATCTGACCAGACTCTATACAATCTGACAAGACTCTATACAATCTGATCAGACTCTGTAAATCTGACCAGATTCTATACAACCTAACCAGATTTATACTATCAGACCAGACTCTATTCAATCTGACAAGACTTTATACAATCTGACCAGACTCTATACAATCTGACCAGACTCTATACAGATGACTGCTTTATTGTAGTATTTTGATATGGATACCCTTTAAAATAACATGCATGCAGTCAAAATGATACATTTTTGTTTGAGGTAAATTAATCGACAAAGAGAACATTTTGTTTGAGGTAATTAATGACAAAACAGGTTACATTGGTTGTTCATTAAGCAAATTATTTTGTTTATATATAGGTGTGATATTTATGAAGACAAAACAACAGTAGAGTTGAAGCAACTTGTTACAGGGTTTACACGTTACCTTGAAGTTCTCAACAAGATGAAGAGAACAGCAATCACAAGGCAAACAACTTGTCAGGTAACTTTTTCTCTCCTGTACAGTGCAGGAATCAACACCAGTTGCCAAGTCAACATGCACATTTGTGCAGTCTGAACAGATTCTGTACATTAAGCTGATAAGCTTAGAATTTTCATTTATGCAATAACTGGTTAACTTTTCTTAAATTTAGAAAGACTTCCTGTTGGTGAAGGTGAAGATATATCCCCATAGTAAGCATGAAAAAGTCCTTTTGAAAAAAATACAAAACTGAATCAGTTAAAGGTATTAACAATATATGTATAACTTATGGATTTGCCATTTTAAGCAGTCTCCAGTAGAACCATGACTGCTTTGCCTTTTTGGAGTTATTGCCCTTTGTTCATTTTGCACTTTAAACTTTGTCCAGGACATATTTTTGAAACCTTTAGAGTTTAATCCTATACTTCTTAAAACATACTTTAAGTAATTTGCTTTGTAATATTCCAGCACACAGAGTTCTTGGATCAAAATCCTAAAGGAATACCACAGCCAGATACCAGGTAAACTTGTTTTCCTATCTATTTTTGATTGGCCTTCAAGCTACATGCATTTTACAACACTAAATATTTTTTTTTACATAAAACGTTGCAAAAGTTGTAAAGGACAATGTACTTACAGATGAACTGTAGATAATGATTTTATGTAACAGAAATGCCACCACAGGATGGCATATTGTTTTTAGTTTAATTTCAAAAAAAAAAAAGAGAAAGAAAGAGAGGTGTTGTTTCAGTCACGGAGGCATTTGTCGTCCTCAAACTTGATCAGAACTTTTGAAAGTTCTTGGTGTATTGTATTCATACTTGTAAGCAACAACTCTTGGGACAAGACCTTTAAGTTTACCAGTCTAACCTTGACCTTCATCCATAAATGACCTTGACCTTAAAGTTCAGTCTAAATTTTACTTGTCTTTTACTATAAGTGGTTATGACTTTGTTATTTTTGAATGGATTATCTTCAAACTTGAACATACCTTGAAACAAACTAGACAGACATTGACCTTCACTCATAAGTGACCTTGACATTGAAGGTCAAATTATTGAAATTTTCATTTTCTTTGCTGTAACTGGCTATAACTTTGTTATTATTGAATGTATTGACTTCATGTGAAGACATAACATTCTTTAGGATAAGACCTTTATGTATATCAAACTCAAATTGACCTTAGCTCTTTTATGACCTTGACCTTGAAGGTTTAATTATTGAATTTTCACTGATTTTTGCTATAATTGACTGTAACTTGGTAATTGATAAATGGATTATCTTCATACTTTGACAAAACAACATTTCGACAAAGGTTGAACTGATCTTGAACTTGACCATCAATGTCAAATTATTGAATTTTGGTTAAATTGTTATAATTTTGTTATTTATGTACAGGTTGAATTTAAACTTGGACAAAACAAGACTTGCTAGCAAACAAACATAATAAATAATTTAGATGTGACCTTGACCTTGAATTGACTTTGGCTGTCAATGTCATATTAATGAAATTCTCTTATTTTTCTCTTTCTGTAAATGGCTATAACTTTGTTATTTATAAATGGATCCACTTCATATTAAGACACTACATCTGTTAGGTCTCGACCTTCATGTATATCAAACTCAAAGGGACTTTGATATTGAAGGTCAAATTATTATGCCCCCATTTTGAAAAAAAGGGGGTATATTGCTTTGCACTTGTCGGTCCGTCGGTCTGTCGGTCCGTCGGTCCGTAGACCAAATGGTTTCCGAGTGATAACTAAAGAACCCTTAGGCATAGGAACTTCAAACTTGGTATGGTGATTGGTCATGACCAGTAGATGACCCCTATTGATTTTGGGGTCAAGGGGTCAAAGGTCAAGGTCACATTGACCTTGAAAGCAAAAACGGTTTCCGATCAATAACTAAAGAACCTTAAGGCCTAGGAACTTCAAACTTGGTATGGTGATTGGTCATGACCAGTAGATGACCCCTATCGATTTTGGGGTCAAGGGGTCAAAGATCAAGGTCACATTGACCTTGAAAGCAAAAACGGTTTCCGATCAATAACTAAAGAACCTTAAGGCCTAGGAACTTCAAACTTGGTATGGTGATTGGTCATGACCAGTAGATGACCCCTATTGATTTTGGAGTCAAGGGGTCAAAGGTCAAGGTCACATTGACCTTGAAAGCAAAAACGGTTTCCGATCAATAACTAAAGAACCTTAAGGCCTAGGAACTTCAAACTTGGTATGGTAATTGGTCATGACCAGTAGATGACCCCTATTTATTTTGGGGTCAAGGGGTCAAAGGTCAAGGTCACATTGACCTTGAAAGCAAAAACGGTTTCCGATCAATAACTAAAGAACCTAAAGGCCTAGGAACTTCGAACTTGGTATGGTGATTGGTCATGATCAGTAGATGACCCCTATTGATTTTGGGGTCAAGGGGTCAAAGGTCAAGGTCACATTGACCTTGTAAGCAAAAACGGTTTCTGATCAATAACTAAAGAACCTTAAGGCCTAGGAACTTTAAACTTGGTATGGTGATTGGTCATGATCAGTAGATGACCCCAATTGATTTTGGGGTCAAGGGGTCAAAGGTCAAGGTCACATTGACCTTGTAGGTAAAAACGGTTTCCGATCAATACCTAAAGAACCTTAAGGCTTAGGAACATCAAACTTGGTATGGTGATTGGTCATGATCAGTAGATGACCCCTATTGATTTTGGGGTCAAGGGGTCAAAGGTCAAGGTCACATTTCCCTTGTAGGTAAAAACGGTTTCCGATCAATAACTAAAGAACCTTAAGGCCTAGGAACTTCAAACTTTGTATGGTGATTGGTCATGATCAGTAGATGACCCGTATAGATTTTGGGGTCAAGGGGTCAAAGGTCAAGGTCACATTGACCTTTTAATTAAAAACTGTTTCTGATCAATAACAAAAGAACCCTTAGGCCTAGGAACTTCAAACTTGGTATGGTGATTGGTTATGACCAATCAGATGACCCCTATTGATTTTGGCCTTAAGGGGTCAAAGGTCAAGGTCACATTGACCTTGTAGGTAAAGCGGTTTCCGACCAATAATGAAAGAACCCTTAGGCCTAGGGACTTCAAACTTGAGATGTTGATTGGTCATGATCAGTAGATGACCCCTATTGATTTTCGGGTCTAGGGGTCAAAGGTCAAGGTCACATTGACCTCTTGGGTAAAAACAGTTTCCGATCAATAACTAAAGAACCTTAAGGCCTAGGAACTTCAAACTTTGTATGGTGATTGGTCATGATCAGTAGATGACCCGTATAGATTTTGGGGTCAAGGGGTCAAAGGTCAAGGTCACATTGACCTTTTAATTAAAAACTGTTTCTGATCAATAACAAAAGAACCCTTAGGCCTAGGAACTTCAAACTTGGTATGGTGATTGGTTATGACCAATCAGATGACCCCTATTGATTTTGGCCTGAAGGGGTCAAAGGTCAAGGTCACATTGACCTTGTAGGTAAAGCGGTTTCCGACCAATAATGAAAGAACCCTTAGGCCTAGGGACTTCAAACTTGAGATGTTGATTGGTCATGATCAGTAGATGACCCCTATTGATTTTTGGGTCTAGGGGTCAAAGGTCAAGGTCACATTGACCTCTTGGGTAAAAACAGTTTCCGATCAATAACTAAACAACCCTTAGGCCTAGGAACTTCAAACTTGGTATGGTGATTGGTTATGACCAGCAGATGACCCCTATTGATTTTGGGGTTAAGGGGTTAAAGGGCAAGGTCACATTGACCTTGTAGGTAAAAATGCTTTCCGATCAATAACTTAAGAACCCTTATGCCTAGGAACTTCAAACTTGGTATGGTGATTGGTCATGACCAGCAGATGACCTATTGATTTTGGGTCAAGGGGTCAAAGGTCAAGGTCACATTGACCTTGTAGGTAAAAACAGTTTCCGATCAATTAACTAAAAACGCTTAGGCCTAGGAACTTCAAACTTTGTGTGATGATTGGTCATGACCAGCAGATGACCCCTATTGAGTTTTAGATGAAGGGGTCAAAGGTCAAGGTCACATTGACCTTTTAAGTAAAAACGGTTTCTGATCAATAACTCAAGAACGCTTAGGCCTAGGAACTTCAAACTTGGTATTGTGATTTGTCATGACCAGCAGATTACTCCTATTGATTTTGGGATCAAGGGGTCAAAGGTCAAGGTCACAATGACCTTGTAAGTAAAAACGGTTTCTGATCAATAACTTAAGAACGCTTCGGCCTAGAAACTTCAAACTTGGCATGGTGATTGGTCATGACCAGCAGATGACCCCTATTGATTTTGGGGTCAAAGGTCAAGGTCACATTGACCTTGTATGTTAAAACGGTTTCCGATCAATAATAAGAGAACCCTTAGGCCTAAGAACTTCAAACTTGGCATGGTGATTGGTCATGACCAGCAGATGACCCCTATTGATTTTGGGGTCAAGGGGTCAAAGGTCAAGGTCACATTGACCTTGTAGGTAAAAACGGTTTCTGATCAATTTACTAAAAACGCCTAGGCCTAGGAACTTCAAACTTTGTATGATGATTGGTCGTGACCAGCAGATGACCCCTATTGAGTTTTGGGTCAAGGGGTCAAAGGTCAAGGTCATGACCAGTAGATACTTTATAACCCTTATTAATTGTTTGATCACTGGGTCAGAAGTCATGCATAATAACCTTATCACATGACTAATTGGCTGCTGATAGGGGGCATACATGTTTTACAAACATATCTTGTTTTATTTTCACTTATAATCACTCTAATTGTTAGTTCCATTTGGCCCACAATATTCAAACTTCATAGGATGATTGTCCATATTGGGTTAAAGACCCCTATTGATTTTGGGGTCACAAGGTCAAAGGTCAAGGTAACTATCACCTTAAAACTGAAAACAGTTTCCAGAGCATAACTTAAGTTCCGTTTGGCCCACAGTATTCAAACTTCATAGGATGATTGTCCATATTGGGAAGAAGACCCTTATGATTTTGAAGTCACAAGGTCAAAGGTCAAGGTCACTATCACCTTAAAACTGAAAACAGTTTCCAGAGCATAACTCAAGTTCCATGTGGCCCACAGTATTCAAACTTCATAGGATGATTGTCCATATTGGGTAAAAGACCCCTGTTGATTTTGGGGTAACAAGGTCAAAGGTCAAGGTCACTATTACCTTAAAACTGAAAACAGTTTCCAGAACATAACTTAAGTTCAGTTTGGCCAACAGTGTTCAAACTTCATAGGATGATTGTCCATATTGGGTAGAACACCCCTATTGATTTTGGGGTCACAAGGTCAAATTTCAAGGTTGCTATTACCTCAAAACTGAAAACAGTTTCCAGAGCATAACTTAAGTTCCATTTGGCCCACAATATTCAAACTTTATAGGAGGATTGCTATTTGAAGGAGGTAATACTTTATTTAATTTATGTAATGTCTTACAAATGCTTCATCCTTACGAAAAAGAAAAAAACACTTTCGGGCATATAATGCTCCGCCTAGCGGTGCTCTTGTTTATTGATGTTAAAGTCACCAAGTGAAGCTATAACGGTAAATGTTTGTACCAAAAAACCCAGATTTGTCGAGTTCTGGATAACATCTATTCTGCAATGTTATAAAAACCCAGTTAATCTTGTTTTATAGTTGGATTCCTGCTAAGCTCAATATGGAGAACATCAGATTAGTAATCTTTTCATTTGGTAAAGTCAATTTCAGTGATGATTGATGTTGAACATCGAGCCTCAAGGTCATATTGGTCAAATGTCTCTTATCATTGAATTTAGAGATAATTTGGAATTAAAAGTGCAGAGATGTTGTTTATTACTTGTTAGTTATCCAGGAAAGTTGGTTAGGAGGATTGACTGCTGACATATGACATAAAAATATGAAAACATCAGCTTGAAAAAAAAAGATAAAACAAAAACATGAAAACTTGTGTTCTACTTGACAAATACAAGTGTTGAATATTTTTTTAAATAATGCTAAGTTGTATTTCCCATTAAGTCAAAATATCTCCACATAGATCATTTATAACATGGATTAAAAGAGGGGCTGCATCTAATATATTTTTCGTGAACAAAATTTACACAGAATTTTGTGTTACATTGAAACTCTATATTTGATTACAATGTAATTCAGAAAGAAGATTTAAATAGTAACTTTTTAAGCATTTCTTGAAATGTAAAATCTGTCTTTATTAAAGCAAAGTTGACTATCCCCTATTCTGCTGTAATATCATTTTTTTCAGGCCTGAGTCTGATATACTGACTGTCAATTCGCCTTCAGAAAAGATTGTGAAATGGATGGTGGATCCTGGGTAAGTTTTATTTCCTTTCATAGGTCTTATATTTTGATATCTTTCATATGTCTTATATTTTGATATCTTTCATATGTCTTATATTTTGATATCTTTCATTTGTCTTATATTTTGATATCAACATTATGTTTTGTTCATACATGTTTTGTGCTTTCAATGTCCTTTCTGCCTGTCCTTCCTTTAATATGAGAGAGAGATTTAAGAAATATATACAGATTGAAGGACTGACAGACATGCAAACGAAAGAACTGACAGATAAAAAAAACAGACATATAGAAGGACAGACAGACAAATGGAAGGACAGACAGACAGATGGAAGGACAGACCGACAGATGGAAGGACAGACCGACAAATGGAAGGACAGAGAGACAAATGGAAGGACAGACAGACAGATGGAAGGATAGGCAGCAATGCAATATCAATTGTTCAAAACTGCTGTAAATATTCAGTTGAAACTGAAAAAAAAATTCTGGTTGAAGTTTTGAGTACAACTCTCTTTCAAGTAAGTACATGTACATGTTTTTGGAATCATATTTTGAGGTCATTTTCTGAGGCCTATAATTCTGGGATGGATTTATACTTATTTATTACACTTTCTGAAGTTCAAAACCTTGGACAAAGACTTCCTTCCTCTTTGTACTTTATCTAGGCAATTGTTTATTCTATCTAGCACTGAGAAAAGAAGACCTTGCTGTCTGACTGACAACTCACGTTCCTTTTATATTTTCTATATATGGAAATTGTTGATAATAACTATGCCATTTATTACAGTTGTTTAATTTTATATGATGAATATATATTGTTGTTGACATACAGATAAATGGAGTAGTGTTGAAAACTTAACTTTCCATATAAAAACTGGTTTAACATTTTTTCTTAGCTTGACTATTTGAAGACAGTGAGAGCTATAGTATTCACATCTGCATCACTTTCGCTGTTCACATTGCCGTCACAATTTAGTTAAGTTTTTGTATGCAAGTTTGTATCTCCATACTACTGCAGGGAATGGGTTGAAACTTCACATACTTGTTCTCTGTTATTATCTTACATAATTGGCACAAGCCCCATAACTCTTCAATTACCTTTTTACAGAGTTATGCCTTTTTTCTTACTATCAAGCACTGAGAATGGTTGAGCAGGCTGTCTTATGGACAACTCTTGTTAACTTTTCTTAAATGTGCTATTCAATTGTTACAGAAGCAACTATATTAAATTATAAATGTTTCGGGATTTTCAGATGTGGTATTCCTATGTTACCTAAGCAACACGGTTTACCAACACAGTGCTTTATCTCAGCTGAGGTAGTGGACTGGTGCTATTATCATGTTAAGGGAGTGAAAGGGGTCAAGTCCGCTATGGAAATGCTTCAGGTTTGTACCTTAAAAAAGATTAAACGACCTGTGTTAACAAATAATAAAACAGGGGATCTCAGTGGGAAAGTGGATAAGTTCACCTGCAACAAACCTGAGTGGGAATCAATAGTTTAGATTTATATAATTTAGGATGGAAACTATTCAGCTAGATTGAGGATTGTTTGTTGATGTTTCTATGTGTGTGTCACCTCATATCAGAATTAATACAAAAATGGGCATTGAGACTTTCCCTCACCAGTAATGCTGGAAAATTGCCATTTAACCTTTACAGTGTCATTGGGGCTTAAAATCTAACAAAGAAATAATACAAAATTCAGTATGTTAAGGGGTTAAATTAAGACCATTATTAACTTTGAATGACAATGTCTTGATCCTGGCAAAAGGTGTTTACATGTTGCCAGTTATCCCTGTCTTGAATTATGTGAATGATTTATTTATATTGAATTTTTATTGGCCGGGTTGCACTGGTGCAAACCCAGGTTATAGTATGGTGAATGTCGGGCGGCAGGCAGGCGGTGAAAATATTATCATAACAGTTTTCTGAGCAACTACTTATCACAGCCTTTTGATATTTGGCATACAGCATTGACACATGGTCCCATACCGTGGGATTTGATTTCAGGTCTGCCGTTTTATCCACTTCCTGTTTACCTACTTAGTTAAATTTTCAACATTAATGGTCAATGGTAGGAAATTTTCGTAACAGTTTTCTCAGAAAGTACTTATTACAGCCTCTTGATATTTTGGATACAGCATAGACACATAGTCCGATACAGTGGGATTCGATTTCAGGTGTGTAGCTCATCCACTTCCTGCTTATCTACTTAGTTAAATTTTCGACATTAATGGTAATTAATGGTAATTTTTTTTCTCCGTAAAATCACAGCCCCATGATATTTGGTGTACAAATGCATCCCGGCCTTTTCTGTCTTTGACCCCTTTTTGTAAGTTAGAGTGGGATAAACTTAAAATATGCCTTGATAAAGCCATGAGTAATCTATTATAAAATGCTAATTTGAATACTTGTATAATGGATAGTTGCTTGTTAAAACTATAGTTTAACAAAAATAAAAACTCTTTGTTTTGATTTCAGAGAGTTTGTGATGATGGGTATATAATACATGCCTCTGGTAGTCCCAGTCATAAGATAATCTATGGTTTCTATCTCTATACGTTTGTTTCCAAGGACAAGACTAAGGAAGGTAACGATCATTGTTAACCAGCCCTGGATGCTATAAAGCCTTTGTCTGAGATATGTCTTTGATCTCAGAATTTCTTTATAACCTTTGACCCAGATTGTCGACAGGAAAACTGGAGTTATTTAACCCCTGCTATCTCAAAAATGGTTACTTCAATCTAGACAAAACCATTAATCATTTTACAGGAAAATTTCATGACCTCTTAAGTACTAAGTAGTGAACAGTGCAGAGAATGATCAGATGGCACAGATCTGCAGGTTGACTTTGGTCTGCACTGGTTGCATGGGTAGAACCAGTTGCTGCCCAGAGGTTAAGGGTTTAAGACTGATAAATGTTAGGGGGATGCTGGTCATAAAATCATTTCTTCTTTGAGGCAACTCAGCATACATTTCTGTAGAGATTTCAGTCAACTTTCGCAGAAGGAATGTTATCATGTGCCAAGATGGTGCTTATTTTTAGGGATTTTTTTTTTTATTTAATAATAACAATTCTGAAGTTTAATGTATGTGCAGGCTTCATGTATATGATACATTGACATGCATATGAGTTTTGGACTTAATTTATTTTTTCTTGATCCTGTTGAAGAAGTTTGTCTATATATATGATTAGGATTATGCCTATCTGTTGTATTTAGTGTAAACCTTTATCTCTTACTATGATATATGTCTTCAGTAGACTTGTCCATCTTTGAATTTGGACAAAACCTTGAAGTTTTTTTTTGTGTGGAAAATTTCAAATTATCTGCTGACTAAATAAGAATATGTGCAGACCATGATTAAAGAGCATGTATGTGCAAGATGATCTTGGTCTGCACTGGTTGCATTCATAGAATATGTTGCTGCCTGCAGGTTAATTTTTAAAGTGACAGGGTGAGCTTTTGTGATCGCTTTTTGTCCGGTGTCCGTCCCTAGTCCGTCCGTAAACTTTTACTTTAAATGACATCTCCTCATAAACCACTGAGCCAATTTCATTCAAACTTCACAGGAATGTTCCTTTGGTGGTCACCTTTAAAAATTGTTCAAAGAATTTAATTCCATGCAGAACTCTGGTTGCCATAGCAACCGAAAGAAAAACTTAAAATATCTTCTTTTAAAAAATCCAAAGAGCTAGAGCTTAGATATTTGGCATGAAACATCATCTAGTGAGTGTCTACAAAGTTTGTTCAAATAAAAGCCCTGGGGTCAAAATTGGCCCCGCCCCAGAGGTTCATTGATTTTCCCTATATGCATATAGTAAAAACTTAAAAATCTTCTTTTAAAGAACCCAAAGGGCTAAAGGTAAGATATTTAGCATGAAACATCTTCTAATGAGTGTCTACCAAGTTTGTTCAAATAAAAGCCCTGGGGTCAAAATTGGCCACACCCCGGGGGTCATTGATTTTCCTTATATGTGTATAGCAAAAACTTAAAAAAATCTTCTTTGAAAAAAACCCAAATAGCTAGAGTTTAGATATTGAGCATAAAACATCTTCTAGTAAGTGTCTACAAAGTTTGTTCAAATAAAAGCCCTGGGGTCAAAACTGGCTCCGCCCCAGGGGTGTCATTGTTTTTAACTATATGTGTATAGTAAAAACATAAAAATCTTCTTTTAAAAAACCCAATGAGCTATAGAGCTTAGATGTTACTGTTTAGCATGAAAAACATCTTCTTATGGGTGTCTACCATGTTTGTTCAAATAAAAGCCCTTGGGTCAAAATTGGCCCTGCCGGGGGGGGGGGGGGGCAGAGGGGGGGGGGGGGGGAGAAGGAAGGTCATTGTTTTTTCATTATATGTGTGTAGTTAAAAACTTAACATCATGAAACATCTTCTAATGGGTGTCTTCCAAGTTTGTTTCAAATAATAGCCTTGGGGTTTAAGCTGGCCCAGCTCCAGGGGCCTATAAACAGGTGAGCGACCTTAGGGCCATCATGGCCCTCTTCTATAGATATATGCATTTGATGTTTACAGATCTTTACAGAACATTTTGTTTTTTTACAGAACAGGGGCTGTTTTATAATCCCTTGTTTCAAAATGACTGGTGTGAAGTTGCCTTTGTCCCAGTACACGAGGATGTTGACTCAACTCTAGTCAAGTTTAGTTTAGATGAAAAAGAAGGGAGTCCACCAATATTTGACTTGACGTCTGCTCTAGATGAGGACTGGAGGGTCCAGACTGGGTTGAATAAAACAGGTCATACTTGGCCACAACAGTCAGGTAGGTCAAGGAAATCTTGGTCTATGATTATCTGGTTTTGAATTACATGTAGTTGAACTATTTCTAAAATTGCAAGATTTTGATTGGTTGATATACAGACTGTGCTAAATAGTCAATATGCAAGATCTGTAAATATTTTTTTTGTGTTCCAGTCTGGATTTCAAATTTGATTGAAATGAGGTTTAAAATACATTTTATTTAAGAAAAAGGCCTTAAATGCTCAAATGTGGTGCATGGTATTTTAGGGGAGGAATAGTTTTTTAAATTGACCAATCAAAAACATGCTTTTCAGACTGGTTCTCAGGTTTGTTGATTGCTGGAAAGAATAACAAATAAGCTATTTATAGATAACAAATATATTTTTTTGGAGAAATGTATGGATTTTTTTGTTCATAATGGATATTGTAAAAAGTAAAGGATACATATACATATAAGTATAAAAATATTATTTTTATACATATATTTCTGACATTTTTTGGTTGTAAATTGTTAAGTGGCTGAAGCAGCCTGAGATATAGGATAGAGATCGTATTTATACCAGTCATGGTCCCTAAGATATGTTTTTACAACATAAGTAGAAGATTCCTTAAAACATTGATTTTTCTATTGCATTTTTCTATGGCTATATGACTGGATTAGTTGCGTCCTGAGAACAGCATTATTTTAATATTTGACAATCCAATTTAATCAACATATATTTTCATATATATACATATAATGAATGCAAATAACACATTTTTATGTGTATTTTAGGGTTTTTATTTTCTTTGTGATATTTATTTGTAGGTCTGCTAAGTGAAGGTAGACTTATATCAAGTCTAAATGTATTTCTGACTGAAAATATCTTAGTCTTATGTATACTTCTTATGAATACTTCTCTTATATAAAAGAAAACAAAAACAAAAAAAGATTGAAATGAATAAGGGCAACAGGAAGGACAGTTGAATATGTAATTCTTAGGGCTGTTCTATTTTACTAACCTTTTCAATGTCTGTTATCTTGGTTTGATGGTCAAATGTAAGTTGTATGTACTAAAAAATGTGGCTTAAATTAACATGGTCAAAGAAATCAGTTTGAAATGTAGGATAAATGTTATCAATAATGTAAACACCTTTATAATTAAATATCTAAGGTGATACAAGTTTAAATAATGTATAGTTTTAGTATGCTCTGGGTTTATTTTAGAGATAAATTTTAAGTCAATCTTCAATTTATGACAACATTAACTTACTAAATGTGATGAAAAAGGTTTTAAGCCAAAACTGTTACTTAAAAAAAACTCTTGAAATAAAACTTTCTGCCTATCAATTACATCCTGAAGGGTATATAAAAGTCTGTATCCATATTACTGTCCTTTGTAAAAAAGCTCTCCTAATTTTTTTTTTTTTTTTTTTTTGGGGGGGGGGGGGGGGGGGAGATAAAAACTTATATATTATGTATTTAATTCAGTATAATTTAAACATATTTAATTCAAAATTAAGGTAAAGTGTTTAATTTAATGCATGTATATATGTTTCAGATGAACAGGAAATGTCAAATATGGCTCGGGGTTGGTACCCACGTATTATTATTATTATAGATTTTTTTTATAGTTAGCAGTGCTTGAAAACCCACATTTTGTGTATGATTGTGGTCAGTTCTATCAAGCTGTACCTGACTTTACTCACTTTTTAACATCTACTTCCCTAAATATCTAAAATGGACTTGTCTGTCTAAAAAATCTAATCTGGACAAAACGTTTACTCATTTTTAATCATAATTATCTAATACTGAGCACTGTCCCTGTTTCTCACATATGATTGAATTAAAATTGTGCTCACTGCCAACACATTGGTTTAATATTTTTTCTAATACTGTTGAAATTCATACTGACAAAGGATTGGAGGTTGATTTTTATAGTGTACTACAGCTGTTTTAATGAGTTAATTAATATCTTCTTTTTAGGTTATACTTTGATATAGGGGCATTTATAAGAACAAGTAGAGATGTTAATTGTCCCCTGCCCTTCAGAAGAAAAAAAGAGGCATATAGAAATGGGCCTCATCCGTCCGTCTGTCTGTCCATCCATCTGTATGTATCTGTATTGGATAAGAACCCATTGTCATGAAATTAATTAGCTATTAGATTAATTGTCTTAGAACCCATTGTTACAAAATTAATTAGCTAAATCTAGTTTCAGAAACTTTATCCTTAACTATCATCATCAACTTAACATCAAAGTGTCGAACCAAAAAAAGAGGACTTAACCAGAATTTAGACGAATATCTTAAATGAACGGGCCAGCTTTCAATCTGGACAAAACCTTTCATTATTATGATTCAGGGAAAATTTTAAAATAATTACTGACTGAATATTAAACAGTTTTGACTGTGAACAGATAGTACAGATGTGCTGGTTGATAATTTGTCTGCTATATCTGCATGGATAAATCCAGTCACAACCAGCAGGCTTAGAGTTTAGGGACCTTGTCCTTTGTCACTTTGTTTAACATATAAATGCTCTTGAACACTTTCCTCTCAAGATTCATTTTTAAAACACTATATTTTTTTTTTGAAAGCAACATATTCCACATCTTTTATTGCTAATTCATCTCTATGGAGTAAAAGATATGCTTACTAAGGAAATATATATGTACTATTAATTTTGACCATTGATATGGTTACATTGTAAAGTCAAGAAAAGAATTATTATAATCTAAACTTCATACAAACATTTCTTTGCTTTTTACTTTTCTGCTATTTCTCAAGAGTTAATTTCTATATCTAAACAGAATAATTCTAATTATCTAAACAGAATAGCTAACTGAAAATTATTTACACTGTAAATGATATGTTAGTCAGAGGTTACTTTTCCCTATCATTTGCTAGATGAAACTAATTGGATTAATATATAAGTAGACATTTCTAGATGTATTTTGGAGTGCTTACGGTTCAGATCTTAATTTAGGAATCTAAATTTTCTAGTGGGATTTGAACTCACATGGGGTTTAGCTTGTGATTACTATTTTACACATATTGTTACAAATATTAAAACATATTTATCACATACCAGTGGTGCTTCTGTTACTCTGTAAAAATAGTATGACATACATTTTGACAGATTATGGCCCTTTTATTTGAAACAATAATTATTTGTACTTAAATGTAAAAAATGGCTGACAACTTTTTCTTGAGTGCTTCATTCCTATTGCAAAATAAACAACACATTCTATTTTTTTCAGTGCTGAAAGTAGGAAAGGGAGCAATTAATATTGCAAAAGTGCTTATTTTTGGTTTAAAATGAATACCTATGACATTTTTTTGAAATAAGCAAATATTTTAAGTCAAGAAAAGGAAAATGAAGCAAAATTGACTTTCAAATGCATTTTGAAGTTGAGAGTGAAAAAATTAGAATATCTTTGATAGTTTGTGAGAAATGTCTTTACTTAGATATTTTAAGTTTAAAAAATGACTAAAAATACAAAGTCTTCTGTGACAGTTTTACAGATTTTTTTCATACATGTATATGATGTATATGATATATTTTGGTTATGTTTATAATAAGTCAGGTAGGGCTTTAAGATAGATAGATCGATTCTAATAATGGTATTTGTTTGGTCTCCATCCTTGGATATTTGGTGTCAGGTTTATTAAAATGTTACCTCTCTCCAGGGCCAAGACACCATTTTTGGGGAAGGGCCCTCAGCCATTTTCTTGGGGAAAATATACGTTATTTTGGCATACCTTGGGAAAAGGGGTCTCAAATTTAGCACAAACTTTTAAGAAGTTCTCAAAAATAAAAAAGCACTTGGAAATACTAATAAGGCAGAAAAAGACCTTAAAGAATTCAACACTATCATTTAATTTTGTTCTAAATTCTATGGGAAAGTTCAAAAGACTGGGGAATTTTGAGGACTAAACTGGGGGGAAAAAAGAGGCTAGTTTGGTTGGGGAAGCAGCCTATATTCGTCCTCTACAAAGAAGGGTTTTTTGGCCCTGCTCTCAAATATAAATAAAGTGTTTGTATCTTAACTATTGTTATTGCATGCAAATAGAAATTGAAAGCTTTTTGACCCAAATGTGTCCATATAAATACAACATGTGTCTTAGCAATCCATGACACTCTGAACTCGGGCAAATGTGGGGTTTTCCCAGCTATTTCGGTATTATAAACAAACTTTGATGGTTGTCCACCTAAGGGTTAAGGGTCTTTTATATGAGAGGTTATGTTTGAATGAACTGTAAAAAGAGAATGTTATTGCCTTTACTGTATACAAATATCCCTATGAAATGCATGGGTAAATAGTATTGTTTGATCCACATTTCACTTTATATAATTATAAAAGGATTGTTTTGTTGTATTCAGTTGAGTATTGTGATCAGTGTTTGTCCGTGGTGTGTCATCTGTTAATATATTTTACTTTAATCTCATCTTAAACAACTAGGCTAATTGTGATATTTTATTTTACTAATGATATAGAAATACCTGTAATATTGTATTTCAGTATCAAGTATGCCTTATTTGATTCTCACTGTTTTCCATCTGTGTTCCCATTTTTTCATTTACTTTCATTTTATTGAACAACCTGCTAGGTTGACAGCATCAACATTTACAAATCAACAGAATAATTGTTTGGAATTTTTAAGATTTAATGCATGCTGAGTGGTTGTCATTAAGCATGACTTTCTACCATTTTATTGTTAAATTAAATAACTTTGATTCAACAAAAAATTGGTGCCCTTAATTTCAGTCAGGAGTTCTTGTATGACCCTTAACCTGCCTACTTTCTTAAATGGACTGGTCAGTTTCCATTTTTGGAACTGTCCATATCACTTTTGATCAAAATTAAAAGTCAGGAATTCTGGTATAACCCTTAACCTGCCTATTTTCTTAAATGGACTGGTCAGCTTCCATTTTTGGAGCAGTCCATATCACTTTTGATCAAAAATGAAAGTAAGTCAGCTGACAGTATGGTGGTAGTGTTGGTTGTTTTCCGTCCAGATCACAACAATAATCCACATTGAATTTATCAGAGCACAGTTCAGCCATTGCATCATTCCCAGTCCAGAGCTTACCGGATGGTTGTGCCAACAGTATGTGCAGGCTGGTCTGGCTTATACTGATGGTTAAGGCCTTTCAGTTTCAAGCAGGGTTTTGTGGTGAAATAATCTCAATGACTGTTTTGATTGATATAATACTTCACAATAATTATTGTGATGCTTGTGATAAAAGTCAGAAAAACATGTCTGATTATAGATAAGATTCATAGATCTGTATTGACCAGCTGTATACATGAATATTCTGTTGATTTATAGAAATAATGCTCTGTATGAAAGGTACATGTATTTATGTGGTCATTTTAGAGAGACTTTAACTTTTTATGGACATGTATGTAAGTGTCTAAAACGGTTCTTTTTGTTCTCCTTTACCATGTTGTAACATATTTGTCATAAAGTTGCAAGGTTGTTTGCATGCCAATGACATGGGTGCTTTGGAATTTGTAACATTTATGTGCATTTCAGGGGTGCTTTAAAATTTGTAACATTCTTGTGACAAAGATTTTTCTTATTATATTTGACAAATTTCCTAATTACGTTGCCAGGCTATTCTGGTTTTTCCATTGCTTAAAATAGTAATGGAAATGAGCATTTTGGGAGCAGGCTTGATTGGCTTATTCAATGAAAGAAGGTCAACAGTTGTGTTCCTATTCAGTGATAACAGAAGGTATAATTTTATGTGTAATGATAAGATAGAAATTGTATTTTGTGTTGGTGAGAGGTGACGTTAAACTGGTCAGATGCATGCTTTATGAAGTCTTGACTGCTACACTCTACATGAAATCCTCACAAAGGTGGACATAAGCAAATCTGCCCCTTGATAAATGATAAAAACTTGAAATGAGCCGCGTCATGACAAAACCAACGTAATGCGTTTGCGACCAGCATGGATTCATCCGCGCAGTCTGATCAGGATCCATGCTCTTCGCTATCAGTTTCTCTACTTGTTATAGGGTTGGTAAGCGAACAGCATGGATCCTGATCAGACTGCGAAAATGCACAGGCTGGTCTGGAGCCATGCTGGTTGCAAATTCACTATGTTGGTTTTGTCATGACGCGACTCAAATGACGTTCTTATAAGTGCATAAATGCTAGTTGGGAGTCATGCTCATAAAGTCATTCTCTCATGAATAAGTTGATGGACACAACTTTGAGAAAGAATAACATTGAAACTGTTATTCATTATGTGCAGTATGGTCATGTTTGTAATATGCTTACATGATAAATTTACTGTTTATTTTACCTTCTCGTAATTTACTATGAATATCATAATTATGAATTTTTGCTAAATGATGTAAAAAAAACATACATGTATAAGTGATTCTCAAATGGTGTTCATTAAAATGACTTTATTCACAAAATTTTGGCTATAATAACCCACAGACAGGAGAGATATTGTTTTAAATTTTATAAGTTTACATCATCAAATAATTATGTTTTTGTATTTTCAAAATATAAAATTAATGTACTAAAATGTTCAATAATTAAATGTTCAATAATAGAACATTCAACTCACTGTAGTCAACCTCTCAGAGTTGTTGTTGTTGTTGATGTTTATTTTACAAACAGGGTTTTGTTATTGTTTATTGTACAAATATAAAGTACATTGTACTGTATTTCTGATAATAGAAAAATTAGATAATTTTGAGACCCTTTCAAATCAAAGAACTCTGTTGGTTAGTTTAGTTTTAATGTAAACAAGCAGTAAACACTTTGGGCATACGAGGGATGATCCAGAATTACCTAGAATTTGTTTATAAGTCGCATAATTAATAATTAATAAAGTTTGTTTTAATTTTCATGGTGTCGTCATCTAAGTTATACCCGTGTTAAAAATTCAATTTTTCACTGATTTGATAGTCAAATATTATTTATTTTATGCTGTGTAGTACTTTTCAGTATGTCTTAAATAACCATGGTAACACTTTAGCAACAAAGGTCATAGAATGCGAGGCATGCTGAAAATTTGTAATACACCAAAATTCCTTTAACAAAAATTGATTTTTTTTCAAAATACAAGGAAAATGGAGAAGTATAACTCATCAAAACCAGAGCTGGTTAAGGTTATTTATTTTCTACTGGTTCGGTCTTATCGTACCTTCATCAGGATGAATATTGATTTGATTCCGGGTAATTCTGGATCATTCCTCATACATGTTTATAAAATGCTGGAATTTAACACAACGTGAGAAAGATATTTGTTTTTGTAAACAATTAGCAGTAGAATCAGTACTTTAATCTGTTAAGAGATATTTTCAGATTGCTAAAAATAAACATCTGACACCATACTGTTTATCTTCCAGGCAATAATTTTTGTTTCTAGAAGTAGACAAAGATTTGTTTTCAAATATTCAATGATTCATCAACAAGAAGACCTGGGTTATGTTAAAATAAATTTTGCAATAATATTTACCTAAATATTTGGATATCATGCCGAATTAGTATTCTTAGTGTTAATGTTGCCAAAAAAAAACAACAGTAAGAAAACAACAACAACAACAAAAAACAACAAACAAACAAAAACAAAAAGTTTGTCTTTGCTGTGTCTCCTTGACAGGAAAAGCACTTAAAGATCCTGTAACTCAATTTTTTTTATGGTTTTATATAAAAAATATAATGCTCAAATGAAGATTTATCAATATTGTAAGTTCCAAAAAGCATTATTTGTAAAGATGCTACCGAATTTTACATTTCATGTTTACAAAGGGAGGTATTTAGAAATTTATTTTCTATAAAGTCTAAGTCAAATTTTTCAATAAGAAATGAATGCATATATTTTGATGATTACATATAATGTGAACAAATATTTGCTGTACATAATTTACATAAAATTATTCTTCAATGTTTAAAAGTTGTTTTAGAAGCATAATTATATACATATATAAAATTTCACTAGTGTGGTAACAACATCACTTCTCACTTCCCCTCAGAGTGTGCACGCCGCTGAGATGGCACAGGGCATCGCAGAAGGTTTACGGCTTGGCAGATAGTAAACTTATAAATTTATGCACCCATTAAAGTTTAGTGGGACTTCTACTTCATCAACAACTGCAGACCAGCTGCAGGTGTCCTGACTAATGCCGAGGGGAATGGCCCTACAAAGTAGGCTTCTGATTGACGAGGATGGTGTGCTAGGGTGCGTAAGCCCCTAGCACCGTTAGACAGTTTGAACGGCAGGCCATTTAGCTCTCATTGACCTCCATACAGTGACCTACTTTTCTCAAAATTTATATCTTTGGCTAATAATTCATGGAAATTGCATGGAGGTAAATTATCACCACTTTGTGCTTCAAAATTAAAACTTTTTAAGGGCATGACTGGTGACATGTCTGCATTTAATGCGCCCTTACAGATCCTCATTAAGCATAGACTACATACATGGTAACAACCTGCATTATAACGTACAGGGTCTTTAATATAATTATTTGTTTAAATATACAAAGTTTCTGGGCCAAAAACATAATAATTATTTGTTTAAATATAAAAAATTCAGGGCCAAAAACATAATAATTATTTGTTTAAATATACATCAAAGTTTCAGGGCCAAAAACATAATAATTATTTGTTTAAATATACAAAGTTTCAGCCAAAAAAAAATTATTTGTTTAAATACATGTATACCCGGTACTAAGTTTCAGGCCCAAAAACAAAATAATTATTTGATTGAATTTACAAAGTTTCAGAGCTAAAAACAAAAGGTAAGTTGCTTTGAGCACAAAGAACATAGAATTTTTTTTTAGAAAAGGCAAACGATGTTTAGATTTAAATTGTACCAATTTAAATGCCAACTTAACCAAACGCTTGTCTTTTAAGCGGCCATTATTTTAGCTTCCTGCCTGATAATGAAGTATGTCAATTTATTTATTTTTTTTTGAAAGAGAGAGTGAAATTTTGTTTATAAAGAGAGAGAGAGAGTGATATTCTATCTACATAGAATAGATAAAGGGGAGTGGTAGCCTAGTGGTTAAGGTGTCTGTCCATCAACTCAGGGATCATGGGTTTGAGTCCTAATAGGGTCATGACCATGTTTCTAGACATGACACCTGCAGTACTGGTTGGTTCCAGGAAGCGGAGCCAAAAGTGATTTATATAAGTTGAAAGAACTTGTTTTGCAATCAAGCTTAAATAAATATGTTTAAACCAATCTACATAGACTATTTTTTTCTGTTTTCTAAAATTGATTGTTGGGCTGGCAAGACCACAGAGTTTGAACAATATTTTTTACATCATTCAGTCTACTCTGTTTGTTGTTACCAAGGCAACCTGCCAGAAAGTTGACTGAAGTAACCTAAGATCATCCATGTCAGCAGAATATGCATTTATGAATTAATAGTTCCAATAGGCCTACTTTTACTTGTACCAGTCAATGCAAGAAATGATAAAATATGAATTAATATTCAATTAAACCAACACATTTGCTTTTTATGTCCTAAAATAGTCATAATTTTTGTTTGAAACTGGGCAACAAAAATGATGACAAAGATTCATTATGACATTTTGTCACCTTTTCATCATTAAAGTCTTAAACCGACTGAATGTTATGATTGGCTATATTGACTTTAAACCACTTGCCTCTCACCACTGTGGGTGCAAATCCTGACAAGGACTTTGCATTCTTTCAAGTGAGGAAGCTATCCAGCTAGCTTAAGGAACTTTGGTGGTTCTACTCGGGTGCCCATTAATAATGTACCTGAAATAATGCATGCATGGACTCAGGGCACCTGAGGTCTTCCTCCCCAGTAAAGCTGGAAAGTCGCCATACGACCTATATTGATTTGATGCAACCCGACCTATACATGATGTCTTTCATGTGCTTTAAACAGAGAGATAGACTTTTTTATGAAAATTTTGATATTTTTTTGCTAAGATACACAATATAATTATGTTAGTGAGCTTTATATGACACAAATATATCATAGCATATCTAGTTAGTGTTTATTATGATACAGAAACTTAAAAATGTAAAATACATGTACATATCAAATAGATGATTACATAGATTTATTGTTATACTCTGTTTTTTTATTTTATTTACTTTCACTTTCAGAAATTTATTTATAATTACTCTTGCACTTATTGTTTTCATTTTTAAAGAGCTTTATTTACATGTATAATATATTTTAGTTCAACACTGCTATATGCTTTTATAGTATTGCTTAAGACAGTGTAAGTAATTTTATTATACTGCTTGTTACATTTTTTTGCCTACATCCAAAAACCTGTTTTTGCGTACTGGATTTTGACCTTGTTAAATGTGAATCACTTCATTTTAAGTTAAAAGTGAATAATGGTCCATAATGGGATGGTTTGAAATGCCACAAATAAATGTGTTGATAGATTTTAGTACTTTATGTTAGGTAACCAACAAAATATTTATATATAGATGTTGTTTGTTCTAAATACACGTGTATTAGATACATCTTATACAACATATCTGTATATAGCTGATAATAAATTGTTCAAGAACACAATATTATTATTCATCTAAAAAATTGATGACTATACAAACCTTTTAATTAATTAACTTTTTTTTCCAAAAAAAGCATAAAAGAACCTAAAAAACAAGAAATATCTTATTAAAATATTCAACTGATTGAACCAATTGAAATACTTTATGGACAATGTGCCCATAGGTAGACCAATTGAAATACTTTATGGACAATGTGCCCATAGGTAGACCAATTGAAATACTTTTGGAAAATGTGCCCATAGGTAGACCAATTGAAATACTTTATGGAAAATGTGCCCATTAGGTAGACCAATTGAAATACTTTTGGAAAATGTGCCCATAGGTAGACCAATTGAAATACCTTTGGAAAATGTGCCCATAGGTAGACCATTTGAAATACTTTTGGAAAAATGTGCCCATAGGTAGACCGAATGAAATACTTTATGGAAATGTGCCCATAGGTAGACCAAATGAAATACTTTATGGAAAAGTGCTCATAGGTAGAACAATTGAAATACTGTTGAAAAATGTGCCCATAGGTAGACCAATTGAAATACCTTTGGAAAATGTGCCCATAGGTAGACCAATTGAAATACCTTTGGAAAATGTGCCCATAGGTAGACCAATTGAAATACTTTATGGAAAATGTGCCCATAGGTAGACCAATTCACTTTACAGCTACCAAGAATATAAAGCCTGATTATACTTCATGGATGTACAGATGGACCTTGCTGTATAGCATTAGTCACTTAGGTTCTAGCAGGTTAAGAGTTTTAATTTGGTCAAATTGTAACAACTTGTATGTACAATGTACTATCAATGTATACTGATGCACAGATATTTTAATTTATTTGATGTACGTAGGTAGTATAAGTAGGCTCTGTCAAAGCATTTTGATTTGGTTATTTTACTTGAAATAGTTTTTAGTTAGTCAAAATATATCACTTAAAATTTACACTATTTTTATATATTATTTGATTTAATTGCATAGAGTCAGAACTCGGGAAACCATCTTTCTTGTTTAAATAAAAGTTAAAGGGACTCCACTGAGGTTTTTTACATGACAGGACCAGAAATAAATTTTCTAGATTCACATCACTTTTCACTCGAATCAGACTAATAATAAATAAAAAAATATGATTTTCATGATATTTCTTGGTATATTTCTTAATAATCTTTTGCAAATCTGTATGTTTAAAGTGACCCGGCCGATCAATATAAGAAATTCAAATTTTATATTCTTAGACTTTTAGACTTCAGTGGAAATCTTTAATTTATTAGATGTTTGATTTAACTTTTTATATTTAATATACTGTAAATGCTCATAAATACAAAGGTCATGATACAGGAAAATGAAATGAGTTTGTCACCTTTTGTAGGAGTGATTACTTCTGCTGACAACTGTCTAAACTTATCGAAGTATCATGTATCAATGTATCTTATATATGCCTTTCTTAATGTAAAACTTGAAAGCAAAAATATTTCAGATGTAAATATATATAGTACATGTATTTGTCCAATAAAATAATAGGTGTGAAAAGAAGAAGCAATTTTTACTGTTACTTTTAAGACTTGTAGTTGAAGTGCAGTTAATGTACATGAATTATTAATTGAACTCAAAAATTGAGCAAAATTGTTACGTAAGAAAAATAAGAAAAATTTTACAAGCTATGTTTTACAATATTTATTATATATTAGGTTGTCTCCCTTTTAACTATTTATTATTATAGTTATGTTTTGTTCTGATACTGTTTTACATTATCCATTTATATTCTATTATTAGCAACTTTGATGCACAAGTATGTAAATGTTGATGTGGATCCCCAGTCAAAGAGTGATAGACCCGAGTGGGCTACAGCCAGGTACCATGCCCACTACAGTCCTCATTGTGGCTTTGAACTTCAGGTGCAATGGATGGTATCCACTGGTCAGATCCTAGGTGACTTGGTAAGTAGAACAGCAAGAAGCTTTTTCATCCATTTTGTATAGTTAATTTAAATGAATTTATTGTAGTTTGATTATTTTTTTTCTGGCAGTGTGTTGCAAGCTAAAACCTTGAATAGATTGGTTTTTTTCTGTGTCAGTGTATTTGCAAGCTAAAACCTTAAATCTATTCCCTTGATCAACCAGCACTAAACAATGCATCTACAGTTTCTTGCTCACAGAAAAATGGCTAGCCCCTGATGCGGTTTGAACCCACACAGTCAGCAGTCCTTAGATATTTAAGATAGAATTAAAAGATTAAAGGATTTTTAAAAGCAGATGACGCCATTGAACAAAACTTTGATCATTTGACAGTAAATCTTCTTTAAAGATCTTTGTGAGGATAGAACTACATATACTAAAATTTTTATCATCAATTCATTTGGAATATTTACAATCCTCTAAAACTGACCACCTTTCACCAAAAATGTTTCATTGATTTATAATGTAGATCAACAACTGGGCAAGAAAAGCCAGTTCATGTGGTTTTCACCTGATGCCAGTTCCAGTTGACCCCTTTGCCCTACCTACAGCACCGGACAGTGACCCATTGAGAGGACCCATCTTTGTACCATTGAATGTAGGATGTATGGAGACTGGTGGCTCTTTGTTCCAAGGTTTGTTTTTAATTCCTTCAGATAATATACGTTTTGTATTCATTATCTACTTATTCCAAGATTTTTGTTCAATATCTTCCATTATGTCAAGATTTTTATTCAATATTTTCCATTATGTCAAGATTTTATTCAATATCTTCCATTATCTCGGGATTTTTGTTCAATATTTTCCATTATCTCAACATTTTTATTAAATATCTTCCATTATCTCAAGATTGTATTGAATTACCATTATCTCAAGATTTTGATTCAATATCTTCCACTATCTCAAGATTTTGATTCAATATCTTCCGCTATCTCAAGATTTTGATACACTGTTTTCCATTATCTCAAGATTTTGATTCAGTATCTTCCATTATCTCAATATTTTTATTCAATAAGTAACATTATCTCAAGATTATTAATAAATATCTTCCACTATCTCAAGATTTTGATACAATGTTTTGTCATTATCTCAAGATTTTTATTCAATATCTTCCATTGTCTTAAGATAATTATTCATAATTATTCAATATCTTCCATTGTCTTAAGATAATTATTCAATATCTTCCATTATCTCAAGATTTTGATTCAATATCTTCCATTATCTCAAGATTTTGATTCAATATCTTCCATTATCTCAAGAGGTTTGTAGTCTTTCCTAGATTTTATTCTATTAAGTTGTTATTAATTCTTTACATTTAAGCTTAGCTCTTCAGTGAATAGTGGGGGTTATATCTCACTTATCCCTTGCGAAGTTTTGCATCACACAGAATTTAGTTCATACCCATGTCAATTTTGCAACTGCATAAAAATGGTATTGCAAGCCCATGCATTTATTTTGATGTGATGTCATTTGTGTTATACAAACTTAGTTAAAAGACAAGCTAACTATACAGGTGCGTCAATGAAAAATTATTCTCCTGCATCTTAAACAGTCCTCATTTTGGGTATGTGATAAATAGTTTGTTATATTTGTGTAGGTTTATTACTGACTTTATTGAACTTGTTGAATAAAATAATATTTTGCTAGAAAAATATGATTTTATGCTTGCAAAATATAAATTTATTCAACTTGTTCAATAAATTAGTATTGAACCTACATTCATTCAATAGCCTCTATATTTTACAATATATTTTCAGGGCATGATGAAGATACAAGGCAGCAAAAATTGCTACACCTCCAGGAAACTATAATCAGAAGGTGTCTTTACTTTAAAATTTATTTTTCTTTGATTTAGCCAAATACAGTGAAATTTGAGAAAACCGGACGCTGAGAAAATCGGAACTCTCTAAATACCGGACGAATAATTCAGTCCCAAATTTTCCCTTCTTTAATCTATTGTATTAAACATTGACAATACCGGAATCTGTCAAAACCGAATATCGGACGGTTGAAAGGGGACTACAAAGTCCATTATATAGACAATTACCCTGACAATACCGGACGACGAAGGTGTGAATAACGTTGTGTACTTATCAATTGGTTGTGTCTCATATGCTAACTGAGCGGTAACGGAACAATAATTATCTGATTTGTTAATTATGTCTCTTTTTACAGTTAGATGTTACCGTTTAAATGCACGAGAAATTGATAAGTTAAAATCAGTATGAATGAAAAATAGAATATTATTATACTGCATTGTTTTTTGTATATTCATTTCCCAAAATGACAACGCAACGGAAACGACATTTATTAGTGCGAGGTTCTATTCCATAGCCTAAAAGAATTCGACGAGAGCTGTCTATAAGTGACAAATTTGAAATAGTTAAAGACAGTGAAACTTTGCCGAGACCTACTTTAAAAATCTCTATCTGAATAATATGGTATAAGCACTATTTACAATTGGCGCATTATTATAAACAAACAAAGTAAACTATGTTCGTTAAATCATTATCCATTACCCAAATGTAAACATATACGGGTGTAATTGAACTTTATCGTTATGAGGTAACTGCTGTTCGTTTAAATCCAAAATTTTATTGTATTTATATGCAATAATTGGACAAAAACAATTAAAACATATTGTAAAGTATTTTTATCATTTCTTTATTAAGCAATATACTTACTCATGATCATGAAAATGCAAATATACGTTCAGCATCTTGTGTAAGTTATTGCTCGGTTTATAGGATCCTGAATAGCTGAAGGAGACATTGAGAATACCGGACCGCTGAGAAAACCGGACAAAACCCTCGGTCCGAATGCCGTCCGGTTTTCTCAACTTTCACTGTATTTAATAATTGCATCAGTATACAGGTCAGGTGTTTTACAGGCAAAAAATCAGAAGATTATATGTTGTGCTCACTAGGTTTATTAATTCTAAAAGTAAGTTAAAGGTTAGTTGCATATTTTTGGTACCAGGCTTCTGCCTGGTAAATGAAGGAAATACTGCAGTTGAACTGAAACAAAAAATAGAGAAAGTTTTGGTCCATAGTGCAAAGAGTTGGTATGAAGGTTAGTCATGACTATATATAAATGACTCCTATTGCTGAAGGTCAGAAGTCAAAGGTCAAGGTCACTGGCTTTAACCACTAAAAGCTTGCCCTACCAATAGATACAACAGAATGCTTTGGCCTTAGATATGGTAGGGATGTTGGTCATAACCCCCATAGATTTAAGGACAGGAGATCATCGGTCAATATCACTGTGGTACTTAGTATAAGTTTCTTGTGTGATCAATAACTTGAGAAGTTATAAACCTTACTTTAACAAACTTTGTAGAGACATTGCTAAATGGTTTATTGGACACCCCTAATAATTTTGAGGTTGTTAGATCTAGGTCACTTTGACAAATGAAATACTTGTCTGATCATGGACAGAAGATTCCTCAGTCATAGGTTTGTGTAACATTTTATTGTTGGATAAATTATGTTACATATTAAAATAACACTTGACTTTAATGAAATAGGCATAAGTCAGTGAAATGTCTTTAATGACAGCAAATGAAGTAGGGTCTTAACTATGAACTTATTTATAGAGTTCCCCCCCCCCCTGTTTTTTGTCATAATTTTAGCAGTTTCAGTTTAAATAAAAACTTTAAAATTTATTCAAAGAAACCTAAATTTTTTCCAGGTTTGGTTTTATGGGAAGTAGTGTACGTCTGGCTAACAAGACACAGATTCCTACAGCCATAGAAGAGCATCACCAATATGTACACTGTACAGGTGGTATGTTTGTCATAATTGAAGGCACTCATATGTCCAGTCCTTCCCCGTTACCAAAAGAAATGAAAATTGGCCGCAAATTTGGTAATGGTAAGGAACAAAGGTCAACAGGGAGTTTGACCCGGAAGTCAACGGCCGAGATGCGTAAAGATTACATTGCCAGACAGACTAGTCAGACATTTAACCAGAACATTGAAACCGATCACGAGGTCGGGTTTTTGTGGTCATGGAATTTCATGTCGTCAAGACGCTGGAGGTCATCAAATACGGGTGATGAACATTTTCAAGATCGTGTTCTTAGTGATTTTAGAGCATTTTGTGCTAATGAAGAGAACAGATTGCTAACATTTTGGAATCACTACAAGGAAAATAATTATGTTTAGTGCAATATTTTGTTATTTTGTCTTGAAATTTCATATTAATTATTTATGCTGAGGATTATCATCAAGGTCATTATCGTCATAATCCAAACGATTGCTTGTTCTTATGTTTCTCTTGATTAATTTCTTTTTTAGCTTGACTTTTTTTTTCAAGAAAATAGAGGTATTGTTACAGTTGTTGCCGTCCGCAAACCTTGATCATAACTTTTTGAGTTCTTGGTGTATTGTCTTCATACATGGCCACAAGAACCAGACTAAACTTGACCTTCATTCATAAATGACCTTGACTTTCAAAGTCAAATTCTAAATTTTGCTTTATTTTTAGCTCACCTGTCACAAAGTGACAGGGTGAGCTTTTGTGATCGCTTTTCGTCCGGCGTCCGTCCGTCGTCCGTCCGTCCGTAAACTTTTGCTTTAAATGACATCTCCTCATAAACCACTGAGCCAATTTCATCCAAACTTCACAGGAATGTTCCTTTGGTGGTCACCTTTAAAAATTGTTCAAAGAATTTAATTCCATGCAGAACTCTGGTTGCCATGGCAACCGAAAGAAAAATCTTAAAATATCTTCTTTAAAACAACCCTAAGAGCTAGAGCTAAGATATTTGGCATGAAACATCTTCTAATGACTGTCTACCAAGTTTGTTCAAATAAAAGCCCTGGGGTCAAAATTGGCCCCGCCCCAGGGGGTCATTGATTTTCCCTATATGCATATAGTAAAAACTTAAAAAATCTTCCTTTAGAGAACCCAAAGAGCTAGAGCTAAGATATTTGGCATGAAGCATCTTCTAGTGAGTGTCTACCAAGTTTGTTTAAATAAAAGCCCTGGGGTCAAAATTGGCCCCGCCCCAGGGGGTCATTGATTTTCCCTATATGCATATAGTAAAAACTTAAAAATCTTCTTTTAAAGAACCGTAAGAGCTAAGGCTTAGATATTTGGCATGAAACATCTTCTAGTGAATGTCTACCAAGTTTGTTCAAATAAAAGCCCGGGGGTCAAAATTGGCCCCGCCCCAGGGGGTCATGGATTTTCCCTATATGCATATAGTAAAAACTTAAAAAATCTTCTTTTAAAGAACCCAAAGAGCTAAAGCTAAGATATTTAGCATGAAACATCTTCTAATGAGTGTCTACCAAGTTTGTTCAAATAAAAGCCCTGGGGTCAAAATTGGCCCCGCCCCAGGGGGTCATTGATTTTCCCTATATGCATATAGTAAAAACTTAAAAAATCTTCTTTTAAAGAACTCAAAGAGCTAGAGCTAAGATATTTAGCATGAAACATGTTCTAATGGGTGTCTACCAAGTATGTTCAAATAAAAGCCCTGGGGTCAAAACTGGCCCCGCCCCGGGGGTCATTGATTTTCCTTATAATTTATGTGTATAGCAAAAACTTAAAAATTTTCTTTGAAAAAACCCAAATAGCTAGAGTTTAGATATTAAGCATGAAACATCTTTAAGTAAATATCTACAAAGTTTGTTCAAATAAAAGCCCGGGGGTCAAAACTGCCCCTGCCCCAGGGGTGTCATTGTTTTTAACTATATGCTATATATACAGGTGAGCGACCTCAGGGCCATCATGGCCCTCTTGTTGCTATTAGTGGCTATAACTTATTTATGAATGGATTGTCTTCAAAATTGAACGCAACAATCATTCCAGTTAATCAGACAAACCTTGACCATCACCCATAAATGACCTTTACCTTGAAGGTCAATTAATTGAAATTTTCATTTTTTTTGGGCTGTAACTGGCTATAACTTTTTTTATTAATGAATGCATTGAGTTCATTTTTAGGATAAGACCTACATGTATATTAAACTCAAATTGATCTAAGCTTGTTTATGACTTTGATCATTGAAATTTCACTGAATTTTGCTATAATTGACTGTAACTTGGTAATGAATAAACAGATTATCATCATACTTGGAAAAAACAACCTTTTGGACAAGATCTTTTAAAAAGTTGAATTGACCTTGACCCAAAGTTTTAAATGACCTTGACCATCATGGTCAAATTTTTGAATTTTTGTTAAATTGTCATAATTTTGTTATTTGTTCAGATGTACAGATTTTATTTTTAATAGGACATAAGAAAACTAACATATTGAATAATTAAGATGTGACATTTACCTTTAATTGACCTTGGCAATCAAGGTCAGTTTGATAAAAAAATTGTTTTCCTGTAACTGGCTATAACTTTGTTATGTGTTTATAGATTAACTTCATATTTAGACACACATCTTTTAGGTCAGGATCTTCATGTATATCAAACTACAATTGACATTGACTCATGTATGACCTTGACCTTGAAGGTCATATTGAATTTTCACTGATTATTGCTTTAATGGACTGTAACTTGGTAATTGATCAATGGATTATCTTCATATTTGGACAAAACAACCTTTTGCATGAGACCTTGTAAAATGTTGAGCTGACCTTGATGTTTAGCTTTAAATGACCTTGACTGTCAAGGTCAAATTAATGAATTTTAGTTAAGTTGTCATAATTTTGTTATTTATGCAGGATTTGATTTATAATTTTACAAAACAACACTTGTGACCAAACAAACATGTTGAATAATGTAGATATGACAATGAACTTAAATGACCTTGACCATCAAATAAACGAATTTTGCTTATATTTTAAGTTTGTCATTTATTTATGGAAATGATTCATACTTTGACAAAACGAGAAGTGTGACTTGACAAACCTATTAAAAAAAACAAAAAAATATTTTTTTTTCATTAATTTTCTTTTTATTTTTAAGGGATTTGTTTAAAGATATATTATGCTCATCTTTGAGTGGAATATTTTTATTGCAGAAATTTATTGAAATCTATAAATTCTTACTGAATATGTGTTATTTGAATAAAATAGCGTACAAACTATGTATGGGAATCTATGTTCCTTACTTCGGGTCAAGTAAAGCTGGTCCTTTCCTCCCGCCTGGTGGTGACTCTTGTTACTGTCCTAGTACTGCTTTTTTTATTTATGTTTCCTTGAATGAGTTATCTTGTGATCATACTTGAAAAATGGTCTAGCTATGGAACAATCTTTTATTTCATTGTTTACATAAAACTTTAAAAGTGTAGTATCTTACATAAAATGTTATATAATGCAATTGCATGTTAACCTCTGATAAGACATTAACCATTACCATGCTAATTATTTTTCAATCTTAATAAAATCATTCACCTTTTTGAGAGAAAATTACATAATAAGTACTGACTAAACAGCCAAAAGTGCAGACAATTGCAATGACCTGAAACTTTGTGCACAGTTTGTATGGATAGATTAGTTGCCACCAGCAAACTAAGAGTTAGAATGGTTAATTTTATCTACTTGAGAAATAAAAAGCGTTTTTTTCACAGTTTCACATTAACCTTTCTTCTTAACACTTAACCCCTTGTAATGGAGTTATGCCCCTTTTAACAAAGATTTCTTTTGGTCAAAATTGCCTATTAGATAGAATGATTTTATAACTATTAATTATATCATCATGAAACCAATTTATTACGAGTAGGAACAGTTGTTTGGTGGGTGGAATAATGCCTTTTTTCAATTTACAATTCTTGTCAACATTGCTTTTAAGTAGAATGATTGCAAAACTATAAAAGATATGAATATAAAACTTGAAATACCCGAAAATCATCACAGTTTACAGTTGTTAGACAATGGAAGCAATTATTTAGGAAATTAATTGTTTTTTTTAACTTAGAATATGTATAAAAATTGGGTATTTTATACACCTGAAAAAATTGTGGCGTATCATGTTATGCACCTGATTGTCTGTCTGTTTGTCTGTCTGTCTGTAGCAGTTTTTGTGTCTATATAATGATAATAATAATAATAATAAAGACTGTATTTAACGAGGCTACATATTCGCCAAAACGATCTTCCATATGTAGGTCAACATATTTACAACATATTTACATCAAATTATTTTACAAAAGACAATGTAATATTATAAAACATAGTATTAACTACATGTAGTTATAAATGCAATGACAAACGAAACATAAAGATTAACCATTAACAATGGAAACTGCAGTAAACATAATTATATAAACATAATACTATGGTACTGGAATCTTTCAAACTGGTGGAAGGAAATTGAAACTACTTGGAAGAAAGGTTTACCATAATAAGATGATGTGCAGGAAGCAGGTTTGACCTTCCTCCGGTCAATGACATATAGTCATAATGTATTAATTACAGTATATAAATTTATTACTATGTCTCCTCCAAATATATATGTATGTTACCTCACAAAATCTATTACTTCATTATGTTTTTTATCAGACTTTATATTTTTGGATTTTTTCTGTGAAGATAATAATTATTTAGGAAATCATAGTTTATATAATTTAATTATTTTGAAATAAGACAATCTTATTAATTGAAACTGATGTTACTGATGTTTATATGAATTCACTAAATAACAACAATTTGTAAATGCTACTTATAAAATATCAATTTTTTACGGCAATTTATCAAAATTTCATATTTAGACACATATCTTTTGAATGAAGATGTGTGGAGTAACTGCAGTTGTTAATATACAATACTTCCTCTGTTTGGCCTTATTGTGGACAGTCATTCTCTAATTGAAAGACTTATATTGGTTGAAGGGTTAATATAAAGTTGCTGTACTGGTCGGGGACCATCAACCGGACACTTTTTGAACATTTTTCCATACATATTTCATAATTTTTAACCTAGAGACCTAAATATTTTACATAGTACAGCTAGGTTCTTCTCCAAACTAACAAACTAGTTTGTTTATTTCTGATTGTATTGACACTTACATTTGACGCTCGTCAAGGAGGGTATCAAAACTACCTAAATTGTCTACACTACAGTACCGTGTGTCCGGACAGATATGTACATGTTGTGATTTAATTCAGATAAAAGCTTGGGTGTTTTGATTTTTGATTTTTAACATGATAAAAAGTATTTCAGCAACAAATGCTAAAGTTTTGGATATTCTATTGTTTACTCTGCAAATGATTATAGCTGGTATATGAGGTCAGGCATTGATTTCTTGACCCCCAAATTTCAACGTCAACATTCTTGAAAGAGACATTAAAATATTACCATTTACGGAGGTTGAAATAAATTTATTCACTTAATTATAGAAGAAACATGCATTTACTGTTGATAGAAAATGACTGACAACCACTGAACAAAATAAATACTAAATTAAGCATTTTCGGGGCCGTCCGGGTTTGGTGGTTGTCCAGTTTTGGTGGTCCCCAACCAGTATATGTTTTATTATACATTACAACAAAATATATGTTCAAAAGAAGAAATACCAATATAATTAATCCCATGACTACCACATCTTTTTTAGATGGCTGAATTTTAAAAGCTTTAAATAAAAAGTGGTTAAAAGAACACATTTTCATATGCCCGAAAATATTATATTTTATGTTAAAAGTTTAGATACATGTACTTTGCATTAAGCATTGTGTTGTTGACATCTACAAAGGTCTTGCACAATTTACATGTACAGTGATTAGTAGAGTATACATTTCTTAAAACTATTAGTTAAAAGTCTTTTCCTCCAACCTACAGCATGCAGAGCATATACACTTAGCATGAAGCATCACTTTGTGTCTGTGGGTATAGATGTTTTTAATGTAAAGGGAGGAAATGAGAAAAGAAAATTATTTGCAGAAGCAGCATTTAATGGCGCCTTAATGGACCCACATTAAACATAGAATACACACATACCACTAACTGTAGCATATATAACTATATCTTAGTATTCATGTGATAAGAGCATAGTTCTTTGTAATGTATCAATATACATCTCACTTACTATTATATTGATCATTGAAATTAAACATGTCCCGGACTAGTGTAATGAATGGGTCTCCTCTTTAATTAAAAATGTTTTTGATTATTTTAAATTTTGATTACTTAAAAACAAATTTGCATTTGTGCATATATTGCCTAACTTATGCTGTGCTCTTGTTTTATTTGTTGCCCTTAACTGATGAGCGCACTGCTTTTGTTGAATAGTCAGCTTGTTAGTCCCCTACCGGTTTAACTGGAGGAGACTTTAGGTTTACCCTCTGTCCTTCCGTCTGTCTGTCTCTCTGCACTACCAAATAGGGATAGGGGGCCATCTGACTGTAAACAGAACAAAAGAGAACAATAGAGTTCATTCCGTAACAATAGAGTAAGGGGCCATTGGCCCTCTATTAAACAATAGAAAATAACAAAAGAAATGGCCCCTTATTCCATTTTGGCTGGACGTCCGTCCTCAAAATTGGATATGGCGATAACGCAAAAGTACTGAAAATATTTTTATGAAACTTGTTATATGCATAGATGGCAGTCTAGGGATTATGCACGTCTTTTTGTGCCCCCGAAGGGAGGTATATTAAAATCGCACCATCTGTTTGTCCATCTGTCTGTGCGTCCCCACTTCATTTGTGTCAGGACTGTAACTTTTTAATACATTGAGGGATTTTGAAATAACTTGGCACAAATGTCTACCACATCAAGACGATGTGTCGCGCCAAGAACCACGTCCCTACCTCAAAGGTCAAGGTCACACTTACATTTTGAAGTTTCACATCATCACAAATAGAGTTAATAGGTACACACATGTAATTTTGTCATGCATCAAAGGATTTTAGAATAACTTGGCATAAATGTCTAATACATCAAGACGATGTGTAGCATCTATGAATCACTTCCCTACCTCAAAGGTCAAGGTCACACTACTATTTTGAAGTTCACTTTATCACAATAAGAGTTAATAGGTACACACATTCGTATTCAGACTGTAACTTTGTCATGCATTGAAGGATTTTAAAATAACTATGCATAAATGTCAACCACATTAAGATGACATGTTGCGTTCAAGACCCCTGTCCCTACCTTCAACGTCAAGGTCACACGTATAGTTTGAAGGTACTCATTCTCTCGAGAATAGTTTGAAGATACACATTCATGTCCGAACTGTAGCTCTGTCATGCATGAAAGAATTTTAAAATAACTTGAAACAAATGTCTACCAACATCAAGATGATGTGTCGTGGCTTAAGGGTCATGTCCGTCTGTTCACTTACACAACAGTCATGACCAGACTGTACTTTTGTCCTGCATTGAGAGATGAGTTAATAGGTACAAACATTTGTGTCCGGACTATAACTTTGTCATGCATCGAAGGGTTTAATAAATTACTTTGCACAAATGTCTACCACATTAAGATGAAGTGTTGTGTGTAAAACACTTGTTCCTACCGTCAAGGTCACTCTAATAGTTTTTTAGGGTACTTATGCTCATAAGAGTTTGAAGGTACACATTAGTTTCCAAACTGTAACATTGTCATGCATTGAAGAATTTTAAAATAATTTGGCATAAATGTCTACCACATCAAGATAATTTTTCACATTCATGACCCTTGTCCCAAGGTGTTAGGTTTGCTAAAAATAGCACTTCATTTCACAAGAACAAGATTAAGCAATGAGTTTCTTTCATTCTCTATTCTTTTCCTAATACCTGCATGCTTAAGAAACCTTTTCGGGGGCATTCGTCACTAGATGACAGCTCTTGTTCTTTTCTTCCTACATGTATGTTGAAAACTTTGGTTGCTATGGCAACAAATAGACTGAAAATATGGCTAATTTAACACATAGACTGGATCCATTGATAACGCAAAAAGTACTGAAAATATTGTTATGAAACTTGAAATATTGGTAAATGACAGTCAAGAGATTATGCACGTCTTTTATCTTTTCTTCCAATCTTCTTGAAAAATTTGGATGCTATGGCAACAAAAATCTTTAAAATATGGCAAATATAACAATATTTGTCATTACTCAAAAAGTAGTGAGACACTTTTTATGAAACTTAAAATATTGATAGATGGCAGTGTGGAGATTATACACATAATTTTAATTTTGACTACATGGAGTATATTAAGAGCTGTCCTACTCACCAATCGTCGGCCACCTCGTCAATATGGACATTCATCCTATAAAGTTTGAATATTGTGGGCCAAATGGACCTTAAGTTATGCTCGGGAAACTGTTTTTAGTTTTAAGGTAGTAGTGACCTTGACCTTTGATCTCGTCACCCCAAAATCAATAGGGGTCTTCCACCTAATATGGACAATCATCCTATGAAGTTTGAATATTGTGGGCCAAATGGAACTTAAGTTATGCTAGGGAAACTGTTTTCAGTTATAAGGTAATAGTGACCTTGACCTTGTGACCCCAAATCAATAGGGGTTTTCTACCCAGTATGGGTAATCATCCTATTAAGTTTGAATATTGTGGGCCAAAAAGTTTGAATATTGTTGGCCAATTGGAAATTAAGTTATGCTCCGGAAATCAAATTGCTAACTGACGGACAGACGTATCAACATTTGATATTTATAAGAGGCAAATAAGCTCATTAACTACACCTGGACAAAAGTCCATAAGCTCATAAAAACAAAAAATAGCTCACAATATGAATTTTATGAGTTTTTGTTCTTTATTTAACTACGGAATGAAGGTCATAACTCTCATATGTTAGCTCAAACAGACAGACGTATGTACGCCAGGGGGTGTAACATAATATGAACGACATTTTTTCGGGCATATAATAAAGACCGTTTAAAGTGAAAAAGAGTTATTTTTCATTGACGTGCAGTGTACAGTATAACGCTAACATTTAGTGCGTCTTTACACTATGTTTGTCTAACACAAATTAGGTCATGTCAAAATATATGCACGGTCGTGCAATACCGTTTTTACGGTCGCAAATCGGCACGGGTATGTTTTGTTTTGATTGGGTTTTACGTCACATCGACACAGTATAGGTCATATCGCGACGTTCCAGCTTTTACTGGTGGAGGAAGACCTCAGGTGCCCCTCCGTGCATTATTTCAGGCACGAACGGGCACCTGAGTAGAACCACCGACGTTCCGTAAGCTAGCTGGATAGCTTCCTCACATGAAAGAATCTAAGTCCCTGTCGGGATTCGAACCCACAGCGGTGAGGGGCAAGTGGTTTGAGGTCAACGACCTTAACCACTCGGCCACGGACGCCCCCGCACGGGTATGTGATAAAAATGGATTAACTTCATACTAAGACACATGATTCTTTAGGATATGACCTTCATGTACATTAAACTCAAATGAGCTTAGCTTAATGATGACCTTGACCTTGAAGGTTAAATTATTGAATTTTCACTGATTTTTGCTGTAATTGACTGTAACTTGGTATTAGTAAATGGACATATCTTCATAGTTGGACAAAACAACCTTTTATGACAAGACCTTCTTAAAGGTTGAACTTACCTTAACCTAGAGCTTTTAATGACCTTGACCATCAAGGTCAAATTATTAAATTTCTGATACTACTTTCTTTATATTTTGCCACCTTTGTAACAAACCATTTTACCTTCAGCGCTATTGTCTTTCCGTGACAGCATTTAATGTAAAGGTATAACCCTCCTAATGCATTACCTCCACTTTGAAGTATATTTCTAAATAGGCAACAAAAATTGAAACTGAGGGCCGTGGGTTCAAACCCTATTAGGGTCAACTTTTTTTCTTTTTATGTATATCTCGGATCCATTGTGGAATGGAAAAAAAGTATTAATTATATAGTTATTGTAGATACATGTATTTATTGGATGAATAATGCTAAATTTGATAACAAATGTAGTACATGATATTTTAAAAGTCTAATGAAATAAAAACAACACAGTAAAAATATTAAATAGTGGACAGGATAAAATAATGCACTTCTGAGACAATGTAGGCAAACTTTGAAAACAGTCCCTAAATTAAGCTTATTTAAGAGATATTTGAGTCAGGCTTTTGTAAGCAATAAAATTGTTAAATAAGTGTAAATAGAATAGGATAACTTTTTTATACATATATTTAAACCATAAGGTAAATTTGCATACCTGTGTAGGTGTCCATTTTGGCATTTAAATGACCTATGTAGTCCTTATAAGAAAATATAAGAATGGTAATACATGTTCTTTAAAATTCATTTACATTTGTATATAACAGTTTTGATAAAACACATGTGTGCCCTTTGTGTATTTATTTCTATGACTGAATGTGCCTTTAATTGCAAATAAAATAAGCCATCATTAAAATTTATTCATTTATGCAGCAAAACCAGATATGGTTAAAGTCATTCGGCTATGTTTTCTGTAACTAGTATGATGAATTTCTGACGGCTTAGCGCAATTCACCTTTAGTACTGATACGTCTAATAAGCCTTAAGCAGATACCCAGTAAATGTGGAATATCCCCTTCCAGTGATCGTACTTAAACCACTAGCTGGTAGCCCTCTTTTTACCATAACACGGTCACCGCTGGACAGAGAAATGATCGCAGTTCCTCCATTTTGAGTATTGCCAATGTATAAAACGCTTCCGTCCTGAAAAGTTCGCTTCCGGTGATCACAAGCGGTGTTCAGAATGTTGTTTTTAGAGTTACCATCGACGTCAACTATATCAATATAGACTTCAACATAGGTGTCTCTTTGACAGGCTATTGTAAGTGCAAAAAGATATGTCCCAGATATTGGACATTGGAACTCTGCATCGGTTTTTTTGTAAGCAAGACCAATATTTTGTTCAACTGTGTCAAACACTATCTTCTCGTCGAAGGCAACACTGACGTCATTATACAATGCCACGTGGAATCCCACTTCATCGTCTGCTACACAAACAAGAATTGGTATACAATCGCTGATTTATTTCATGTTTTCTATTAAATTCAAACATCTTATAGTTAAATATTTTTGATATGACGGGATAAGTGCCTAATTATTAATGAAATCTTTTATTGAAGAAATAAATTTTACATGATACTTAACCTTATTCAACTTGAAATTAAAATAATGATATAAGCAATAACATATTTGACACATCATATGTACAGTAAGGTTATAATTGACAAATATTAGGTTTTCATCACCCTTTTCTCTAGAGTGATTTGTTTTTCCCCAAGTTTTAATAGTTGTAACTTGCCGCAAATCTAGTATGAGGTATTCCACATAATACTTACTTGTCGTGAAGTACGCCCAATTCTACTTACTTGCTTTAAACCTAGAATGAAGTATGCCTAACATAACATGCGTGTCGTAAACCTAGCATGAGGAATAACCAACATCACTTGCTTGTCGTAAACCTAGCTAACGTATACCCTCATCATTTACTTGTCGTTAACCTAGCATGAAGTAATCCCAACATCACTGACTTGTCGTACATCTAGAATGAAGTATACCCAACATCACTTACTTGTCGTACATCTAGAATGAAGTATACCCTACATCACTTACTTGTCGTACATCTAGAATGAAGTATACCAAACATCACTGACTTGCCGTACATCAAGAATGAAGTATACCCAACATCACTTACTTGTCGTACATCTAGAATGAAGTATACCCAACATCACTGACTTGTACATCTAGAATGAAGTATAACCAACATCACTTACTTGTCGTACATCTAGAATGAAGTATACCCAACATCACTTACTTGTCGTACATCTAGAATGAAGTATACCCAACATCACTTACTTGTCGTACATCTAGAATGAAGTATGTTACCTAGCATCACTAACTCGTGGTAAATCTAGCATGAAGAATACCCAACATCATTTACTTGTGGTAAACCTAGCATGAAGTATACCCAACATCACTTACTACTTACCAGACCGACGATAGGCCGGATTGACGTGCTTGGGGCCGAACTGACTAGACTCTGGAATACCTTTAGTCTGTGTTGACTTGGTTGTCTTGCTAAGCATAAATCTTGAATGAGGCATCATTAATATTACTTACTTGTCGTAGGTAGTATATCTTCAGTCATTGTCCATTTTCCCCGAGTAGCTGTATCATTTGACGAAGCTAAATTAAACAAAGCTTTAATTAAAAGTTTGGTATGCTGCATACTGAAATGAACTGATATCTTTAGACTAACATGACAATTATTTTACTCAAGACTGCTTAAAAATCAAAGTAAAACAAAACGGTCGTTTAGTTATGCCCAGTTGATTTTCTAAATAGCACCTTCGTGTATAATCCAAATACACTGAGTGCTTTTACCTGGTGATAGAGGTAATGTGAGAGTGTTCACGGAAAACACCGTGCTTTGCAACAGAATGTATAAAAACTGAATATTTTATGAAAAAATGAATTTCAATAGGAACAAATATAAAACAATTACGATATATAAACTTATACTGAGACTGCGTAACATTTATACATGTTCAAGGATATCTAATCGGCCTTTATATATTTAGTAACGGCGATTTTAAAACAAAGTATTTACCAGTGTTGGAAGTCATCATTTTACCTGACAATTTCAGAAGCTGTTCCACAATTTTCTCTAACTCTAAAACGCGGTTAAGAAGTTGTTCGTTGGTGAAATTGGGTCGTCCCTGGCATCCAGTTAAACACAAAACCAACATAAATGTGAAAACTGTTCCCATCCTTGATGTCCTAAATAAAGTCCATAAAATCGGTGTATTTTAGTCCGTTTAATTTTCTTAAAATTTTAAATTCATGCCGCAAAATAACATGATTTATCAAAAAGTATCTGAATTATAGTAATTTGACCTTTGATTAACGATCTGAATGAAACTTGTTACAGGTCAACAAGTTCATGCGTCATGCAAAATATTAAAGATAAACATTTTAAGTTTTCTCAATATGTCTCTGTAACAAAATAGGGCCATAATGAAACCATATCGCTCACCTGACAGTAAAGAGTCAAGGGACAGATTATATTGATAAACTTTGAAAGCAGACATGCAGTCAAAATCAAGATCAGCTGATATCGAATCTGCGTTTAAAATTGTGCACATGATGCAAAGTTCATAGTTGCAACTCTCATTACCAAAAGTAGGTCACTGGGTCATAATCTCGGTCAACTGTTATTCAGATTTAATATCTGATTTGTTTTAAAAGACGTATAAATTTCAAAGCTGTAGCTCCAAGCACATTAAAGCAAGTAACAAGGTCAAATCCAAGGTCAAGTTTAATATGCATTTGAAACATTCCATGATGTTCAAATTTCATAGATATAGGTCTAAAAACCAAAAACAAGGTAACAATAAAGGTCAAAATCTAGGTCAACTGATATCATTAGTCTTTCAAATGTTTAATTGTGCTTAAAATCCGAATTTCAATGTTGTCTCTCAAAACAGAAGAAATTAGGTACAATGTCAAAATATAGATTCATTGATATCAAAGCTCAAATCCAATTCTGCATTTAAAATTTAGCATGTAAAAATTACATAGCTGAAATTGTTTATTCAAAAAGCAGGTCACTTGGTCTAATTTTAGGTGAACTGAGTGATAGACATGCAAAATTGTGTACATGTATAAAGTCATAATTTCCTAGATATAGCGTCAATAAAAAGACAAGAAAATATACTACAAGTCCAAAATCCATGTCAACTGATATCTGTCTAAAACGATGCAAAAAATCCAAATTTCAAGTGGTAGCATTACAACAAAAAGTAAGTTACAAGGTCAAAAGTAAGGTGACATCCGAATTCTAGGTCAACCGATATCAAAATTCGTTGTTCAAAAGTCATAGCTGGAGTCATTACGAAGTTGTGCAATATACAAATAAATTGAAATCTCGTTAGTGCTGCCTATCAATTTCATTGAAATCACACAAACAAACAAACCCTTACAAAATCTAAAAGAAATTAAAACGTAAAAGAAAATATTGCCAAAAATATAAAATATAGTAAAACTAAATTTATTATCGACATCATAAGACAGCAATTATAACCGAATGAATCCTTAAAAAGAATCGATTTATACATTTACACCTTAAAAGCTTTTACCGCATGAGCATATTGCGAAAAATGACTGTTTCATTGAAACGCCTCCTGTTACACTTTCAAACTGCTATGAAACTATAAGAAATGCTTCAATACTAATCTAACTTGGCACACATGTAGGCTAAATCATAGCCTTTGTAGCAGCATGCTCAATCTTAAATTTCCAATTACCATGGCAACGGGGGACGTCTCAAAATTGCCAAAAATCACTATTTCGGTTGTTTTTTTCCCCATCAAAACTGATTTTGCTGCAACTTCTCAATGGATTAAGATAGAGTCAAAGGCTTTTCAGCATTGGTTACATGTTACCTTAAGATCGACCTAATGCCATTTTTACCCCCTCACAAAGTCAAAATTTTCTTGGCGATAAGGTGGGCGGTACGATGAGGGGGCAACCGCCCCTTTCAAACCCCACAAACAGAATGGGGCACACCCATTCTGACACCCCTTGATGTACCTTTTTGATAGGGGGCGCCGCCGAAAAAAGTGAACACCATTTGTCAAACGAAAACAAGTATATTGGTCCTAAATAGGGCATTTATTTCACTATTTGAGGCCTGCAAAAATGGGGGGGGGGGGTTAAAGCCGTCAAAACAGGGCCTATATTAGGTAAATGTTAAACATATCGCACAGTTATTTGTGAAATGTTCGTTATCGTTTGCAAACCGGTCTCGATACGAACGGCAATAGAAACTTTTCGGCCGTTTCCGTCATCTTCCAGTGAGGACCTCGAAAACAAAAGACAGACTGGGTACGATATTTCCAGTTTATCTAAATATCTAAAAACAAAAAAACAGTTTGTAAATGCTGTGAGTTGTTTGACTTACTTTAGAAGTCTACCTCCATTAAGTTGATTTTATAGATGTAAAAGTAAACAGTGCATTATTTATGAACTTACAAGTATTATTAAGTATGGTTAAACCCAAAATACAAATGTTTACATGACAATGTTTCCGATTTGGTTAAATGTAACTTAAGTTGCCTATTTTAAGTCAGACATAATTTTCATTTAAAATCCTTATTCAAATTGTTTTCTCTTTGGATGTCAAATATAATCATTCGTTATTCATTATACTAATATTTCACCACCTGTTTTTGTTAATATCTGAAATGACGTTGTAGAACTTTATTTTATCCGTCTGAGATGATTATGAATTATCGCCGGGATGTTCCGATTGTACGAACGGGTCATTCCAACCCCAAATGAAATTTAGTGTTACATTTTTAAGTGAATTGTAATGCTTCTGAACAAAATACTTACACTAAAAAACAAAACTCTTACACTAAAACTATATTACTGGTATTTTACGAAAATATGAGAAAATTACCATTTCTGAATTTGAATATGCCAATGATATGCACATGTTCGGAATTAAAAATGCGGATAATTTAAGTTTGAAAGATATTTCCTTTTTAGCTATATTTTAATAACCTTTCTTACTTTTACTTCTCAATATTTTATTGTTATTCTAGATTTTGGTTTGTGCAAACATTCTCTTTCTTGGCATAAACCTTCGATAATTCCATGGCATTACCATCTAGGCAGATAGCTGCTCGAAGAAATGTTACACTTTTGTGTTGGCCCTTATTCCGAAATCTGACGGAAAGAGGCGATAACTGGCGATAACTGAGGCGTTCCTCACAACCGACTGGTCAGGTTTTAATTATCTTTGGTTTACTTTGGTGTGAAGAGGACCAATCAATGACGGTGATATTTCTTCATTGATAATGAAAAAAACACTCTGTAGCTTTAGTTATCCTTTGAAGAATTTGCAAAGTAAAAAAGCCAGCAATATTAAGGACAAACTCAGAAAATCGGTTCAGCATTTTATCAGGCGATAATTTGACAAGAAATGAATCAATGAATCATTCGGTTTTGAAAAAGCTACAGTTTAATGATCTTACTTAAAATGACCCCAGTAATACTACTTTAACAATCATTTGATTTTACTATAAATCATTTATTAACCGACTTGCTAACAACATAAAACCTATCACGTTGCAAATGCAATATTATTATAAAATAACCATGTTTAAAGCTACATTAAATAAATATGTAAAAATATTTTGCCGTCGGCCTAAAAGCCAAGCATTCCACAGTTTCATTAACTTTTTTAACAGTATTGTTGTAAATTTCATCAAACATTGTTTATAAATAAGGATTTTATTAATTTTTTAATTTATTTTAAATTTAACGCTTAAATAGATACTCAGTTACTGAATAATTTAAATACTTTTTAATATTTGAATAGTATTTAAAATTTGTTGAATAATACCGAATGAATTGCCTACCTCATATCCGTTTTATATCACCTTGCTTTCTGTATTTTTCTTTACTGTTTGAATATGAAGATTTATACGTACTGTAATTTATTTGTTTATAATCGTGATGATCACTGTAAACATGATTATAACATGATGAAAATCACGTTCGGGATTTACAAATACTTGTTTTTGTACATGACAAAAATAACAAGATTTACAAATACTTGTTGTGTTGTTGACATTATGGGCGTTGAAGCATGTTTACAAGAATTTAAAGTGTTTTGAAACTATTTTTATGCAGTTTGTTCAGTAGATAAGGTCTACAGTGATGAAAAGTAGTAATCAAAGCACTGACCGCTCTGAATGCGCTGAATTTGATTTGATTATTTTTTGATAATATCTCTGTAGATTTCGTGGATAATCACAAACATTTAGGATTAACTCTTTCTTGCGATTTGAAATGGCACGAGCATATTAATTATATTTCAGCTTCTGCGTCAAAGGTATAAGGCTCTATGCGTGCTTTAAAATTCCAACTCAAAAAGATGTACTTTAAACCAGATTTATATATCTTATATACGTTCGATACTTGAGTATGCATCAATTGTTTGGGATGGGTGTGCTGAATATGAAAAACAATCACTTGAGCAATTACAATACGAAGCCGCTAGACTTATTACGGGTGAAACTCGATCAGTATTGATAGATTGCTTGGTCAAAGAAGTCGGTTGGGTCTCACTCTCTGGCGAAAAATTCAAAAACTTGTTATTGTTTATAAAGCTAAAAACGGTTTACTACCGGACTATTTATCTTCTTTGTTTTCGTCTACTGTATCAGAAACTTTTTCCTATCCTTTGCGAAATAATAACAACTATGTTACTATAGCTAGACGCACTCAAGGTTTTACAATCCTCGTTAGTATTATGGAATAACCTCGACCCCAATATACGAAACTCTCAGACACTCAACATATTTAAATCTAGACTAAAAAATCTTTTTAAAGCACCAATGGTTCCGAGGCATTATTTTTATGGCCAGAGATACTTATCAATATTGCATACACATTTAAGAAATAATTGTAGTAATTTAAATAACGTTTTATATAATAACCATTTGCGCGAATACCCTTTTTGTCAATGATATATTGTGATTGAAAATGCCGAGCATTTCTTTTTCAAATGAAATCGTTACGTCGAACAACGAATAATACTCTTTTGATAAACCCGATCTTATCATCCATAAAACATTGATACATTATTGTTCGGTCGTGAAAATTTAGAATACGAAGATAACATTGTCATTTTCGAATCAGTTCAAAAAATTATCAAGACGACCCATCGTTTTGATAATATTTGACTTTTCATTTTGTTTTTATTCTAAAATTTGTCATTTATATTATCTTATTTGTTCTAATCTAACTTACTTAAATAACAAATATTCATTACCAATCTTTCCCCAAAAAACAAACTTCAACTTTTTTAACAACTACAGTGAGATCGGGATGGCAACCTGTGGATGGATCGCACTTCAAAATCAAAATTGTACACTAAATTTTAATGAATAAATGAACTTTTCAAAAATGAAATACATATTTTAAAGTTTATATGCATGTTAAAAATAATCATTGTTGCCTTAAAGTATTTTCTTCTGTAATATTAATTTCTGGGAAGGGCTTAATCTAATGTTGTAAAAACTTGTTGCCCAACCCATTTGCATTTTGATATAACTCATTGTTTGTATGATATGTTTGTTAACATGTACTTAATGCAATAAAATATGTTTAAACTAATTTGATTTGGTCGAAAAGCATTCTATTTTTGTATGCACGAAAGAATTTCGGGCATATACGAGTATGTCATACCCCCTGACGTCCGTCCGTTAGCAATTTGGTTTCCGGAGCGTAACTTAAGTTCCGTTTTGCCCACAATATTCAAACTTCATAGGATGATTGTCCATATTGGGTAGAAGACCCCTATTGATTTTGGGGTCACAAGGTCAAAGGTCAAGGTCACTATTACCATTAAACCGAAAACAGTTTCCGGAGCATAACTTAAGTTTCATTTGGCCCACAGTGTTCAAACTTCATAGGATGATTGTCCATATTGGGTAGAAGACCCCTATTGATTTTTGGGTCACAAGGTCAAAGTCACTATTACATTAAAACTGAAAACAGTTTCCGGAGCATAACAGAAGTTCCATTTGGCCCACAATATTCAAACTTCTTAGGATTATTGTCCGTACTTGGTAGAAGACCCCTATTGATTTTGGGGTCACAAGGTCAAAGGTCATGGTTACTATTACTTTTAAACTGTAAACAGTCTCCGCTCAATAACTTAAGTATTAATCAACCTACAGCTGTAAAATTCTATAGGATGAACAGCCAAGAGTAATACATGCCCCCTATTGATTTTAGGGTCATTAGGTCAAAGGTCATGGTCACAATGATCATAACACTGAAAATTGTGGTTTCTTGGGCATAACAGTGTAGGATGATTGCCTATATTGAATAAAAGATCCAAGTCTATAGTGGGGTCACAAGGTTTAAGGTCAATATCAAATGACCTTAATATTGTTAACTAGTTTTACAACTGTCAAACTTCATAGGATGAGCATTTTTATTGAGAACATTAATTTTATGCCCTAAAAAAATTGCTTATATTATGCTATACCCTGGCGTCTTTCCGTCCATCCGTCGTAGCATTTTTACTTTCAAGATAACAACTTGATGGTGGTGCTTTGGAAACAGCAACTGTATATATATGAAGGTTCTTCAGCTATAAAGGAGGATTGCTTTTTAAAGGAGGTAATACTTTATTTAATTCCAATGTCTTACAAATGATTCATCCTTACTTAAAAAAAAACAACAAAAAACAAAAACACAACACTTTCGGGCATATAATGCTCCGCCTAGCAGTACTCTTGTTTATTTTTGAAATCTTGACATAGCATTTCCACATGAACCATTTACCCTGTTTATTCATTATTATTTATCAACAATATATCGTTTGACAACCAAACAAAGGCTTTGACCAAGTAACGTATAAACCTGAATGAAAATGATTTGTTAGAGCTTGTTGGGCGGTGTACGACAATATTGAGTACAAAAAGGCAGATTTATTTCATGAATACCGTATTTAACTTGTCAATTTATGCACAATGTTAAGATAAAATTATATTTTAGTATAAAAGTCACAAGGCCTACAATAATTTAACTCTGATATTAATCATTAGCAACAATTCGAATTTCGTATGGTGGATATGTTAACAAACAACTTTCACATGTACTAGTATATGTTTTCAGGCTGTAATATGAGACGTTTACACGCGCATGCTTAAGGTAGTACAGCAGTTCTCGTTGAGAGGTTATCTCCAGTATTAAACTTGTAGTCTTATTTCTCATTAGAGTTATATATTGTCTACTTGTGATATACTCACATAAAAAACCACATAATATTACAGTGTTTATCTGATTTGTAACAGGTGACGTAAATCAGATTGCGAAGTCTTTAGATGTTCTTTCTTTTCTGTATCATAGTCAAAAATAAGTCGTCAGAGTATGAAATCACAGACACTTTGGGTGTGGAGCTTAATCCAAATAAAATGTATATTCGTCAATCCCAGCACATGTTCTTATCATATATATCATTAAAACTTAATATGCAGTAAACTATTTTGAAAAAGAAACAAAAAAAAAACAACGTCGATAGTATTACTATAGACGTTGAAATATGATTTTTTCAAAACAGTTTAGATATATATGATAAATACATGTGCTGGGATTGACAAATATAAAATTTATTTGGATTATAAAGGCGCTTTGAGCTCAACACCCCAAGTTTGCATGTGTATGAAACCCCATAATAAATAAACCGATGTACGAGAATCTGAATATGATTTTTTATCATTGAATTATTGTTTGGAAACCTTTTAATTGAAAATGTGCGTGAGTAAAATGGTATACCGTGCAGGTATTAGTTACCTGCACTCAAGTTACTGCAGAATCTGTCGGGGATAAAAACAGAGCACAACATCTTTTTCTGGAGACGACAGGGATGGGGATTATGATGTGTTATTAGTATGGTCTGTTGCAAATGTTTTCTTTCTGCTCAAAATATGGAAACGTTGTTTAATCTGAACTATTCATCTCTTTTTGCAGGTGGTCGAACGTATAGCGGAGCGATATTTTTAAGCGAGTCGAAATCGTACGATACGGAATAATGGCGGATTTTAGACTGTAAACACACGTCAGAGTGTGTAAATTTTATAACAATGTAACAGTCATTGACTATTATCTTGTATGGAGGATGCTGAGGGCTCTGACCTACATGTATTTCCTCGAAATCATAGAAGTTTAAATAGGAAAAGAGTTATTGAAAGTTGAAGATGAACTGGCAGTAACTGATTTTGTGTCCCTGACAAACTGAAATTATAAGATTAAAGCCAATATTTCGGTACAGCATAAGTGCCAGGTGTTAATTTTTTTATTAACTCGAAATTTCGAGTTATTAACTCGAAATTTCGATTTACTAACTCGAAATTTCGATTTATCAACTCGAAATTTCGACTAAATAACCACAGATTTCGACTTCGTAACTCGAAATTTGGACCAACGTTACTCGAAACTTCGACTTACATTGCACGACTTACATTTGTTGCAAGTGAAAGCAAGGATTGAATTCAAGATACTTTATTTAATGTGTAGCTGTTGCACATTGACAGAACACCTACGTATTTAACAGAAAATTCATATAGGATCAAATTGTCCACACAGACCGAACATATCCTTCCCATTTTCTGTGATTGCTTTTTTGGGGAGGGGGGGGGATAAAATCACACTTTCCACATTTCCGTGTTAACCGGATGTTTCTTGTGTCTAAAGCTCACATACAACCATCATGTGGAGATATGTACAAGTCCAAAACCCACCCTGTAAATTGTGCAATATTCTTATGTTAAGGCCCTGTCACACTAGAATGCGCTTTCACTGCGTTTGCACGGCGATGTTAAATTTAACAAAGCGCCGCGAGATCGCAATAATAAATGTGATATTGTTGATGTCATGTACGAAGACTTCACGGAGTCCCCACGGCGATCATGGCGATTTCACGGAGCTACTACGGCGTTTTAGTAGGCGATTGTCTACGTTCGGAC